TTAATGTTTGTTTTGGGATTGAGAATTTAAAGTTATAATTTAGGTCTAATATCAATTTACCTGTTATATACAATTTAAACAGACAGAATTAAGCATTTGAGACGTTTAATAATATCAATTTCACTTAATGGTTGCTTTGAATAACTTTTCGCTGTCATATTAAACATTTTGAGAAGTATATAAATGGATTTTTACTGCATGTTATATGTGATATTTCAGTTTCACATTAAGGATTTTGATTGACTAGTCCTTAAATCATATGTTTCATCTATCTATCTTTTCAAGTGTTTCCGTAAGCGTGTCTTTTTTTAGAGAGAGAGAGAGAGAAAGAGAGAGTAATTTACTGATTTCATAATGATTTTAAGTGTAAACACTTATCTCTTAAGAAAATGATTTATACAAAAAAATAATTCTTTAATCTGGGAATTATTGGATACACTAAGAGAATTCGGATAATAGTAATAATAATGATAATAATAATCTAATAGCTAGATTATAAATTCCTATAATACGTTATATAATTGAGAATGATGAATAGAAATAATTTAGATGAATCTAATCCTCTCTTGAGCAATAATAATCAGATGATGAGTAATTTTTTCTCTCCAAAAGTCTTTATGTTGATATGCTCGATATATATACATATCATTCTTTCACAAGAAGCACTTGGTCACATATTGATAATGATTGTAATCCTGTATGTTACAGCTTAATTAATTTCATTCCTTAACTGAATAAAATTATAAATTACTGATTGCTTACTAATCGATTAACATAGTTTGTTTCGCTTGTTTTCTTTCGTAGCGTTTTGTGTATAACTTTTAAATATTGTTTTATTTGAGTCTTCCGATCGATGTTTAGGACTGAAATTGTTCAGTCTCTTATTGGCATATGTGTATACTGTGCGTATGCCTCGATATTGCCTTGATTTACAAGCATGATAAGCAAAGATGGATAGTGGTTAGCAGCGGAATCCAGGACGCGCGTTTCGTCCTATTTGGGACTCGTCAGCTGGATGTATATGCATCACAGAGTTGATGTTCACTCCGGAACTCGAACTCAGTACCGTCCGCTTCAAACGCCATCGCGTTATCCACTTAGCTACTGAGTCCTGATAGCCACTTGCTTGTGCAATGGGGTGAAGTTTAATTCACTTGAGTTCCGGAGTGAACATCAACTCTGAGATGCAGATACATCCAGCTGACGAGTCCCAAATAGGACGAAACGCGCGTCCTGAATTCCGCTGCTAACCACTATCCATCTTTGCTTATAAAACTTTTAAATAGTTTGATAGATGAAAACGTTTGAATGTATAGTTGACTTAAAAAATTGTAGGTATATATATATATATATATATATGAACTCTTGTTCTAGTTAACATGGTAATGGCGACCTCGGAACTGTTTTTACTTAAAGTACTGAATTATTTACAACATACGAATGTTCAGTGAAGTTTCAAATTAATTTTACTTAATCACACTTTAAGCAAACGAATAAGAAATTCATTTTCGTATTCACTGAAGTTCATTTCTTCGATATGATTATATCAGTATAATAAAGTGAATCTCATTGTCATAGTAAAACTTTATGGCTATGAAATTGAAGATTATTTTATTATGAAATTATTTTCATGTATGCTTTTTGTGAATATCACGTATAATGTGAAAAATATTCTCATCATTAAATTATACTAACTAAAGAGCTATTACGAACCTCAGTCCACTATATTTTAGTTTTACCTAATTTCTTACTAGCAAAAAGTACAGATTGAACTATTTTTATGATCAATAATTAGTGTGCATAAAAACGACGAGTCATTTGACAAACACTTAATAATTCATATTATTAAATTTTATGAATCCACAAAGTAATTTAGTTTCCACTATTGATTTCTGTGTTTTCAAAGATCTTCAGGCTTGGATGAAGTCTAATTTTCTTACTTTATGTTTATAAAAAAGTTTATTAGTTGATGAAACATTCTCCTTAAACATGATACAAATTTAAAAACCTCATAGTTACATCATCAACCAACTTTACCATACGACATTGCATTAGAGAGCATGATTAAAAGCTAAAGCATGTAAAACCTTATATTCCACATGTTAACTACGGATTTGCCAGTGCACCGATGACCGTTATTTTATCTACATCTTAACCTACCTAACATTTAGCCTGACAAGCACATTTTCAACCATTATTCTGCTATCAGTAAAGAGTTATATATATATATATATAGCTTTAACTACTTCTCTAAATGATGTATTTTGAAGCGTCTAATGAAAAGCAGGTAGGTAATATCCAGATAAATGGGTGCTGACACGTAAATATTCAATATAATAGTAGTTAAATTTATGTTCCAACACTCAATACTTTCGATAAGAACCATGTGAAAGTAACTATTAAAATATAAATTGATAAAAATTTAAGTGACTAGTGTTCATTGTGTGTGGTCCATAAAATAAACAAAAAACAATTATATGAAAGTTCTCTGACGATATTGTTTTCAACAACAACAACAAATAGGTATTCGTTCACTTTTTTTTTCAGTATTTACAAGATGTTCTAATTATTTTTCCAGATTTCTTTTTTCATACATCTATAATTCTGTTGTGTCCCGATAAGAATAATGAGTGATAATTTTTTAGGATCTATTTATGGACCAATACTGTGCGTATATTTTTGTCATATAATTGTTAGTAAACTAAACTATTCATATTCATGTCTCTCTTATCGTAAGCTTTATTTTAACTTATGAACTGTTATTATACGATTTACTATCCTTTATTTATTCTCTGTCTATTAATCACTACCTCCCTCATTCACAGCTACATTTGGCCAAACCTTGTACAAATGTTATTTTCTATTTTATGGTACGTTGTGGTCTGTTTGATTAGTATATAAACCCCGTATGCTTGAAATAAATGATTCATATCGCAGAGACTGAGATTTGTGTTCTGGACTTGACTGGCTAGGTTAGTCAGGAAGAGACACCAATCAGGACTCTAGGCTGTTCGTACGGGTTTTACGCATCATTGATTCGATCGACAATTCACTGCTCTGTAATCGGCGGTCAGAAGTTATAACAAATTCATATGAATTTATTATCAGCTTATAAAAATAGAAAGCCATTTTATATTTTCCTCCTCATTTGAAGTATATGCCAAACTTGAACTTGATATTTGTAACTTTATTTTAATGACCATCGAATATAGTCAAATGGGTCCAGGTTAAATGATTTTCATAAGAATTAAGTAATTGGACAAGTAGTATAACTAACGTTTTGCTTGATCATTTCAAATGAATTCAGCACTGAATAGAATGTTGGTAGAGAATTGATAGTTTTGTTATAGTTTAATGAATAAAAGTTTAAATTTCTAGTTTTACGACTTAATTTAAGTCAGTTATTCAAAACAAATAAGTAATTGGATTAAACTAATATGGGTTTAAACTATACAATTTGATTATGTGTTAATTTAATTGATGAATTGATTGATTATTTGAAGGAATGTTTTTCACCGAAAGTTACAAAACATCAACAAATTAATTCTTGCTCATTAAGATAGTACAAATATATTGTTAGTTTATTGCGTAACGTTACTCTTAAGGATCATGATAATCAAATATATTTGCATTAAAATGTACTTGTCTGGATACATATTAGTAATATCCATGATATAATCCGTAACAAAAAATATATTTCATCATTTTTCTTTGGTCTTTAACACTCAATCGACGTGAAAAATGCTGCTTGCAATTTCTAACATTGACCAATTTAAATCAGTGTTTATATATATATATATATATATATATATATATATATATATATATATATATATATAGTAATTACGTAATTATAAGTGTAGGATCTGAAGGAGTTATCAGAAATAATTGATCACTTTGAGATTCGTTGTCCTTGTATATTATGGATCTTAACACTCTTGACAATCTACCAAGACATGGATTATTTGAAGATTGTTTAGAATGGGACAGTTTATGATTGTAGAAAAGTTTAGATCGGAAACATGGTGCACTGAAATCACGCATCTATTGTAAAGGCAATTTTTTTCAACAAACCAAACTTTTTAACTAACAGAGAGAATATTTAACACTGATGGCTTTTGTCATCTTGTAAACATGCTTGTGGTGTTTCTAATATACATTATTCACTCGAATTGAATATTTAATGCTCAAGTATCATTAAGATTTTTTTAGTGATATCTCATATATGGGGTAAACTGTTACGAAGAATAAATATGTACAGCTTCAGAGTAGAAAGTCAAATTATTTTTTTAACTAAATACTTGTTCTAAATGAAAGCTTAAAGGAAACTACAGTTCACTTTAAACCTAACAGCATATAATAGGTTAAATAAATAAATATGAACTGAATGGAATGTTTTCAGTTTTTTTAATAACACTCGTTGGTTTAAGTAATCTAATTAGATGAATAAAGATCTGAGAATTTTCATAATTAATATTCATTAGGTATTCATTTATAACTGGCTTAGACAACTTTTATGTTCATATACAGTGTAAAGCAAGAAAGTTATAATAAGGCTATGACAAGTTTGTACTTTATATACATCGATTCCCTCTAAAAATAAGTGTGTAGTGTGTTAAGAAATTATCCAACTTTATCTGTTTTGATTCTCTTATAATTGTATCAGATTTATGTGATTAGGTTTTTTTAAACAGCCAAGGTTATGATGGAATCGATGGACTATTTGTATTTTTAATCCTTAAAAGAAATTGCAAATAAATGTTTATCAGAATATTACTTACTTACACCTGTTACCTCTAATGGAGGAGCACAGACCTCTCACTAGATTTCTCCACACTCAAACCTTCTCTTTTATCCAGGCTTGGGATCGGCATCAGCCTTAGAAGAACTGTGGGTAAAGTTTTATCAGAATATAGAGTTGATCAATTAATTTTTGAATTCATGGCTTATAACTCATCGTTTGAGTTTGACTAGGTGTGTAAAAATTCACATTCAGTTGTAAATTTTCCTTTTTTGAAACATATCAGCATCATAGATGGAAATGAAATTGAGCATATTGAACCGATGTCATTCCGTAACAATTTAAATATTAAAAAATTGTAAGTTTACTAACTGTTGTTTTTCAATTTCAAATTTGATTTTCCACTTAATTCATTATATATTCATGTTTTTATTCAATAAATAAAAGAATTCATATCGGAAGGGTTTTGTAGATACTATAGGAATCTCAATGGTTGAAATCATGAGTCAATTGAAGCTAGACCACCATGAAAAACCTGGAAGCACTAGACAGTATGTATTATCTTATGATTTGTTACATCATCAATACTAATAATATTTGACAGTATTCATTGTTTGTGATATGAAGTGTTAAATTGTAATAAGAACACAGATATGAAAATCAGCCAAATGAATTATAAAAAAGTCTATATATATATATATATATATATATTGCTTAAATAATTACCATTAAACTATAAAAATCCAGTTATGACAGATCATAAATAGTCTGACAGATGTTTCAAATAAGCATTAAGTTACTATACTTGAACCAGTCAATCTATTCAAATAGTTCATTGTTCTAAATGTTTAATGATGTCTCTCATGATATTGTTTAATATGAGTCACTACAAAAGATTTTCAGCTGGGTTTTTTTTCTAAAATAACAGTTTAAAATGTATCTGAATAAAGATAATGAAAGTAACAAATTGTTAATACTGGATATATAGTACAATTTAGTTGTCACAAGAATAAAAGCTATAGAAGTATGTGTGAAATGTTGATAAATATAATTCTGGCTTAAATTCTAGACTTTAATGTTTGCAATCAATTAGTAAGATGTGAATTGAGATCAAGGCATACATTGTTAAAAGTAATAAAGAGAATTCATTCATAGTGTTTTTACATCGTTTATTAGTTTGTCGCTTAATAGTCAAGTAAAGAGTAACAAGATAACAGAAGCTGCATATTTCACAATTGATTGGTCAGTGGGTGGTGATCAATGTCGTGTGTGTCAAGTTCTTATTAGTGCAGATCGAATGCTATCGACCAAGTTGCAATGTGGTCACCAGCCTAGGTAACTCGACACTGTTTGTACTATGTTGAGATTAGATGGTGCTTGGTGGTTGGAGCTCCATACTTCTCTATGCGTCTTGTACAGAACTAATAATGATTATTCAAATGAAGTCGTAAACATTTGGTCCAGCTTCCCTATATATTTGTCAGTGCGTTAATAAAATTATATTATTGAGCAAGCATATGATGATTATATTTAAGTTTTTTTAAATATTACCATATCAGAAATAAGCTCAGTGTCTTGCTTATTATCATAGAGTCGTTCAACTGACAGTTATCATCAAAAGAAAGTTAATAAATTTCATATGACCTAATTCGTCAATTTCATATTGTTACTGTCATTCTATATCATTTTCGCTTAGAGATGTCAAGGTAGGTTCACTTTGATTAATATAAGGACTTTCATTGTAATCACAAACCGATCCAAGTTAGATCATCATTGAAAACCTGAATGCACTAGACAGCCATTTTGTCATAGTATTCTCACCGCTAAGGAGTTCCATATCAGAACGAAGGCCTGACTTAGATTACTTCATGATTTCAATGAAATCTAACAATTTTCATAATACCATATTGACAAAATGATAAGTTCTGAATATTCTAGTGATATTTTCCGTAAAGTCACTTAATAATTAACTAACATATATCACCAATGGATTATCTAAAACATATCTAGTTTATCAGTAAAACATTCTTAAAAGTATGATAATAATTTGCAATACACTGAAAAGGTTAATGTATCCCTGGGTGTATACATATTTCTTACAACTCTTTGGTTTTTTTTCTTGAAATATATTATCACTAAAATATTACACTTTTCAATCTTACAAATTTTTGGTTTATTTTTTTTAATAATTATTCAAAATGAAAACAGGATTCTTAGTAACAACTCATTGACCTATTTGGAAGAAAATACATTTAAAGGTTTGAAAAATCTTGAAATAATGTAAGTTTAATTCATACCATGTAACTTCATGTTCAAAATACTTAACTATCTAATTATTAAAATTTCTAATTATCCTGTCTATATATTTATTACAGGTTACTTCAACATAATCAAATTAAATGCTTGAATAATAGAACATTTCATCAAACTCCAGTATTAAAAATATTGTAAGTTCATTAAGTTTGTTGATAAATAATAAGTACTTTTTTTATTGAAAGCGTAGATGCGCACTGATGACGAGTCCCACATAGGACGAAACAGCCGTTCAGTGCCTCCACGTTTTCCATGGTGGTCTAGCTTCAGTTGACTCATGATCTCAACTATTGAAATTACTAAAATCTCCACAAAACCCCTACTGATATTATATATTGATTAAGAGGGAATCTTAAATTTTTATTGACAATGTGTTGTTGTGAAGAGTAATGTCATTAAATAATATTACATCTAGGCTAGTGACACAATTTTGATCACATTTACTTGTTTAACAATGGAACAAAAATTGATGAAACCTTGAGTCGTCTAAATTTTGGCATATATCAAATTTCTTGGTCGACGCTTATGACATAAATTTGTGACTTTACCGTCAATTAATTAAAACCAAATCTACTGAAAAATCAACAAAAATCAAATTTATAAGTTATAGATTTTAGTCATTGAAACTTTCATCAAGTTATGTCACTTGGATTAGAAGTGCTTTCATCTGAAAATGAACTATTGATCATTTCAATTACAAGTAGAATCAATACAATAGGTTTAGACAATAAGTATATTTTACAAAATAAATGATTAATTTATTATTATCATTACGTATCTGAAGACTACTGAATGTTATGGAAACTATGAGTCGACATAAGTTAGACAATCACCAAAAACTAGGAAGCACTGGATAATTGTTTAATCTTCGTATGGGACTCATCGTCCATGGTCACCCACGACCCCACTAGGATCAAACCTTAGATACTCAAGTCTCACAATGATAGAAAACTCCTGTTCTGAAGTTTCGGAATAGCGTAAATATATTTTATCCGACAAAAAGTCAATATGACAAGTTAATATATTTAAATGCTTCAAATGAAATGTGCGTTAATTTGTAAGGAAGTACTATTCATGAAGTCTCGAAAATTTAGGAATTCTTTTGCCCTACTAATTAATGGATTTTAAACATATATAATCCTCATTGTAAACAAATTATTCTATGTTCAGTTTACTTAAAATGATGAGGTTATATTTTATTAGTGATAAAAAAGTAAATCATATGAACTAAGTATTTCATACACGTAGTTCCCTTTATCATTATAATAACACTGTCTTCACTAACTAAACCTTCGGTATTGGAAACTACAATTTCCGAACGATAGTTCCCTATTCAACATAATGTTGTATTATCGAATAAGACTATGGTTGTTTTCTTAGTAAAAACTATATCATTTAGTTGTGAACATGCCACAGATTATCGCATAACAACTATGGTTATCACCTAGAATTCACTTCTTAAGTAAAAAAGAATGAGCTATGTCTATGCAGATATGCTGATGTGCACAAATTATTATGATGTTTTAAAGAATTTAAATGTATAAGGGTCGGCTACAATGAATAACAAAGATTTAGTTTTCATCAATTAATGATAAAGGTCAGAATATGTTGTTCGTTTTTTTAGAATCTTACATAGAATTATAACACTGTAGTAGAAGTTTTATTAATAAAAACAGAATATACACGTTTGTTGAAGTCTTTGTAGTCATCTGTATCAGGTCAGTTAGATGTATTTGTATTGCCAGTAATCCAATTTTTCTAAATTTCGATAGGTTTCCAGAAACATATTCCTTACTTACTTACGCCTGTTACTCCCAATGGAGCATAGGTCGCCGAACAGCATTTTCCAACCCACTCTGTCCAGGGCCTTCCTTTCTAGTTCCATCCAATTATTATTCATTCCTATCATGTCTGTCTCCATTTCCCGGCGCAATGTGTTCTTTGGTCTTCCTCTTTTCTTTTGGCCTTGAGGATTTCATATGAGGGCTTGTCTTGTGACACAGTTGGGTGCTTTCCTCAATGTGTGTCCTATCCACTTCAAGCGCTTCCCACAATAGGTTGTTGCTAATAGTGTCTGGCCAACGGATCCGAAGTATTTTACGTAGACAACTGTCAATAAACACTTGTATCTTCTGGATGATGGCTTTTGTATTTCTCCATGTTTCCATCGCATACAGTAGAACTGTTTTGACATTTGTATTGAAAATCCTGACTTTGGTGTCTGTTGAGAGTTGTTTTGAGTTCTGAATATTCTTCAGTTGTATATATGCTGTTCTTGCTTTACCGATCTCTCCAATTGTTGGTCGGCCAACATCGATTGGAAGGTCTGTGAGTGCTACTTCGATGTTAGATGGGTTCAGTGGAGCTGGTCGATTCAAGAGCTCTTTGAAGTGCTCTACCTAACTTTCATTTAGAAACATATCCCCAGTCTCTTTTTATTGACACACACCATTAGTCAACGATAAATTTTCTAATATATCAAATTACATAATATGCTTTCTATTCAAAGATACAGCTTCTTTTATGGTTACCAATGATAAAATCTCATTTTTAAAGATCGAATTAGAACTAGATTTATATTTCCTGCTAACTTCTTAATGAACTAAACTGATTTTTAATATATTACTGATAACAAAAAAAATTAATATCAGTCATGTTATTGGAATTGAAAATTATTCTCATGGATAAAAAAATAATAACATGAAAGCATTACTAATGAAGTTTTAAGTAAATGAAATTTAATCTTAGACCGTTAAAACAATGATCGAATTGTCTGATTAGACTAGAAGTTTATAGAAAAGATAAAATGGTATTCTGATATTTTTGTATTGTATACCAGATTAATACTTGTTTACCAAATAAATATTTGATTAGATTATATATTTATATACTTTTAAATACATTTCTCATCATCATTATATTCTCACTTCTAATGTGGAATTCAAAGTGGACATTTGGCAACCATTTTTAGCCATGTGTTTAATAAATGGTATGTCTGGGATACCTGGTTTAGAAGAATCATTATTATTAGATGGTGGTTGGAGGTAGTCGACAGGAAACCCTGGACCCGGGTTTCGTGCTACTTGGCACTCGTCAGCAAGGTGTACCTGTAATCTTCGAGGGAACTGGTGCTCCCTGGCGGATTCGATCCCGTGTCACGCAGCTTCACAGTCAGAGACGTTACCACTGAGCTATCCGGGCCGCGACCGACCTCCTGTTGGACTGACATGTGATCACAATTGATTGAGTCACCTAGACTGGTGGCCACATTGCAACATGATCGATAACATTCGATCTGCACTAATAATAAGGACTAGACACGCATGACATTGGTCACCCAGTGATCAATCAATTGTGAAACATTATTATTTTCAATGTATCTAAATCTCCATAAATAAATCAATTGAAATATCAACTTATTATTATCTTACTTTTAAAACAAGGTGAAACTGTATGATTCTATTTGGATTACATTTGATTGTCTGGGTTGAAACAAATAACTTAATTGTATGATAACTCATGTCATTAATTTATTGATCCAAGCTTTCTAAATGGATATGTTTCAAAAGACAGAACAGTCGGGTATCAAGGATGAACAAAATTTCTTTCATAGATTAATTGTAAATTAACCATGAAGACATTAAAAATTTATTACAGATTTTGTTTAAATATCAATTATATATGTTGCAGTTAGTTGAAGTTAGACATTAACACCATTGGATGGCGGCTCAATGATCTAGTGGTTAGGCGCTCGCGCGCGGGACTGATAGGTCCTGGGTTTGAATTTCACAGGGGGCGAGGTCGTGGATGCGCACTGCTTAGGAGTCCCACAATAGGTCGAAAAGGCCATCCAGTGCTTCCAGGCTTTCCATGGTGGTCTAGCTTCAACTGACTCATGATCTCAACCATTGAAATAGTATATGTGTTTTTTTTTAAATCATATTTTCAGAATGTTGAACAATAACAAATTAAGATGTATTGCGAAAGGAATATTTACAGAATTAAATCTTGAATCATTGTAAGTTTTGACTTTGAATAATATTGGTATTTTGAATGCTTTTTAATGTCTAATTGTTTCCATTTCAAAAATATCTTGATTTTTCATGTACTCTGGATACATTGACGTATTCAGAACACACATAATTAAAGTCTAATCTGAAAATGCATATTTCAATTCAGAAGATAATATAAGTTACCAGCAACTTTAAATTACTAGTTAAGGATATAAACTTTGTTTGTGTTGTTGAACAATCTACTTTTTTGAATCAATACCGTGAATACATTTATGACCATGAATAGATAACATTAATTGAATCCTGTTATAATTATGAAACCTTTCTTAAGTATTTGTCCTGGGTTTGAATTATGCTAGGCGGGGTCGTGGACGCGCACTGCTGAGGAGTCCCGCAATAGGTTGAAACGGCCGTCTAGTGCTTCCAGGTTTTCCATGGTTGTCTAGCTTCAATTGACTCATAATCTCAACTATTGAGAGATTTATATGGTAAGCGAGGAAGGCATATATATATATATATATATATATATATATATATATATATATATATATATATATATATATGTAATTGAATTGAAGTATAATTGAATTTCATTTATATCGATTTCAGTCCGAAGGTCATATATATTTCATAACCTTCAGCTTCCTTGACAGTAGCAATGAACAATTAATGAATGTATCAACTAATACTACGTCTGAGTCCAACTAATTTAGCTGTTTTTCAAAATTGTTTTTTGAAGGCAGAACTCAAGTTTTTACAATTAAAAATTTTTGAACAATTTTAGTTTTCATATTACAAAATTTTGATAATGAAGCCCGTTTTAGGTCTGATGACTGTTTTTATTATAGATACCATTTTGTCACTAGAGTTTTAAAGCTAATGAAAACATAAGAAACCATGGTTCAAACTGGAAGATTAACTTTTGGGGAGTTCTGCCTTACAGTCTTTCATCAGAATCACTGACACAGAAATCTCGTTTTTATATCATTTAAAAAAAACTAATGCCGTCTGGTACTTATTAGCTTTCACAGAGATGTCAGTCAGTGAGGAAAATGATTTAATGACTAAATAGATCACCAAAAACGACCTACCTGAATAGTAATCATGTTTTTACTGGTAACTGATTTCAAGACTAACTCACTTTGAGTCGAATGAGAAAGCGTGGTCTGTTTGATCAAAAATATGAACAGTGAGACATTTATCAATAACATTGGATGATCATCGTCCTATATTCCAAAGCGAGTAAAGTTGAAAATGTTTACCGTCAAATCTCTATCCAATGGTCTGAGAGAGACATGAACTCTGTGATATCTAGCGGAACTGGGTATAAGCACGTTTTGGGCTTTATATTCGATGCAGACTCTGAGGCTTCCAGAGCTAGAAGGAAATATCTGTCTAGTACTTAACAGTTTTTAATGGTTGTTCTTTTAAATCATTTAATTACAACGCATATTAGATCAAATTTTTCTCCAAAACCATCTTAAATAGTAATTTATTTTGTATGTTACATAAATAAATAAATAAATTAATTATTTTGTTGTTTACTTTCAAAAAAATATTTTAGAAGCTTAAGTGCCAATCCCTTTAAATGTGATTGTCATCTTAGTTGGCTGCCGGATTGGTTAAGAAATAATGCAAATCAAGTAAATGAAGGTCCATCACCACCAATATGTGTATCCCCAGAAGATTTAGCAGGTACACCAGTGGCTAGCTTATCACGTTATCATTTCATATGTAAAAATTCTGCTTCCAATTGCCTATCTAATGAAAATTTACATTTAAATGAAAAGTCAAATACTAATGAGAATGGGATAGTTCAAAGTGTGCAAAATTTATACTGTGATGCAATGGAAACCAGTTGTTGTGAAGTAATAACAGGTATTTGATACAGAACATTAATTTTGTATTATTTTTGTCCTTTAATAGCTTTGTACTTATTAGTTTAACATTGTTACGAAGATATTTTCATTGGTTCGCGGTGTTATTTAGTTAGTTTAGTCTGTCTTATCACAGAACGTTTTACTATGTTGTATTGGGTAACTAGCAGAAGTCAATAGGAAATCATGATGTTTATTTTTTCCAACGAGTGTGGAAATTCACAGGAATACCTTTTTCTTCTGACAACTGACTATATGTAGGACTGATTAAATTTGAATTTAAGCACTAAATAGTTCAATTTATTATTATTCCAACCAACGGCGTTATAAATAAAAGTGTTGATAATACGAAGGGTATAGATAATAATCTAAGCAATAGGAATAATATAAATTAGTGAATATAACATTGCGCTTGATCTTGATTTTTATAATTTCCAACCTACGTGTGCTCAAGTATTACGTCATGAAATTTCTAAATAAACTATCAGCTAGCTAACTTTATTTACGGTCTGAACGAATTCACAGATTCGTGTGGCGCATATGTATTTGGTGCCTCCCTGTACCTAAACCTATGTGTTAAAATAATAATAATAATAACAGAGTGATATCTCATAAATGACATTGAGTTGGTAGGATTTACACTAGTAGATATCATTCATATTTATTGATTTTCTGTACACATGTAATCGTTTCTCTCTGATCATTAAATTTATTTCATGTGAGCTAAATTTTGTGAATCCAACCCTTTTGATATTACATACATTTTCGTATTTTTAATGTAGTGTCTTTTTTTTGACAAATCCGTTTAGCTTGATAGTAATAAAATAAGTCCTATTGCAGAGGTTTCCTGAAAAATTCTAAACTGTATCAAGCATATAATGTAAACTAAAGTGGTTATTTTTATATTTCATTTATAAAAATATCAGTGTTCTCTTTTGGTTCCACTTATTACAACAAAAACGTTTCACCTTATAAACATCTTATAAACACTAAATCCATAGCGTCATATCAAGATAGAAATCTCAGCAACAATAATTTGTCCACGATGTATTTGTGAGGGAGTAATTCACTGAAGACAATGGTGGATGTGACGCTCAATTTTGTGGATTGGTTGAAGTTAGACATTAACACCGTTGGATGCCAGCTCAGTCGTCTGGGGTTTAAGCGTTTGCGCGCGAGACTGATAGGTCCTGGGTTTGAATTATGCGAGGCGGGATCATGGATGCGCACTGATGAGGAATCCAACAATAGTGCTTCCAGGTTTTCCTTGGTGATCTAGCTTCAATTGACTCATTATCTCAAGTATTAAAATTTGTCTATATAATTACTGATTTTCTATTTATCCTAATGTTTATGTGATTTCGGTGGAAATAAATATAATCAGATGCAATGATACATATTTGAATTATTATATTTAATTTGTTAAGTCTTTTAATTTATTTTAAGCTCAAACTACTTGTCCATTAAATTGTTTATGCGGGACTGATGGCGTTTATTGTTCAGATAGAAACTTAACAGAAATTCCTGCCAACATTTCACCTGAAACAACTCAACTGTAGGTGTATCTTTCGTTGTGTATTAACTGTTATCAAGTAATATTAAACATTGATAAATTTTACAGTTACGATAAAATATTTCTTGCAATTTGAAGGTGATATCGTTCTTTAAATCCGTGTTAGTTTACAAGAGTAATGTAAAATCGTGCTCCAGGACTAAATACTTAGGTTGCCTTTTTTAATTCTTAGTATAAAACCTTTGAAAAAAACTGGAAATAATCAGGATGAGTGAACAGAAATAAAGTTACAAAATTTGCTAACAAGTGATACTGAAAAATACTGCAAAGATTGGGAGTCACTTGACTTTTAATCGAATGTATATCACTCCGATATTTGAAATAATGAATGCTAATTTTGAAATGTGTTCGGTAAATTGATGGTAAAGGGCATCTAGATCCAGCTAATAGGTTCGACTTCTGCCTATTGAAAACTAAACTAGATTAATAAACTTCTATTTCTTCATTTTCCTAAAAGGGTTCAATATTTACCTTGTGTGAACGATTATTTGGAGAAAACACATCTATGACATTATCCTCGACATGTCGAAACTAGTTTTATTGTTTAAGTAATGTACCCTAACGAATTTGTTAAATAATATGACGTAATTTTTTGAATGATTATTAATAGAGATTTCTTGGTTTTCACGACTCACCTTAGAAGAACCTCAGTTATACTTTGCGTTCGATTTGGTTGTGTTAATGTTGTACTGAAAACCCTTCTAAAGACCTTTCATATTTGAATACTATCCAGTTGACACGCATATATGATGGTGAAAAGTCGCAAATAATTAGCTTGACATGGTATTAAAACATTTGTATGAAGTATCTTTATCGCAATGATGTAATATTATAACGACTATATAGTAGTCCAGTACCTCAAAAAGATATATATCACTGCACTGAGATAAAAAAACGATGACTGTTTTGAGATTCTTACAATTTTTTTCGATAACACAGTTCAAGCATTTATTCTAACAATATAAGACGGATAATCCCACTTTAATTTGGACCATACAAAACTGTTCCGTTTCCGATTGAGTCAACTTTCAGAATAAATTGAAGAAATAACTTCTTTTGTTTCAGATAATCATTTTTACTTAGCTGATGAAGTAATCTAGTTTTAACATCAACAACAATTGTTTGTTGGGTTACAGTGAATCACATACCTTGGAACTTTTATTCAGGTTTCTTTGTTTGGGAGATATATATATTATTCTTTGGGGTGTTTCTTCTTTGTTCTCTGTATCGTTTGCATAATATCTCGATGGCTGTCGTCAAAATTCCCGAATGTTCTGACGTGAGTGTCCTTTGTAGCTTCATCTTTTGGTCCTCTATGACGTGTTGGTATTTGCCGATCTTATAGTGTGTATCCGTTATCGTTAGGTGTACCATTTTTCTTCCACTTTGCTCAGCTATTCTCTCTCCCAGTGGGCAGTTGATTGGAGGTTTATATCTTACACTTATTGGTAGGACATGCTGGCGAAGACATTCATGGAGAAAATACAGTAGTTCTCGATCGTAAGCCTGCCTTTTGATGAAATTCTCCCATTTTCGAACAACGAGAAGTGTATTACGCTCATATGATTTTAAGATGGTGGAGAAGATTTGTAGCTCATGTGGATGATTTTGACGGGGTTTTGTTCTCTGAGCTGGATGGTTTGGTCGTGGGGCTTTCATCGTTCCTCGGAACGATATCATCAGCACAAACTTTTATCTAAAGTTTGTACTGATGGTGTGCTAGGTTTGATGTTACCGCGAGTTCATTTGATCTGTGAACGAGAACAAAGACTCGGTGACCAAAGACCAATAAGCTAGATATTTTGATGCGTTCCAGCCCCACTAACTAGAGGAAGAAGTCCAAGCTTGGAATGGGGAAGTATATTCTACAAACAGCCAGAAACGAGCGACAACAACAAACACAAATCAAAACGTATATATACAGCACAAAACCGTCCTTGGGGAGAGTTACCAAATAGCATACTAAAAGACGCAGCGGACCAATAGCATTTAAGATATTTCCCAGTGAGAAATACGACATGAAGGTGACAAGAGCGCTTTTGGTGCGAAAACAATGAAATTCAAATTTTCTAAATAAAATTACAAAATTAGATCCATTTCTAAGTGAGTTCTGGGGATCTAACGTCCCCAACGTGATGTCGTTCAGATGAACAATGAAAGCTCTACGACCAAACCATCCAGCTCAGAGAACAAAACTCCATCAAAATACATATATTATATTGCTCTGACAATTAATAAACTCTCAAAAATATATATCTTATAGCTTATTTATTTCAGAAATTTTATTTCAATCATTAGAATATGTTATAGAATTTTTGTTAAACAACACTTTTCTAAATAGGGTTTACTGATATTCGATACGGCTAATTATTTATTCATTAATTATAATTTCATGCATACACTTTGATATATATATATATATATATATATATATATATATATATATATATATATATATATATATATGTTTTTTCTTCATTTGTACTTACCTGTTAGCTATTTGGAACGAAATCAAATCACGAAAATTGATTCAAATAGAATAGCCCACTTGAAAAATCTTCAAACTTTGTATGTTTACTGAAAACTTATATTATTTAACTACTTGAATATCTTTATTTTCTATTAATATGAATCGAATTAAAATTAGAATTCATTTACTAAAAGGTTTTTTTTAAACAACTTCACATCATGATGTTTACTCTTAGTAATTTTATATACAAATTTAGTTTTGAAGGTTCTACGAATTATGAAATAGTTGATAAAGCTCATTTATATTATCCTGTGTTATTTACATTATACTTTACAAAGTATAACCGAAGAGAATGATAAGCAGAGCTATTATTCAAAATAAGAGTTTAGTGTTTAAACAAGAATATATTCTGTTCAGTGTCTTTTCACGCTTTTTTTCTTGTTTTATTTTGCACACAAAAAGATAGTATGAATATTTGAGATGTTTACTTGTTCACTGTTTTTTTCTTGATTCTTGGTTCATTTCTAAGAGATTATTACAAGCTGTTTCGAAATAAATGATAAACACTCAACATAAAACTATATAGTATTTCATCTCACAGTTAGAAATATATAAAACTATTTTATGCAGATTTTATTTAGCTTGAAACTGAAATTTTATCACATAGTTTTTTTTCATTGTTTGATATCATGAATCAATTGAAGCTAAACCACCATAGACAACTTGGAAGCACTGGACGACCGTTTCATTCTATTGTGGGATTCCTCATCAATGAGCATCCACAATCCATCCTCGCGAGATTCGAACCCAGGATCTGTTAGTCTCTCTGATTATAATCATCATATACTCACTAGTGACTGTCTCTAAGAGTTATTTCCTGAAGTTCTTGTGAGAAGCCGTGACCAGTGGAGTTCAATCAGGTCTGTTGTGAGATAGTGGCTTACTTAAAACAATGATGAACGATGGCATAATTTTGTGGATTGAATGTCGGCTCAGTAGTGTAGTAGTTAGGCGTTTGCGTGCGACAGAGATAGATCCTGGGTTTGAATCTCGCAAGCGGGTTCGCGGATGCGCACTCTTGACGAGTCCTATACTAGAATGAGATGACCATCCAGTGTTTCCATGTTTTCCATGGTGGTCTAACTTCAATTGATTCATGATCTCAACTAATGAAATTACTGTAATATCCACAAAACCCCTTTTTGAACAGACTTTAGATGGATTTCATAAAATTCTAATAGATAAAGTGAAAATTCACTTTTGTCCAGAGTTTGAAAGCAACTAGTTGATAACATTAATTAAAATTCACATAATATCCTAGGTTGAATGATATTACAAATATAAACACTTGCATTAGAACTCATTAACCGAACGATACTTTGTTCATATAAAGACTATAAACCTTAGGTTCTTTCTCAAATGAAACAGTTGGTGTGCTCAAATTATATATATATATATATATATATATATATATATATATATATATATATATATATATATATAAATCAAGCACTAGTAAAGTACATTTATTAGCACAAAAATCTGCTAGATGATTCTAAAAATGTTAGCTACACGCTGTTTTTTCGAATATCGCTCTCAGCGTCTAACAATTGAAATTCATTAGCTTATATATTTGACGAATGATATGCTTTATCATGGGTCATTATGTTAATTTAAGCCTTTTTATCTATATTTAGAGATTCATACGATTCAGCAAAAGTTTGTAATAACTGTCATATTTGTGATGTGATTGTTCGATAACGCTAAGGCGTTTGAAGCAGACGTTACTAGGTCCGGGTCTCGGAGTGAACACCATTTTGGGGATGATAGTACATCCAACTAATGAGTCCCGAATAGGACGAACCTCTTGTCCTGGATTCCACTACTAGTCATCGTTCGTCTCTGCTTATAAAGATTTACTTTGTTTATTTAAAGAAAGGACAATTGACCAGTTAAATTTTCGGAAGTGTTTACTGTATTTACATAGACCTCAAACCTAAATGGAAATCAGAACGATCGCCAACGGTACAAAACAAGATACTGTTAATGAAAACTAAATTCAAAAATGTTAGTCGTATCAGGGATCCTAAAGAAATTTCAAGAGATGTTTGTTAAAAATATTTTACTCTGCTGAATGTCATAGTGTCTTTCTCACCTGACAGCTGATTTTTGGGCGTGTTAAAGATAAACTGAGGCTTCTAGATAAATCATTACCAATAAAAATGTTTACCTGTTCTTGTGGAACAGTTCACATCTGATGCATAGCGTGAATTTTCTCAAAGCACATCCCGGAATCTAACCCTATCTAAATGCTAAAAGGGATATCTAAGTCAATCAGCAATCCAATACTGAAACATTTAGACAATTACGGACACACTGCCTCACCAGTATTATCTTTCGAAATCTTCCACAAAGTCAACAGAGTCGGCTCAAAAGGATTACATACTAAAAATTTATACATCGAAGAGGCTCAATCAATTTTACTGGTTCAAGCGTGATGTTGGAGTGAATATACTGCTTGTATTCAGTGTAATCAGATTTTTTTTAAAGATAGAAACCTTCTAAAGTAGATGGAATATATACATGAAAATCACATTAGTGCACTTCATACAGTTATGGGGAACTCGATTACTTTTTTATGACTACGGTATTTTTGAATTCATTTAGTGAAATTCTTTATGAAAAACATGTTAATCCAGCAAATGGTTTTTCTTAAGAAACGATAAGTACGATTTGCTAGTTGAGTATTCATACACTTTGATGATCCAGTCAGGAAGTGAACACTTACTTGAATAATTTTTTTTCTGGTTAGCGTTTTTTTAGCAAGTTAGTTTTCTATGGGATGGAGTCGCTAACCCCATGTCCAACTCTCCTCCTTTATCGGGTCTTGGGAGCGGCAGTAGCCCCCGGAGGGACTCCAGGCGGAGTTGACACAGTTCTCATTAAGTGAAAGGTCAAATAGCTGTTTTGTAGACTGAATGAAATAAAAAGCATCGGTTTTATGTATTGTAATCAGTTGTATGTAAATTATCATAAATAATATTCAATACTTTTCATGTTTGTTTAGTAATTTATTTAATATGAAAATATTTTCTAAACTATTCCTTGTACTGTAGAGTTTTAAGTTATAACAAACTGCGTGAACTACCACCACGTGTATTTGAAAAACTAATAAATCTAAAAACAATGTAAGTTAACCACTGTTTCCTCCTGTATTTGTTGAAATTTTATTAACTTTCAGAACGATATCCAATATGGATCGTTAGTAGTTGGATAATTGCTGAAAAACTTAGATAACTTTTAGTTTTAGTTTTGTAACACTTCAGATGTTCTCACACACTGACCAATCTGTGTAATGCATAACTGACATTTACCTTTGATGAAATAGTGACATGTAATAAACGTTCTTTCAAGGGACTATGTCACAAGAACGTATTCTTGATGACGAATTTTTAAGTGAGGCTGTAAGATTTGTTAATCATAATAACTAAAATTATAATTCAATCTAAACCGACAGAATAAAAGCTTTTCATTTAAGACATGTGCATGGCAATCAATAATATTGAAAGTCAATAGAACAAGCTTCTAGTTACTTGTAATATTCTCAAAGCTGATATTTACTCTTATTAATTGATGATAATGATGATGATGTTATCTTGGTAGATAATCAAGCTTAGCGATTGAAATATCTAGCTAAGAGAATATAATTTCATCAAAGCATTATTCTGAAATATAAATCTTCTTTATCATTTCATAAAATGGTCAATCAGCGTTTACAAGGATTTACCGTCATACATCATCTATTGTTTCATTAAACTTTTGATCTCTTCATTTTATTTGCATCATTAAGCATGATGTAAATGATTATGTACATTATCGAAGAATCCTGACAGATCATAAATATATAGATATAACAACTGAACTTAACATTAACTTTTTAAGTATCCATCTATGCATTATGTGAGTTACAGCTCTGAATATACCATAGAATTCGTTGATTAATATAAAAATACAATATATTTTTAAACATCTGTATAAATGATCAGATAAACTAGTATGATGTAGGCAAATAATGCTGTACTTATGAAGTAAACAGAATTAATTACCTATTTACCTATTTTCTTGTCTATATTTATATTTAATAAAAAAATAACAGAAGTATTGAAAATGACAAAATTTTTATTTTACTGATGATTCATTTTTTATTTGTTCATATTTAATATATAAATCGTCTAGACAAAATTTTAAAATTGAGGTCATTTAAATCATAAAAGCATAATAAATTCAGTAGATGCCGGCTCAGTGGTCTAGTGGTTAAGTGCTCGCGCGCGAAACCAGTAGGTCCTGGGTTTGAATCTCGCATGGGGCGAGGTCGTAGATGCGCACTGCTGAGGAGTCGCACAATAGGGTGAAACGGCCGTCCAGTGCTTTCAGGTTTTCCATGGTGATCTAGCTTGAACTGACTCATGATCTTAACCATTGGAATTACTATAATATCCACAAAACCCATCTGACATTAAAACAAAAACCATGGGAATATACTTTGATAAAATTGTAATAATTGAAAATGGGAAATAAATGTAATATCCTGTTGCTATCATTAAATCCAAATTCAATTTATAGCTAGTAGATGACTTGTATCCGTATGTTACCTAAAAAAGGTAATTGTTTCGATGGTGCTTTCTTTAAAATTTCTCGACATCTCAATACGTGATTAAGAACATTAATAGTTCAAATGAATATCATGTTGATTGAGTTCTACTGTCAGGATGATTTACTAGTGAACATTATTATGCTAGACATCCTCAAACGTATAAACTATACAAAGTATATATCAATCTAATACTTTTCTAATTTAGACATATATAAATAAATATGTATATGCATATCAGATTTCACTAAATCATTTAGTTTATCAATAATATTGCAGTTGAGTATAAAACTTACTTAAATAATTCAGATATTTTTATACACTAAATTTTCAGATTCGTGTTAAAGGAACAAAATCGAAAACCATTTCATGAGAAACTATTTTCTTAATTTCATACTTGTAGGCTAGTGATGGGACCTAAAACGTTTTTACATTAATTTACAATTGTTATAGAAAAGATGTTACTTGTTAACTGAATGGTCCAAATGATAATTATCTGATTTTTTCATTATTAACCACCGAGTTCTCTTCTCAACTGAAGCACTAGTATATAAGGATATAAAACCAGTTCACAAGTCTCATCGTCTAATTAAAATCGTCAACCTGATAAACTTAGATTGTACCTTAGCTTTTGTGAAAAAGTACTTGTTTTCTTTTTTTAATAGGAAAGAGATTACCCATCTTTATTTTGCTAAGCTTTGAGAAGAAAATCAATTAAGTTTTAATAAACATGTTAGCATACACTCGACAAGAAATCGATTTTCAAACTTTAGATAGTGAACTTTTCAATTGTAACCTATAAATAACAATGTACATTATAATATATTAAAATAATATCTTTTATTATATGTATGGTAGAATTCTTTATGTATTCTCTTCTGTTTTCAGTGTATTGAGCTATAATAACTTGCAATGTATTCATCCAGAAGCTTTTCATGGCTTGTCAAATCTTCGAGTTCTGTAAGTGTTTCACTAAGATTATATACTTATATTTCATTCATGACTAGTGACAAATTATATCTTATTTTGCTTCCCTGTATATGCAGAAACGATTTATATCCTTGATGGTTAAACGTATGTTTAAAAAATGATCTTTGAAGTTGATTGAAGAAACAATGGTGATTTACCAACACAATAGTTATACTTTTTTTATGCTTACCTGACAATTTCTGCATAACAATAAAACCGTAAAATATAATATATTTTAGGTTTATAAATTTTGTCATTATCATACAGAATAAGTACTTAATGTTTACACTTTTATATACTTCCCATAAAAAAACTTAAGTCTTCTATTGAATGATTTCTCATATTACAGAAGGTACTTTATAAGACAGTATTATTCCCTTTTATTAATCTACCCTTACTTTCCTCTAGAGGAAAAAAGAAATAATAAGCATATTTGTTCACCAACCCATAATATGCATATTAATATATGTTGTTTCAAAGGTCATAATATCTTTACTGTATAAAACTGTATGGTTTTAGTGTCTGTTATTATGTTAAGCCCAAATATCTTATTCTAGCTTTCGGATAGCTCAATCTATTCATTCTACTTGAGTCACATTCTGACCTTGTTAATTATTCGCTTATCAATCTTGATCGTTTTTATATGAGCGCGTAGGTGTGTGTACATTTCTTATTCTATTCATCACATGTCTGTAACTTAATTTTGTGTGACTATAAATATTGATTAACGTTTGGTTATATGGGAGTTGGCTTACCAGCCATCTTCACTGCGTGTTATTTCTCTTCTCTCTATTCCATTAGCTTCACATACAAAATATATGTATTCAAAAATCCATTCTCGTTATTTGGCTTATTTAATTCCGTTATTGACTAACGCGATTTAAGTCGATGATTATATACGAGGATAGGCGACATATATATTTCGACAACAATCATTCATACGATCAAATTAGAGTCAGATCTCAGTCCATTAAAGTGGAGGGCCCTTCGAAAACATCGTCCGATCTAAATGACGACAAAATAAAGGGCCCCACATCATATTAGTATTTCAATCAAAATACAAAAATCTGTTTTAACCATCTTTACTCATCAATTATCAAAAGGATAGACATAACCAAATGTTAAAAAAACATTTTTTTTTCTGTGATATCAAATAACTAATAAAATCATATCAAAAACACATATGTCACCATTAAATTAAATCGATTTCATTAGTAACAAAAATATGAATAGACCAGTTTCTATACTTCTTAAGAAATGCTTTAAAAAATTATTCTTCTAAATAGTACTGTATATATTGATTGAAAGAGATCAATTACTAACCAATTCAATAATTCAATTCTCAATCAAATATAAACAATTATAACTTCAAAGTAATAGATCGTTTACATTAGTAAAGTTTATAGGATAGTGATATTAATTTATCAACAAAAAAAAGTAAAATCGATGATCGATCATGAATTTCATCAGTGAATTATTTATAAATGTATTGTTACTCCTGTCTTATTTTTTTAAAAAGACTTACTTTCAGATAATTAGAATAAATAACAGGATTAACTAGTGTTATAAATAGAAATGTGGAAAGTCATGTTTATTTGTTTCTAGCATATTTTCATAAAAAACATATTAGTTTATTAGTAATATTCACTATTTGCTTAAATCTTGCTGGAATGTATCAAACGGAATAAGTGTCCTGGGTCTAACTACTAATCACTGTATTTGATAGTTACAGATAATGAATGGGAAATCTTGGGCATATGTTTTATTTGAGTCGATAATCGTTAATAAAGCATACCTGTAATGTTGTAGATACTGAAATTCCTTGTCGGACTTCAAATCGGATCATCTGATATGTTACCGGTGATGTATTAGAGCCACGACTGACATCTTGTAACACTGAAATATTCTTCATTGTTTGACGGAACATTACACTGATCAATTCTCTGTAATTAATCACAGGTTTCATCTTACACCTTTTCTATAATTCATTGTACGTACTGCTATGTTTGAAGAGATTACGAGTTCGCCTAAATCTGAGAACGGAACGAAGACTGTGACACAATAACAGATAAAATAGCTATTTCAACTCGTCCCACCCCCGCTAACTAGAGGGAGAAGTCCATGTTCGGAAGAGGTAAATATATTCTACAAGCAGCCAGAAACACGAACAACAACAAACACAAATCAAACGTATATATAGAGCATAAAAATGTCTTTGGGAAGCGTTATAAAATGGTATACTAAAACATATAACGAACCAATAGCGTTTAAAATCCTCCCAAATGAGAAATACGACATCAAGGTAAAAATTAGCGCTTTTGTAGCGAAAACAAGAAATTCAAATCTTTAAAATAGAATTACAAAAATAAAGCATTTACCAAGTGAGTTTGGGGGATCCAACAACCTCAAAACATACATCATTTAAAAAATAATCCCTTCCTTTTGTTTCTTTTCATCAATGTTTTTTTATAGAATACTTCAAGGCAACAATATCTCTAGTGTACCACAGGGTACATTTAATGATCTTGATCAACTAAACAATGTGTAAGTTGTTCTTACTTATTTGTATCATTTATACACTTTTCTTGTCACTTTTTTATTATTCTTCCAACTATCTTGTATATATTTTTCATTGTTTATCTAAAAAAAGAGAGAAAAATGAAACAAACTAATAAAAAAGGAATAAAACTTTAAAATAGACACACAAAAGAAATAATTATTCAAAACAATATAGTAAATTTAAAGTACATGTATATTTTCATTGAATGTATAACATTATATATAAACTAAGTAAAGATTATACATATGATATTTTTATGTTTTATTAGTAATTTCAGTAATATATATCATGTGATTTATTGAAATTTATTTAACTAATATAAACATTTCTTGTAGATAAATTCACATTGATGTAGATCATTATTGTTTATTAGGAATTTTTTAAAGTAAAATAGACATAAGATAAAAGTTTTCCTTATTATAATCAAGTTTCAGAAGGAATTTTGTAGATATCATAATTTTAATAGTTGAGATCATGAGTCAACTGAAGCTAGACCACCATGGAAAACCTGAAAGCACTGAATGGCTGTTTCACCCTAATATGGGATTCCTCAGTAGTGCATATCTAGGATCTCGCCTCGCGAGATAGATCCTTCGTTTGAATCTCACGAGGTGGGATCGAGGATGTGCACTTCTGAGGAGTCCCACAATAGGACGAAACGACCGTTCAGTGCTTCCAGGTTTTCCATGGTGGTCTAGCTTCAATTGACTGATGATCTCAACTATTATATTCAAATTTGTTTATAAGTACAAGATGACAATTGTGTAGAATTTTACTAAAAGATTTACTTAAGAAGTTAGTTTGATTCAACTAACATTTGAATAAACTGGTCTATTTTGTTAAAGAGATAATTTATGTCAATATTATCAAGTTGTCTTATTTAATATATAATCAGAGAGGGATTTTGCGGAAATTCATGAGTCAACTGTAGCTAGATCACCATGCAAAACCTGGAAGCACTGGATAGCCGTTTCGAAATATGTGCGACTCCTCAGCAGTGCGCATCCACGATCCCACGTCACGAAATTCGAACCCAGGACTTATCAGTCTCGCGCGCGAGCACTTAACCATTAGACCGCTGAGCCGGCATGAAACGGTGTTAATGTCTGACTTCAACCAATCCACGAATGTTTTATAGCTTGTCATGAGAATAAATCCTTCGTGGATTGCGTCAACAGTCTATTCAATACAATGACCAGTTTAGTTTACTTTTATATTGATGAAATGAAGTTGTTATATTTCAATTCCAAATTATAACCTATAGATTATCAGGGGTGTTATCGTTCGAATTTATCCATTTGATACAATTAAAAATGAAATTTAGTAATTTTGGACAATTAATTTCTCAGATTAATATTGACTACTTATATTGATGACCAGTAACATCTTACTGTACGAATATTAACCACTAATCGTTTTCTCTCAAATCTAGGGCACTCGGTCAAAATCCTTTACACTGTGATTGTACAACTAAGTGGCTGAATAGTTTCTTTCGTCAAAATTTCCTAGATAACGGAATCTCATTGTGTCATAGTCCTTCAAATATGAGGTTAAAATCGATATATCATTCAAAACCTACAGATTTTATCTGTCCATTGAAGCAACAACATGATCCACAAAACGACGTAAATACAAGTTCACTTGTAAATAGAAACGAAAATCTTCTTTACTTTCAAAACGCGAAAATATCATTACCTAAAGAACAATACAACCATCAAGATCAAATCACAAATTCAGAGTTGAATCAAGAGATTTTTAGCAGAGAAAAAGAATCCTTGATAATTGCTGCTAAATGTATGCCATGTTTATTGAATCCATGTCAAAATGGTGGAACATGTTTAGCATTAACTCAGTTGGATTACAAATGTTCATGTAAACCACCATATTACGGTAAGAACTGTGAGCAAAGAGATCATATATGTTCAACAAACCCATGTCAGAATGGTGGTTTATGTAAAATTACAGCTTATCCAAGTTCATACAAGTATGTTGAAATAATTTAATCGATATTCTTAATAAATCATTATAATTGATTAAGGTAGTTTTCTTATTAGTTAGCATACTGATGCTTAGTGACTAGCCCATCTCCTTCAGCTATTTACATTTATATCCCATGAATATTTTATTGTTTGATTTATTTAAACAGAAAGGCATCACAGTTTATAAGGCATTATATTTTTTAAGTGTACCTTGCAACGGTTTTCAGATAGTCTATAACCAATTTTCATCACTATCATAAACTAAATTTTATCCTGAAAGTTGAACAAAAGTTGATAGTTTTTTAGTTGTAGTCCAGAAATCTCTCAGATGCCTGTACCATCTGGCAATTTCGTCATGAAATCCATAAGTTTAATGTACGACAACAAAAATGTCAGGTGAATGAATTATGAGTAAGATTTGAAGAAACCCACCAATAATTTGTCAGTAATGACGCAGTTTGAAATTATGGTTAGTTTATGCTAAAGTGATCTCTATTACTTATATTTTCTGATTGATATAAGTACACATTCATATCTTACTCTCGACAATGGATGTAGAAATTAGAGACCATTTAATAAGCATCATACCCTTTCAGCTTGTCCAGTCTAATTCGCTTTACTAATTAGAGCTTGTATTCTTTTAATGTTTCAGATGTATCTGCCCGACAGGTTTTCATGGACCAACGTGTAACAGACAAATGGAAACCTGTAAGCAAAATGTTTGCGAAAATGGAGGGACATGTGAAGTCTTAGATAATGATTATCGATGTCATTGTACATCTCTATTTCACGGTTGGTTTAAATTGACTACATTTATGATGAATATGATTTGTAATTTGAGATAAATTCCAAACCGTTTTCATGTATCGAACAAAACATTTTTATGCCAAAAATACTCTTATCACTCAAAAATGGAATGCAGATAGATTCAACAATATATCTTCAATAAAATCTATCTTACATTGTTGAAAAACAAAAACAAAACTAAAAACGACTTATCAATGGATTAAAAGTACAAGTAAAAAATACTTATTTAAGTGTTATGCTAGACTGTGAGTCTTTTCAATGATCTCAATGATCTAGAACTGGTTGATGTACATTATTTCATTTAACTGACTATAAATAGCTCAAACTTAGATTGAGGAAATAATAAAATAGTGCTTGACTCAATAACGAATATCTCCGTCCACAGGAGGTTGTTTTAAACTAACAAGGTCGAACTGTATAACCCAGTAAAAAGTATTAATATAAGAATTATTCGTTGAATCACAGCTACTATTTAAATTCTAGAAATAACGCCAAGGCAACTATGATTTGCTTAATCTGTAACAAATCAAATGAGACTTGGGTAACTACACTGTGAAACTACAGCTTTGTTTTTTGCAGTTGAAACCTTGAGGCATAGACACTTCTTAAAGTATGCCTTTAACTATATACCGTTCCCTGTGTTAGCCATGTTACATACCGAATAGCGAACGATTTTAACAATATATTATATGGATTATACTATTCGTAATGTTTCATTTAATACTTGAATTCTCATTTCAAACTGGAAAGCTTACTGTTACTAGACCTGTCTAAATCAAAGACATTTTGATTTATTGAATAAATGAACGAATGTTGCATATATGAAATTCCCAATTGTCTAATTATTGCTTATCTGGGGATTTACTCAGTTTTGGAGTGAAGTAAGCTTAGAACATTTAATTTAAAATAAATCGGAGTATACAATATTATCCCAATTGTTCGGTCGTTAAAAAATGTAGGCATAAATAATTACCGTCTTTTATCGTTGAAACGATTTTTGTAAACTTTGAGTCCTTAGATATTACTCAATACTAGCCACTTGGCAATTAGGTCTGACATTTTTTCTACCCAAACTAGATAATGGTCCAGTTAAACAGTTTGTTCGATAATTCACATTTTACTGTCTACACAGGGATGACATATTCATCCTCTGTAAAAATAGTATATTACACCAAGAGGTTTTTAAACAATTTAATGAAGTACCCCCAGCTTTTAGTGAGGGCATAATAGACTTTTTCAACGCTCTGTTAAAATAAAAAGTTATTAGGTCAATAAGAAGGGTTTTAAACGGAAGAAGTAACTGGACGGGACATTACACACATTTCATTAGCACCTATACAATACAAAAGAAACATGACAAGAACTCTTATTTATCGAATTTGGACTATATATTCTACTGATGTATTTAAAGATAAATTAAACATCTTGCGTAATACTCCTAGGGAAAACGGATACTCTGGAACTAGATAACAAATATATAACCACAAAGGTTAGAATGAGCGAAATTCAAACAATGGATAAGAAATCTTTGTATCATGTACTTACAATCCAGAGATGGTGCAATCAGTAAAACACTAATCCAGAGATTACGTAGAATTATCCAAATTACATCTAAAACTGAAAATCTACGACCTGTGTTTTTCGCGCGCCTAATGCTGATACCGAGGTTAAAAGATAATTTACGTAGAATGACTGCTCTTGTAGAGCAAGTTATATCGGTCAAATTCCTAGAAATCTACATTTTCGTGTTCTTTAACATCTCTCATCGCTGATAAACAACGATGAAGGCAACCCTTTTTCATACCATGGCCAACCTCAGAGCCGATAAATCAATCCTAATCTTAACTATATAATGACATACTCTGATGACTACTGTATACACAACCTTTCGTAGTCAAATATTATTAATTTTATTATTTTTATTCACATATTTTTGTTTTATAATTATCTTTATTGGTTCAACATCACTATCAGTTTCCCGAATACACAATTAATTTTCTTAGCATCCATTCCACTTTATTATTTCTTATTAGATTTACATAACTTTATACACAATATAGTCTTCCAATTAACATTTGATCGAATTTGTGGTTGCATCATTATTACTGATGCATATTTAATTTGATCGTTTATCCCACAATTTTGTTTAACGTATTAGCTTATTCAAGTTAACATTGCATATTAATCATGTCAACATTAACAATTTTGTTTTAATTTCCAATCCTAAATTCACATGTTATCATTTTAAACAATGAACTTTGTTTTCCATGGTGGTCTAACTTCAATTGACTCATGATCTCAACTATTGAAATTACTACAATCTACACAAAACTCCTCTGATTATAATGAACTTCGTTTTAAACCTGGTTACTTTTTTAGATTTAAAATATGAAAAGAACTTATTAAATTGTAAACACTACAAAAGTAAAGTTAAATAAAACTTGCAAATAGTATTTTAAACATGATGCAGAGTCACTACAACATCTGACTGACTGATAAATGAGATAATTTCTTGTTCAAATTTTGCTATAACATAAACTTTCTTTTAATTATCATTCAGTTATATCCATTGGAAACTGGTATATATTTTTTAAAACTTGTATACTCATTACAAAACTTTTACAATGATGTATTAGTTAAAATAATAATTATTATACAATTTTCACTTTAGGTAAAAATTGTCAACATGAATATATTTATTGTGAAGAATTGAATCCATGTGGAAATGGTGGAAAATGTATTAGTTTGCCAAAGAATAATTACAGGTTAGTGTTCAATCATTATAAACAATGTTAATAAACTTTTTTTTAGATGTGAGTGTTTGACTGGATGGATTGGAAATGATTGTCAAATAAATCAAGATGATTGTGTATATAATAGATGTGAAAATGGTGCTACTTGCGTAGATGGGATCAATGAATACATATGTAAATGTCGTCCAGGATATGCAGGTCAGATTATTGAATATTTTAATATTATTATCGAGTACAATATAATCGATAATATTATCCATTCTTGTACAATGAAACTAATTAACAACCAAGTTACTATACAAAATCTAGAAATCAATGCTATCTTGAGATTGTATGTTGCTATTGTTATATTGTTATGGGTAAACGGCTCTTATAATCAATAGATTTAAAGGACATGATTTATTTTAGAAAATGTCTATTATATCAGAGAAATTCATTAGTGATACCTCAAAGCTTATTTCAGAACAAAGATTTGATCTGTAAAGTCTACTATAATTACTTTCAATTAGTAGATGCGTATTACAAATACATCCTAATATTATCAGAACGGATTGTGTGGAGATTTTAGAAATTTCACTGGTTGAAATCATGAATCCATTGAAGCTAGACCACCATGGAAAACCTGGAAGCACTGGACGGCCATTTCGTCCTAGTATGGGACTCCTCAGCAGTGCGCATCCACGATGCCGCTCCTCGCGAGATTCAAACCCAGGACCTATCAGTCTCGCGCCAGGCGCTTAATAATAATCATCTGGTCACTAGTGACTGACTTCAAGAGATACTCCTGAAGTTCTAGTGAGAAGCCGTTACCAGTGGAGTTCAACCAGGTCTGTTGTGAGATATCAGCTCACTGAAGACAATGGTGTACGGTGGCGCAACTTCGTGGATTGGTTGAAGTTAGACATTAACACCATTGGATGCCGGCTCAGTGGTCTAGCTGGTTAAGCGCCTGGCGCGAGGCTGATAGGTCCTGGGTTCGAGTCTCGCGAGGAGCGGCATCGTGGATGCGCACTGCTGAGGAGTCCCATACTAGGACGAAACGGCCGTCCAGTGCTTCCAGGTTTTCCATGGTGGTCTAGCTTCAATGGATTCATGATTTCATCCAGTGAAACATCCTAATATACCAAAAATATCAACATCATATAATATACTTACTACTTACTTACGCCTGTTACTCCCAATGGAGCATAGGCCGCCGACCAGCATTCTCCAACCCACTCTGTCCTGGGCCTTCTTTTCAAGTTCCATCCAATTCTTGTTCATTTTTCTCATATCTATCTCCATTTCTCGGCGTAATGTATTCTTTGGTCTTCCTCTCTTCCTTCGACCTTGAGGGTTCCATATGAGGGCTTGTCTTGTGACGCAGTTCGGTGCTTTCCTCAATGTGTGTCCTATCCACTTCCAGCGCTTCTTCCTGATTTCTTCCTCCACTGGGATCTGATTTGTTCTCTCCCACAGTAGGTTGTTGCTAATAGTGTCCGGCCAACGGATCCGAAGTATTTTGCGTAGACAACTGTTAATAAACACCTGTATCTTTTGGACGATGGATTTCGTAGTTCTCCAGGTTTCCGCCCCATACAGTAGAACTGTCTTGACATTTGTATTGAAAATTCTGACTTTGGTGTTGGTTGCCAGTTGTTTTGAGTTCCAGATATTCTTCAGTTGTAGATATGCTGCTCTTGCTTTGCCAATCCGTGCCTTCACATCTGCATCAGATCCACCGTGTTCATCGATGATACTGCCCAAATATGTAAAGGTTTTTACATCTTCCAAAGCTTCTCCGTCAATTGTGATTGGATTGGTACATGTTGTGTTGTATCGAAGAATCTTGCTTTTTCCTTTGTGTATATTGAGACCTATTGCTGCTGAGGCTGCAGCTACACTGGTTGTCTTCTCCTGCATTTGTTGTTGTGTGTGCGATAGAAGAGCCAGATCATCTGCGAAGTCTAGATCATCCAATTGCATCCTAGCTATCCACTGTATCCCGTGCTTCCCTTCAGATGTTGATGTCTTCATGATCCAGTCGATCACCAGGAGAAAGAGAAAGGGTGAGAGTAAGCAACCTTGCCTGACACCGGTCTTTACTTCGAACGACTTTGTCAACTGTCCTCCATGAACGATCTTGCAGTTTAATCCATCATAGGAATTCTGTATGATATTGACTATCTTCTGAGGCACGCCGTAGTGTCGAAGAAGCTTCCATAGGGTTGTTCTGTCCACGCTATCAAATGCTTTTTCGTAGTCGATGAAGTTGATATAGAGTGATGAATTCCATTCAATTGATTGTTCCACAATGATCCGTAGAGTTGCGATTTGGTCTGTGCACGATCTATCCTTACGGAATCCTGCCTGTTGGTCTCGAAGTTGGGCGTCTACGGAGTCCTTCATCCTGTTTAACAATACTCTGTTGAAGACTTTTCCTGGTATTGAAAGAAGAGTGATTCCCCTGTAGTTGTCACAGTTGCTGAGATCGCCTTTCTTTGGTATTTTGACTAGAAGTCCTTCTTTCCAGTCTTTTGGTACCTGTTCCTCATCCCAGATCTTTTTGAAGAGAGTTTGGAGTATCCTTGCAGTTGCCGCTACGTCTGCTTTCAGTGCCTCTGCTGGAATGCTGTCTAGTCCTGCTGCTTTGCCACTCTTGATTTGTCTGATAGCCATGCTGATTTCTTCAATTGTCGGTGCGCCAACATCAATTGGGAGGTCCGTGAGTGCTGCTTCGATGTTGGGTGGGTTCAGTGGGGCTGGTCGATTCAAGAGTTCTTTGAAGTGTTCTACCCACCTGTTTCGTTGTTCTTCAATGTTGGTGATTATCTTGCCTTCCTTGCTTTTCACTGGTCGTTCTGGTTTACGGTGATTTCCGGAGAGTTTCTTTGTTGTTTCATACAGTTGTCTCATGTTTCCTTCTCTGGCAGCCTTTTCCGCCGTCAATGCCAAATCTGCCACATATTTACGTTTGTCGGTTCTGATGCTCCTTTTCACTTGCTTGTTTACTTCTGTGTATTCAGCTTGTGCCTTGACTTTTTCTGCTCTTGTTCGACTGGTATTGGTTGCTACTTTCTTGTTCCTCCTTTCTTGAATCTTATCCAGTGTATCGACCGTGATCCAATCCTTGTGATGGTGCTTCTTTTGGCCCAGAACCTCATGACATGTTGAAGTGATTGCCTCTTTTATCTCTTTCCAGTTGCTCTCCATAGTAGTTCCTTCTCCATTGAGTAGATCATGAAAGACTTGGAACTTATTGCTGAGGGTTATCTTGAATTTATTGAGTTTGTCATTATCCCGAAGAAGAGACGTATTAAATTTTTGTGATATTGTCCTCCCCGTTGTCCAGTGCCTCTTGAGTTTCAATTTCATCTTGGCGACCAGCAAGTGATGATCTGATGCTATATCAGCTCCTCTCTTTGTTCTCACGTCCTCCATCGTCCTCCTGAACTTTTTGTTGATGCAGATATGGTCGATTTGGTTCTGTGTGCTGTGATCCGGTGAAGTCCATGTGGTTTTGTGTATGCGTTTATGTGGGAATATAGTCCCGCCTATGACCAGTTTATTGAAGGCACATAGATTTGCAAATCTCTCACCATTTTCGTTCCTTTCTCCCAGTCCGTGTCGTCCCATGATCTCTTCATATCCGGTGTTGTCAATTCCAACCTTAGCATTTAGGTCTCCCATCAGAATAGTCAGGTCTTTTGTTGGGCACTTCTCGACGATTGACTGCAGCCTATCGTAGAATTGATCTTTAGCGTCTTCATTGTAGTCATTGGTAGGCGCGTAGCATTGGATGACGTTCATTGTAATCCCCGTTTTCTTTGTTTTGAAGGAGGCTTTGATGATCCTTGGTCCATGAGATTCCCATCCTATAAGTGCATTTTGTGCTTGTTTGGACAGCATCAATGCAACTCCTTGTGTATGTGGGGCATTTTCTTGTTCATGTCCGGAGTATAACAGCAGCTCCCCTGAAGCTAGTCGTTGTTGTCCAACTTGCGTCCAATGTGTTTCACTGATCCCAAGCACCTCTAAATTGTATCTCCTCATTTCTGCAGCAATTTGAAAAACTCTCCCAGTCTCCCACATTGTGCGAGCATTCCATGTACCTAAATAAATGGTTGCTCTGGTTGTCAGAAGGGGCATCGGCCTGGTGACTTCCGAAGAAACTCGGCTTTCATCATGAGGCGTCATAATTCTTCTAAACGAAGACCTCCTGACTCCCAGGGCAGAGTTTAAATGGTTTGAATAATTTTTTCTGGTTAGCGTTTTTTTAGCGAGTTAGTTTTCTACGGGATGGGGTCGCTAACCCCATGCCCAACCCTCCTCCTTTATCCGGGCTTGGGACCGGCAGTAGCCCCCGGAAAGGGACTCCAGGCGGAGTTATCATATAATATATATCTTCATTTATTCATAATACATAACAATTGCTATGAAAGTAAAATAATTTTGTATTAGCTTATATGTAAATAATTTCTAGTCTTTAGTCAAAATCAGGAGTTTAATATTGTTGAATAGATATGTTTTATTGTGGATTATTTTATGGATTTTTAGTTGAACTAGATAGTACAAACTGAAAAACTTACTGGCAAAAGCCAAACACCCTGACTACATAAAATACGTTATTTATAAATTTGGTAACAAGTCATAAATCTCATATTTAACCCAAAACCATAATTAACAGTAGGATAGAAGTAGAATTAGATGAAAAATTTATAACGTTAGTCATAAACGATTGACTTATATACAAAGCTATTAACTGAATATACTAAGGTTCATTTTAAATTTCAGAATAAACTATGCTTCGTCTGGATCTATATTATATTATTTAACTGGAATTATTTTATTTATTCTAAATAATTTTGAAATTTAAAGGTATTTATTGTGAAAGGCCAACTTGGAAACAATCAACTTATGTAACACGTATGGATAGACCGTTTAATTATCAATTAATGATTGGACGTACATCTATTCCTGGAGTAAGACAATCACCAATAAAAACTCGATCACTAACAACACAAAATCTGGATACACTTTGTGCTTATCAACAATGTCAAAATAATGCTAAATGTGTTGAAAATCAGAATGATGTGTATACATGTATTTGTCAAAAAGGTAAATATTCCAAAATTTATTTATTGCAATTTTATTAAAAATATTTTTACTACTTATAAGTAGTCTCAAAGGAGGTTCTAATTAGAGATGTTTAGAAAATGTGTTTGAATTTATTAGCGTCGAAGACATACCAATAGAGGCAACTATTCTTTATTCATCTTTGTGGTTGCTTTTCGTAACTAGCTAGTTAGACTTTAAAAAGTTCAAAGTGATTGTTATCTGAAGTCTCATGATGTTAGGAACGTAGGCTAAAAGTAACGAAGATAAAAACAGATGTAACCGCAATGTTAATAAGCTATTTTCTTATACACAATCAACAGCGAATCGATACTGTTGCTTGACAATATTGTGATATCCTTCAAAATAGGTCATCTGTATTTCTAGTTTGAATAAGAGAGATGGTAAAATGTTGTCCCTACGGTTTGTGATCAGCATAAGGCTTTCAAAAAAGTCCCTATCGCTTACAATAAAATACCATTTTAAACAGCTTAATGCAACTACTGCTTAAAAGGATGTAATCATTTTTTGTCTTTAGATAGTTCGAAAGGCCGGCTTCCACAATATTAAGTACTAGAAGTGATATTAATAAATATAATTTTGTTATATCCTAATGAGTAGAAAGATTGTATTTCTGACGTTTCGTGACTTAATGTAAGCCACTCCTTTACTTTGAAGAAGTGGCTTACATTAAGTCACGAAACTTCAGAAATACAATCTTTCCACCCATTGGGATATAAAAAAGTTATACTTATTATTAACTCATTACTCTAGGCTCAATTTATTTGAAAGTATCAAGTTCAACCTTGATATTAATACCTATAAACTCATCAATAAGTAATATTATTGAGCATATATTCATTGGCAAAAAGTACCACAAATGGTCCATATGGTTATTGTCAACAAAGTAGCCATTGATATAGTTGTGTAACTTTTAATCATGCTATCAGAATAGTGATATTATTTTTAGCATTTTCAAGAATACAATGGGAAATCGTAAAGGTCTGAATCAACTTAGAAGTGCAGTACAAATAAAATCGTAATAAATTCTGCGGGATTTTGTTATCACTAAATGTATAGGGTTACAGAAGTATGAAACAGGGTAGAGAGGTTTACGAAATAGGTCACTTTTGCAGGATCTCAGTTTATTATTTTAAATATCTCAACAATTACCAAATATTAATAGAGGAATAAGATATCTGGTGAAATTCCTGATTCCTTAATAAACCATATATTTTAATTTTTCAATTTTCTAAATCAGGTTTTTCTGGCCAATTTTGCGAAAATTTATTCGCCATAAATCTACCAAGCCCTCATTCCTATGTGGCAGTTGTACCACCAAGTAGAGGTGCTTTAGTACCAAGTGGAACAATAAGTTTTGAAATAGCCACAAGATCAACTAATGGAATTTTGTTGAATTTCATTGATACAAGTTTAATAAATAATTCGGATGGTATTCCTGAACATTACTTATTAGTCGATTTGCATGATGGACGAATTCATATTAAATTCTCATTAAATCGAAATTACACTGCTCATAATGTGAACTGTAATGTAAATGTAAGTGATTCATTGTTATAAAGTATACATTATCTTAGCATTGTTCTATCTTTATACTTGAAATAAGGTTCCCTAAAAATCGCCATTTACTTGTTTTCGACGAAATCAACGAAGAAAATTGTGTGCACTTTCTTTCTGAAGTTGTTGATATATTTTAATTTCTTCTCTTAATGTTAGTCTAATATTCATCTTGTTGAAAGGTAATCTGAAACCAATGTGATGAATAGCAGATCACTTTCTTAACTGTCATATGAAGTAACAAGTATTTTTATCATTATAAATAAATTATCACTGGTAAAACAGTTTAGTTAGTCCTCATACCATTTATATGTGTCAATATTTCTTATAATGTTAGTTTCTAATCTTAGATTTATTTTAGTACTAACGTTTGTCAACTTCAGTTTTTTTCATTTCCACAATCATCTAGTGTCGATATACCTTTGCGATTATAACAGAACACATTGCACTTTTAAATCATATAATCATTCATCGCCAAATAACCTCATGTGTTGTCAATATTCCAAATTGTTTTGGTAATTTTTTTATCCTATTTCTTTTATATCATCTCATAGGTAAATGATGGTAATTTTCACCAAATTAAGTTATATCTAGAAGCTGAGATTCTGTTTCTTTATATTGACAATAACTTATGCATAACTATGGGTAAAGTCAGTACAAAGTTGAATGAATCAATAAGTAAACATGGTCACAATAACCCAATGCATTCATCTTCTATATTCACATATAATATGGTAATTAAATCGCAACATTTGGCTTTAACAAGCCCATTATATTTTGGCGGTGTACCAGCTGATCAATTAGAAATAGCACGTCATCTGACAAATGGAATATCTGAACTAGGACTAACCGGTAAGTTTTAAAATATAAACAACCTATAACATGCTATAACACTGTCTTTATTTTAAACTAGAAATTATATACCATAGATGCAAATTTGTTCTAGTAAATCACACGACTGTAACTTTAGATAAAGCTAAACAAATTTGATTTTCATATCAGATATAAGGTTGAATTCCTAATCGTTTTATATACATTACATAAGGTGCATACTTTAAAAATTCAAATACATTCTCCTTATATGACTTATTAAAATAAACCTTTAATGCAAATATAACTGAATTACCCTAGAACCAGAAGTTTACATATTTTTATATGACGTGATACCTACTACTTAAAAAGTATCCTCATGAAACTCGAATATTAATTATACCCTAACGCTTCAGAAAAAATTCAATAGTGAACCCTGAGATCACAAATTACAAGATTATTAAACTATCTAGATCCAAAATAATGAACACAAAGTTAGTTCTTTAAATTGCTGATAGAATTTGTAAAAGACTTGGTTACTGTCAATCAAGTTGTGTTCTCTGATTCAGATCGTAATCAAAGTGGATTGGTTTAATAGTTACAATATGATCTTACAAAACGCCCAACATCTGTATGAAGCGCATGCTCATAATATTCCCTAGAATAACAGTAAACGATATGCAGCTAATGCATTTAACAGTGCCATTATTTGACGCATTTATATAAAATCATTTAGTTCGTCGAATATCAGGAACTAATATATAAATACAAGGAAAATTGAGCGGAAACGAACAGGATTCGTTCTATTTATGTAAATCTTAAAAATGTTTTTTCTTCACTTAGACGTATTATGAATCTAGTTGGAGCTACATATAAGAAGTCGTGTTTTCATCACGTGTTAAATCATTATTGTATTAAATAGTTTTAGGCTGGAACAAAACAAAGTTTTTGTTTCTAGTGGTTCTCACAGGTGATGTTCGTTTTTTAAGGAAAACTGTCTCTCTCTCTCTCCCTTTCTATATATAATTCCCTAAGTAAAATATAAATTTACAGTTGCATTTTAGTTAACACATTATTTAACAATATACAAATAAAAACAACGTAAACATTGACAAACTTTCAATAACATGAATGAACTAGTTACTAAACTTCTTTATGTAAATTATTCATGTTTTTCATTTAAAATAACTAGTGTGAACTTTCATGCCAATAATCATGTTTTGACAATTAGAAACTGTTGACGAGAAGCCTTTGAATGGTTAATTTATCTTCTGAAACTCATGAGTATCACATATCTGACATATTAGATTAACTTGGGCTTCTTTATAGTCCTGAATAGTTGTCTTAAACAAAACTGTGTTTGACAGCCTGATATACATGAGTTTTCTAAATATCTCAAATACGACTTATTGCTGAATCCCAGTGGAAGAAGAAAATAAGTTCTCGGCTTCCTGCTTCTCTACTTAAAAGAATATCAATTTCGGCATGACATAGTTAAGCAGCCAAAACACCATCTCAACACGGGTTTATGTAATGATTCAATTAACAATTAAAAAAGAAAATAGAATATAGTTTGATATTTTAAAGCTGGTCGAACAAACCTTAATAACCTATCATCCTTTTCATGAAACACTGACACACTCAGTAGCCAAAATAACTTCACTTTATGGGTGTATGAATTCAATTTGAACCATTAGATTTGCTCAATGACATTATCTCCACAAATTTCATTTTTCATTAAAATTTAACGCAAACTTTAATTATATTAAACACAATGAAGGGGGAACAGTTAAATGTTCCTGATTAGTGCAATTTGTTCTATCTTTGTTATAACTTGTGACCTGAGTGCCCTGTTAATGGATAACGTAATAATACCGCCAATCAGAGAGCAGAGAATTATCGATCGGTTCAAGGACGCGTAAAACACGTGCGAGCAGCCTATAGTTCTGATTGATACGTTTAGTATTGGTTCATAAACGGATCCCAAAGTTACCATTCATTATGCTTATCGGGATCTAACAATCTTACTTATGGAAATCGTTATTTCATATTCAGCATTACACAGTCTTTATATCAATTGGAATTATTACAAAATATTTCTGTTGAAGATCCCACTATATAAGCCAACTAACTAACTTATTTATTCATTCTAACTAGCACCTGCAGTAATGGTATGAATGGTAAAATATAATGCTTTTCTTTTCTATGTGAATTATTCTAGTGTCCATTATTTTTGATTAACTATTAACTTAAATAAACATTTACTTAACTGACAACCAAAATTATCAAACCTTATGAAATCGTTGGATATTGTTTTCAATTGCATGGATTGCATAACTATATGCATAAATCTATACTTATCACACGTTCCAGTAACTAAATAGTTCAGAGTTGACAAAATGATCATTTAAACATGTAATTTTACAGATTACACCCAAAACTGTTTATATGAATAACATGCTTTCATCTAAATGTTTACATTCTAAAATTATGACTAATCAGAACTTAATACAAAGATGACATGGAATTTAAAACTGAATAAATATACATAAAATTACATTAAAATTACTTTATCTGTTTCAAAGAGTTTTCAATTTGCAAAAGGTTCAAACAGATTAGAATTAGTTTTTATCAATAATAGATGCTAAAAGTGTTACAACACTAAAATAAGGTTGATAAGTGAACTATCAGTCCTTGTGTTATAACTTGTGGCCTGAGTGCCCTGTTAATGGATAAGTAATGGTACCGCCAATCAGAGAGCAGTGAATTATCGATCGGACCAATGACGCATAAACCCGTATGAGCAGCCTAGAGTCCTGATTGGCCCTGCTTTCCGCCTAGCCCAGCCAATTAAGTTCAGAACACCAATCCGAACCTCTGCGACATGAATCATGTATTTCAAACATACTCGGATTATATACCAATCAAACAGACCACAACGTACTATAAAATAGAAAATAACATTTGTGAAAAATTTGGCCAAATATGGCTGTGAGTGAGGGAGGTAGTGATTAATACCTTGATTTCAGTTCCTGTCAGATTCAAATTTTTATTATCCATAGGCAGTTACACACACTTATTTCTGTTGCGTTGGATTATCCAACTTAATCCCCAAAAATGTGTATAGCTGACGTTAGAAACTAACTCCACAACGTAAGAAAAAAAGAATTAACTAATTCCTGATGAAAAATTATAGTCTGCTTATTTAAACAAGTCAAAAATGAGACTTCAACTCATTGATAACATTTAGTGGGAATCAAGATTTATCACGAGTTTACTGGATTCGAAAGTATGTGCTACGCTAGTTTAAGGAACTAGATACTCTAATTTTGATTCCGTAGGGTGTCGTGAATGTGTACTGTTGAAAAGTTTCAGTCTCGGACAAAATAGCTATCAAATGTTCGTTGACCTTCAGTAGTCGGCTAACTGATGTCATGAATAGTGACCATTAGTGATACGCAGATTTGTTTACTGATTTCTTCATCAAACAATTTTTATCGATGAGGAATATCTCCTATTTTAGACATTGTATGTATTATTAATTTGTTTTCTAATATTAATGCAGCCTCGAAAATGGTTCATTAGTCAGTATTTTTAACTTATGTTTTCTGTTGGTAAGGTTGTATAAGGAATGTACAAATTAATGGTCGAATGATTGACTTCGCTCGTCTTTTTGGAGCACCAGTAGACAAAATGATTGTAGCAGAAGAACATGACACCGATTCATCTTCACCAGAAGCTAAACATCATGGGACCGCAATCGGAATATTGCCAGGGTGCAGACTAAACAATGAAAAATCAGAATATACCGAGTCTGATGCAGAATTCCAGATAAACAATAATGAGAGTGAAAAACTGAAGTCAATTAACCTTAATATGAACGAAGAGTTAGAGACCAGAAAAATTGAACCATTGAAAATAGGACAGTTACATTATACAAAAACCAATGATAAGCCAACCTTATGCGATCCTCATAGAAATAATCCATGTCTTAATGGTGGAATATGTGAAAATAGTGAAATGAATCAAACTATAGAGTATCAGTGTAAATGTCCAACTGGTTACAAAGGAGAAAGATGTGAAATAGGTATGCTAATCTTCATTACTATTTATCCTATTTTCTCTATTCCAAGATCTATTTTTATTTAAATTTATTTTACTTTTGAAACTTCTAAACAAAAAGAACTGTGATATACACTTTACCTCTCTTAAATATGTTTCATGACCGAAATGTACTTATACGAAATCAAACTAAAGCTAGAAAAGTGATTATTTCTGTTTGAATGATTCACCTACCTTAATAAATGTATCAAATTTGACATTTAAGAACTGAATACAAATAACTTGAACTAATTTTGTACATTTCATTATGGGTACGAAAAAAAAATTATTTCACAAAAGGTTAACACAAGTAGATCTTAAGCATATATTCCTATAAAAAAGAAAATAGATCAATTGAGAAGAGTATAATTATCACATTTATTGATTATTTAAAGTTTTATTAATGTTTACATTGAAATTCATCAAGTTCTGGTATTAGACTTTAGATAGAATAGATTGAAATCACCTGAACATATTGTGCACATCTTCAGATACTTTTCTTCTAAATACATGAAATGTTACTATAAATTGTACATTTACCTAAAATAATTGCCTATAATGAAGATATTTAATTCACTTGGTATTGTTTTACTTGAATCTTCTCATTGAAGTTTAGGACTGAAATTGGTCAGTCTCTTATTAGCATATGTGCATACTGTGCGCATAGAAAAACTAATAATTGAGAAGGTAAAATTCTTTGTGTAGTTATGAATTCACTGAAATTAGTACTTCACTTTGAAACTATGAAAGTAATTAACTTCATTAAGGATGTTTATTTTATACTAGATGTCTACAAACAATTAACATTCACAGTATATATGAAGTAAACAGTATTACATAATTTATTTCATAAGTTCCTATTCTCACTAGCAGTAAATACTTTTTACTTATTTTTATTTATGTAATCTATGCTATGGTTATCACTTCCATATGAACTGCCTTGATTAGTTTGATAACTAATTATTTATGTATATTAAAGTAAAGCTTAATAAGGATCTAATTGAAAACAATATTGTTTGCTTGCATGTGGTGAAGGAATTAGTTTATAACCTAAAACATCAATAATTTGTAACATCAGTTTGCTTAAGTATTTATAACTGTTTTAATTGAGCTATGGAATTGTGGATACTATTGAGTTTTTGATTGAGATCATGAATCGATGAATGTTAGACCACTATTGAAGACCTGGAAGCACCGCGTGGCCGTTTCGTCCTAGTATGGGACGTGGTAGATGGGGGTTTAATCAATAAATCTTAGGCAATGGACAACAAACAAAATTTCATTGAATTTTCCGAATATTGGCACTGATGTCAGTAACCAGTCAATTTATACGCCAAAACATATTCAGTATGTCAATTAATTAGAAGATTTTTTGAACTGGATCAAAGGTCAAGACTACTAAAAAAATCATTTTATGCGGTGTGTCATGAAATACAATCTGTAATAAATAATAATACATCAGGTCATCATAATAAATGAGTCAGTGATTTGCTATGTAACTTTCGTCCCTAACACGTTTAGTACAGCTTCATTGATTCTATCTAGAAAGACAGTAAATGCTTCAAGGATAAACCCTACAGTACATAAGAATATGATCTCTATAAGATCATCTTAAATCTCAAACATTGATCTTATCCAAGAAATGTATCCTCATAACTGAATAATACGTAAAATTTTACTTAATATAAATTATTTGTAAGTAATGAAAAAGAACTTACAAATAAGAGTTCTACTATCATAGTAATTTCCCAAAAGGTTAGAGTATACTGACAAATCTGGTTCAGGATACGTTTTAGCTTCGTAGCTACTGACGTTTCTAATAGACATCCACTGTTTTCTGAAGGTTTTAACTGAATAATGAAGTATAGAAACATGTGTTATCCAGTCTATGTATTTAATCTGTAGCAGATCATTTAAAATTTTAATTTATTCAACTAAAATAACTCTTACTTTACCCCTTACTGACACAAATCCTAGTACTATCTTTGTTGACATAAATAAAACTAACTGATAATATCCGTAGTCACAAATCAAAAGACTATACTTTCGATCAGTTCCTCTAATAAATTTTTTAATATGAAATTTTCGTTTCTCTATTGTACTTGGTCCTAATATCTTTAAGGAATATATCTATACACCTTTATGGAGCATTTAAGGAATTAATTATCTTTTTTCTTTTAGAAACACTAAAATAGCTATAAACTATCCAATCATATGATCAGATCACCTTTCTTATTGAAAAAGATCAGTTATATAATTTTATAAAAAATTGTACTATAACTAGTTGGTATTTCGGTTATTCTAATGATCATACTGATCGATTTAAAGGCATCTAATTATGACCATATAAAATAAAAAGAATTATCAATGAAGTGATATGTTAAATTGTATGATAAAATAAGTCAGTTAGTCTTGATATAAGTTATCAGCACAAAAAATGACCCAGAATATTATTGTATATATTTATTGACCAAAGCATTAGCATATTATCTGCACATATTCGAGAATAATTTACTATAGGACTTTTATCACATATCTGGTTTACCCAAATTTATTCAGTTTAAATTATTAAAAATGACAAAATTTAACAGAACAAAACTGCATCAAAAATGCTAAACAAAATAATTGCGTCGATTAGTCATAAACAACGTAGAGTTGCCCATCTTGGCTCATTTTGTCATGTAAGAAATATTTCAAACAGAAGAACAAGTTTCATTCTTTGAAGTGTACTAATTCATAGTTATATTGAAAATTACGATTACTGTTAAAGACGTCTTTTGATCAGAATAAATAGAATGCACAACTCTTAATGATTCAATCAAAACTGTTCGCCTTAATACTAACTTGTCATTCTGTTATAACTTGTGTGCCCTGTTAATATATAACGTGATGATATCACCAATTAGAGAACAGTAATTTATCGATCGGACCAATGACGTATACAACCTGTTCGAGTAGTCCAGAATATTTATCGGTCCTACTGACTGCCTAACCCAGTCAGTTAAGTCCAGAACACCAATCCCAGTCTGTGCGATATGAATCATTTGTTTAAAACCTACTGCGTTTATATACCAACCAGACAGACCACATCGTACCATAAAATAGGAAACAACATTTGTACAAGATTAAGCCAAATGTGGCTATGAATAAGGGAGATAGTAATTGATAGATAGAACATAACTCAAGAATGGTAAATCGTATAATAACAATTCATAGGTCAAAATAAAGCTTGTGATAAGATAAACATGAATATGAATAGTTTAGTCATTTAACACAATCATTTAAAACTATTTACTTTTTTGGTATACACAGTTTGTGGATAATTAGCACTAGTTCTTGTCGATGAATTTCTTTCTTGTTAGTATTCAATAACAACTAGAAAGTAAGTTATACACTTGAAAAAATTATTATCATCGAATTTTTCGGATCACTAACAAACTTAAAAAGAACTTTAGTAATCAACACTATAAAGTTAACATTAAATATATTCCTATTCAATAAAAATTGTTGAGGAAAAAACCAATCACTTTAAAGACAATATTCATCATGAATCACTTCTAGTAGTGACAATAGTAAAACCAATCGGAAAATGCGTTTGACGATTGTTCGGTCTTCTTACCAATCATAAACTATAACTCTGTTATGATAGAATTTATAAACTCTAGCACTTTGTCAGTTTTTACGGAATCTTCACTTAAAATTATTCAAGTTTCCCAAAACTACGAATCTAAAGTTTAAACATTTACTCATTCTTCAGTTAATTCAAAGACAATTTTTTTAGAGTTACTATTATAATCAAAGGAGCCTAATTTTGGTAGTTCGAGCCTAAACTACTGAACTATGAATTCATTTACATCTAAGCATAACAGATGATAGATCATAACTTAAGGATTCATCGACGAAATGTTCCTGATAATAAATGTCCATATAGATTTTGCTACACAAGAGATAGTGGGATGAGTAGCTTAACAGTATCCAATGAACTGCGGAGGAGTGACTCATTGATTAAGAGTTTTGACTGTGAGCCACAAAGTCGCAGGTGGGAACTCGACTTCATTCACTTCGGTTACGACCAACGGTTAGTATCAATAGTCCTTACATTTAGTGTGGCTCAAAGCTAGATATGTGAATCTATACCTCGTAAACGAGCTAGTGAAGAAATTCTCAGAATTTCACTATCCTCTCATGATGAGTCCACTGATCCATTATATCCATATGAACAAATACAAACCTCAAGTTAGTTGTTTAAAATTAGATCACAAAGTTAATTTTTCCTTTTAAATATTTTAGTACCTGTTTGTCATCGTGAAACCCAGCGCTCATATATTCGTGATCCTCAAACTAATTGTATTTCATCAAGAAAATTATCAATCCGTAAGTGTTCTGGTTCTTGTGATTCAACTATCATAAAATTCCAACAACAACAGGAATTATTCAGTAGTGAGAATGATATTTCAAATGATTATGAATCCTTAAAATATCATAAATGGAAAGCAGTTCATAAACGATCAACTAATTCTGAACGTGTTTGGTTACCAAAGAATTTAGAAAATAAACAATCACATATGATAAAAATGAAAGAGTCAAACTCTCCTTACTTAGTACATCTTAATTCTTATAAGACTACTCCATCAATGACGAAACAACATTGTTGTCAAGCTACAAAAATTAAATTACGTCCAATATTATTTAATTGTCCTAATGGTGCTGTTTATGAACGAACAATAAAATTAGCAAAAAAATGTACTTGTGTTCAATGTGATTGAATAGTAAATAGAGAATGATTACTATACAATAATAAATTGAAATTAATCGAAGCATTATGACCATTTACTAAGAATGATCATCGTCTACATATATATTTCAAAAGGAAAGAAACAAATGCATTTGTTATTATTTTTTGCTATATAATAAACTACCTCAATATATTTGTGCTTACATACAAAATGTTGTTAGTAATAATGTTCTGTTTAAGATGATAAACCAAATGAGTAATATATGAATTCTTGTTAATACGTATTAATTGACCTTGATGTAGAGAATCAGTTAATAATTTATTATTTTACAATCTCTGTCTCTTCATAATACATGAACAATCTATCTCTAATTTTATTCTTTATAAAACATTATTATTACTACTAAGTACGTACTTATAACAATGTATTGATATAATAATCATATTTAGTTAATACGACAAAATTAATTGAATCTATCGGTCAGTTACTTAATCTAATCATGTATCCACAATATATCAGACCATTTAATTTATACTGTTTATGTTCTATCTTAACATTAACGAAGACGATCACATCAATCATTGATTTCACACGCACACAGACACAAGTCTATATATTTTCAAAATCCTACCATTGACTTTTTTTAGTCAATTAAATGCGGAACACCGAATTTTATACGTTTTCATATTTTTGAAATACACAATGCATATAAATTACTTTCACATCACTACATAATAGGTATCTATTGTTTGAAATAACACTCAAAACATAGTACTTCAACTAATAATAATAATTCTGATGATAGTAGTATATTCACATACAGAATATATGCATTACACTTGATTAAATTCCCGGTCTTTATTAATAAGACACAATTACCAATTAATTATATACTTGTAAATCTTAAATAACATTTTTCCCAATAATTCATTCAATGTCCTCTTATATCACTGGCGTTATTTTACCTTCATATTATCAAATAATAATTACAATTATATTAATATTTTCTGTTAAAATGAATAGCGTATCAATGGAAATTATTGTATTTTGAATAGTGACTGTTTCCTTTTGTAAAATAAAATTCCTATTTAAACACAATTTCTTTGAACTGTTCAGATAGATATTCACTGGTTCATATGGTGCAGACATATTTAGTGGTAACGTTATTTAAACTTATTGGAGATAGAGTATTTTTAGAAGTCTTAAATGTATCGCTGATAAACTTCATATATTTCAAGTGATTTCGTAAAAATGTTCTTAATTCTGGATTCATCAAACCTTGATAAATGAAACCGTATAATCAAATCTAAAATCGCAAAAAGAATGAAACAAATGAAAACCCCACTCCGAGTGACAAAACTGCACAATCCCAAGTGCACATTACTAGTCTTTAATCACATTTTGTGTGAGCATAACCGATACTAACTGCCTAGTTTAATCAAAGTAGTTGAAGTGGAGTGCACGTACTTTGGATGTTGCAGTTATCACAACATAATTCTCAGCTTGGTAAGAACACTGAGTGTCTTCGGTTTACCTTCTAGACTACACATCTGCTTTAATTCTGTTCTAAAACTTCTGAAATTACGCAAGTTTGCTAATAAAGACGCGAAAACCGGATATATTTCCAACTTTCTAGGAGAGAACATTATGTATGTAGCCAGCTTCACAATCGCGGCTTGGAAAGCTCGACGACGACACCTCAAACATTTACCATGATTTTGAGTGACCGAATATTAGTCAACAGATTGCAGTCTTAACACGGATCACTAGATGTGTTATCCATAACTACTCAACGTCTTATAAACGTACCTGTGCTTTCTACATTTCGAGTTTTGGTATATAATGGAGTGAAAATATAATGATAGCGCTGTCACAGCTGCAATTATCCAAGTACGTCACTTATTTTCTTGAAAAATTGTCGTTCCACTACACAGAAAGCTCATTATGAGTACAAGCAAATGCTAAAAAAATAAAGACCGTCTTGTTCAGTTGGTTACCAGGAAACAAACTACCCCTTGCTTAACACACAGCTTCTAGTTTGTCAGTGCATCCCGTTATAAATCTATATTATTTAGATCTAATTGATCTGTTATATCTACCAAACCCGAATATCACAAATGAAGCATTTAACGGTAAATATAGTCACGATCAAATGATAGGATCCCATCACAATACTCAATAATGGGCTGGTCACTCGCCTCTAGTTTCATAGTCAGGATTGACTAGTTAATTCGATCGTTATTATAAACCGGTTGATTTTTAAAGTCGATAAAGTTGCTTTTAAGTCAAGGAAGACCATCATTGTCGGACGCCGATAAGTATGCCTGTGTTCTAGAACCTGAAGAATGGATTATAATAAATTTAGTAGTCGCGACAAACTTATCGCTCATGTTCGGAAAATTGAAGCCGGAATGGTTAATTATTTATCAGTTATCTATTAGACAAGGAGCAATTATTTCATGTCACTTAGAAGAAAGTCAAGATGACATCCTTAACATTAACACCAGTAAGTTCAAACAATAGTTTAGCACTAAATGACAAAATCTGTATTCTCCACTTTGCACTGATCGCTGTATATAAATGCCATACCATAAACTTCAAGATTAAAAATAGCGTAGTCAGTAATTGTGAAAAGACAGATAGTCGTGGCTTAAAGAAGATAGATGTCTACAAATTATTAGCGCTATCAATTGTTTTATGATCCTAATTTGAGAAAACTCCATGGGGTTATCAAAACAATCAGTATCAATGAGTCAATTGGCAACAACACCTTGACATTTTACTTTAAATATTTAACCATCACAGGGATTCTGGTCAGACAATCTAATGTTCCATCAACAGTTATTATTTTTCGCTTAGTCATACGGACTCTTTGAAAGAAGTAGGATAATCAGCCATAGTTACAGGATTTCTTTGATCTCCGTTGACTTGCATCCGAGTCTCTCTATAACGACTTTATTACGATATCATGCTTACTTTCACATAATATACGACACGCTTGACTATAACGAGGAAATCAATGTCTTGGACATTTTAGAAGATCTACTTTACCTTTTCCTGTATTTTTACAAACATTTAATCGGAGATTTGATAATTGCGATGAATCTGACAGATAACATAATATCATTATTGATACTAAGCATATGACAAAAGTTTTGTTCTTGAATGATGTTACAATGAAATACCTACAGCACCTTTTCAATATACCACTTGAGGATGTGAATAATTATTCTGACATATTCAGAGAAAATGGACAAAGGCTACGTACACATATGGAAAAAAACAATTACAGGAAATTTCTATTGGTAGCAAATGCGCATATGGCAGAAATACATCTACACGTACAGAAATTAAACAGAAAATATCCATCAAATCAAGAACAGATGTATAACAATAACAAGTAATCATAGAACTGAGAACAAGTGTGAAAATTCGAAGGTAAGAACACTAATTATAATTAAATATGAAGTTAAGGGATATTATAACCAAACACATTAGTGAGCATCCGTAAGTGCAACAACTCCGGGCAATTGTTTACCTAAAACAGAAAAACAAGAACGTATTTATAATACAGAAGAAAAAACATTTGACGTATGCCGTGAGCTCAACCCCTGGTGGAATCGTAGATATGCACTGCTGAGGAGTCCCATGCTGGGACGAAACGGTTATCTAATGCATCTTGATTTACGACTGTTTGAAGTCAGTTATGTGGTGTGAAATTACAGTTGCTTTGGTGAAAATAAATACATCTAACTAAGTGAATGGTAAAAAAATGAATATTTGTTTTCAATAAACTTATATTCAGTATATGCAGTATTAAATCTATTAATACATTACTGTAGTCATTACTACTATGATTATAATAACCATGCAACACAGTATGTGCTAAATCCCCCAAGATTCAACTTATTATCATAAGAGTTTTTCGAGACATCTATACACGACTTTTTAACTGTACCAATGACACATATAAACCATAATCAACGTCAAAGCAATTATTTTCAGTGCGCAAAACTGACCAACTTATAAGCGTGACTTATACAGGCTACTGCATTTACAACAATAATAATACTCCTGGTGTTAAGGCACGTAACATTATCTAAATGCCAAAACAGAATGGGGCTTAAACATAGAAACTACTTGTTGAAATTCAAAATCTTTAAGCACTAAACTAACTCTAACATCTATAACATAATATTTAAGGATTTATGGTTGTAGAATCTGTATCTTAAGTTAATGAAAACGTTCAACTTAAGTATTTTTGTATGAAACTGTATTACTTGTATACATGAAATTTTGAATATTTGAATTAAAACAACTTAAGTATAACTTGTACTCCACAGCTGCAGTATATATAATACAACCAAGTTTAATTTCAAGGCACTATCTGCTACGCAGAAAAATTACTAGATGGTAGGTTTGGCTCCAGATTAGAGAAATCAATGTCAAATACAACATAAACGTGCCGATCACACCGTCATACAGAAATTAAATGCAAATAATTGGACCGTAGCCATTCCTACCTTCGAGAAGTTCAAGACTAGCACCACCACCAGTACTGACATGACTAACTTTATCTTCTGTGTCCCATTTGGCGCAGCATGTTGCGGTGTCACCACCACCTACAGAAATATTAGAGAAAAGATTAACACAGATTTGTAAACAGAAACAAATGAAAATAAGGACTCTATGTGTAAAAGAATAAGTTTTTCAAATTTACTGAACATTAAAACGTAACTTTGTAATACTGCCTGCCATACTGATTAGGGTTTATACCTTACTACTTTGGAAATGAAAATGACTCATTAAAAGCAGTGTATTAGTTCAACAAGGATAATGGAATTTGATAAATGCAACTTACCAATAATAGTTGTAGCACCATTCTTAGTAGCTTTGACTACTTCATCCATTGCTGCTTTCGTTCCTTTTGAAAACTTGTCCATTTCGAAAACGCCCATAGGACCGTTCCAAACAATAGTTTTGGCACGACTAATCACCTTACTGAATTCTTCGATTGTTTTTGGACCAATATCTAATCCCTTATGAAATTAATAAAAATCCAGTGAAAGGAAACTAGCAGTTAGATGTTATCCAAAGGTGTTCAACATTAGATAATATAGGAAGCATATTCTTAACGTAAACATATAAATCTTGATTTAGTGATTTATTGGATTTTTATAGGGTAAAGCACTCCGTACAACAAAACAAATACCATGCACCTAGTGAAAACATTTAATCTATTGTAATAACGATTTCACCATCGAGGATTCCTTCACCGACAATTTTATTTTTGTAAACTGTGTGTTTTTAGGGATACAATGCACTCAAACACATGAAAAAGGAAGGATCATCTTTACATACTTAAAAATGTCTTGATGTAAAAGAACATAGTAATTACCGGAGTGAAAACCCTTAGTACCATTAGTTATCTATACTTCTGTCCAAAACTAAAGATATACTTGTTTAGCGCTTTTTAATTTATAATATTTCTCTAAATGATGCTTATTTTATTTTATTTATTTATTTAAACACAAGCATTGCTACAAAGGGGTGCCAAAATTTATGTGCGCCACATAAAGTAGTAACCATTCAATTTGTGTGGGCTGGGATACTGTCCGGGTTCGGTTTTCCTAGGAGGCCACTTTACGAGCTCGACCTAGATGTCTAATCCGCAAGGCAGTGGGGCAACGTTAGGAGATGCTGTCCCGTGGTAACCGGTGACCAACAATAGGTTTATACGTCACTTATTCCCTCAGTATACTGGAGTTAATATACCCCATGAATTTGTAACCAGGGTTTTCTAGCTGCTCCCCTAAGCGGATTCTCAGTATCCACCAACGCGATAAAAGCGCCGAACATTCGCTTCCTGTTCACTCAATTCCGTAAACAACAACCCCACCGTGAAAATGCAGTGAGCATTTCCTTGGAAGTGGCTATAAACAGGTGGCCATGAAAAGGATAGAGAACTCTTCCCATCCTTGACCGCACTAGAGTATTTGGAGGCTATTGTAAAGAAAAGTTACCTTACCATTAAGTAAATTTCCTTCTGATTGAATTGGAAGGCTAGATGCGCTTACTCTTTGAGAAAAGTCAAATAAGTTGATATAATTAGTCTTCGTCTATGTTTAAAGTTTATGGGATAAGAAGGAATGAGACACACAAAACAATAAAAAATTATTAACAAACACATTTGTTATTCACTTTTGTTATGAATAAAAGATTAACTCACCATCCAACCATCGGCAATTCCAGATTGTATAGTTCTTACTTCAGTGTTCGCATCGTCAGCAAATTTATCAGCAGTTACAAAATCAACAGGTAAGTGAATTGCAACATTTTTAGCCTTTGCAGTTTCCATTACTTTGTGGACGATTTCTGCACCCGGTGCATCAAATAAACTATTTCCTATCTGAAAATAAGAAAAGACAAATAAACATTTTACTTACGTACACTCTAAAGGTGAAACATGAGCATTTAATACATAGCATATTCAAGATTTTAAAAAATTTTATAACCGATAAGACTGAAACATTATTTGAATTTACTATGGTGAAATAGCTGAGCAATATTATGAGACAGAATAACTAAGTTTAGATTGACTGAAGCTGCTAAAATATCTTTAATGCAAGTTCAGCTACCCCCTACTACAGAACCATTTTATTCGGTATAAAAGTACGGAAAATAAACACGTTAATTAAAGCAACCTAGAAAATATTTCAGTCCAGTACGTTCCCAGTTAATCAATTTATGAATCAATAATACTAATCCATCTCACAGACCTGAGGTGAATGGATAAACGTCAAATAATCTTCACTGAGAATCTAACAGCGACTAGACCAATATATGACGTTGATCTTAGAAATCATTTACCATTAATCTGAACCATATATGAAGACACAACTTCCATATTAGCATGCGCGGTATGATCGTAACCGATGATTGCTGACTTTAAGGACAAAACTCAAAACTAAATACAGTGGCGCACCTGTACTATATTTTTCTTTACCTCATCAACATAAAACTACTGATTGTATAAACCTTTTTTCTTCAAACATTAGGAACGGTTTCCAGTATTTCCTCTCTTAGGTATTACACTTTACTGTGCTGAAGTGTAAGGACTCAAAATGATACATAATTTAACAAAGATGTATGTTGAGTAGACTTATCTGTTCAAAACGAAACCCGCAAATATATAAAAATAGTTCGTCACTTTAAAATTACACGAGAAACCAATCAATCCCATCCATGAATATGTGGTTCTCCACATGATAATCTGGGTTGATTACAATAGTTAGAGCCGACTACTACCAACTAAAATCATACAGTTAAATTTAACTAAGCAATAAATATTAACGTTTACACAGATCGAGGAGGAATTTGTTTGAAGGACACGACAACTGAATCGACAGAATAAGACTACACAACTAGAAATGTTTTATCTTGGTATTTCCTAGTTGCATATTTCTTGTTTATCAATAAAGTTCACATTTTAGTTTTTGTGTTCCAATTTGGAAGGAACATTTTTTGAACTGTTCGACAGTCACCAAATCGTTCAGAACACTTCGAATGAAAGGACACAAAAACGCACTACCCTCTACTACTGAAACGAACTTGCTGACACTGCCGATAAGTTTGCAGGTTTATCCTTTAACGGAAAACCGAATAATCAGACAGCTGATTTCGAGAACTTGTATCATGATAGGATTGAAAGTGATCAACTAGACCGATCACTTTTAGCGGTCATGGTATTTTGTATGATAACGATAATAGAAGATGCATTCTTACGATAAGTTTGGCCCCCGAATTCCGTGGTATAGCCGAAGGTTGGGAGAGTCCGCTCTTCACTTCTTACAACTCTTACTTTGAAAATAGAAAAGTGGAAAATTTACTCCAGGTACTGTTACTAATGCGAATATATAATACAAACGTCTAGATACAAATACAAAAGTATACGATGACTTACATGTATGTTGTGTATTTGCTTAAGAAATGTATACGCCATCCCACCACCGATGATTAATTCATTAACTTTATCAAGCATGTTATTGATCAACTGGATCTTGTCGCTAACCTTGGCACTAGACAAAAGAAAGGAATTACTTTAATTATATATATATATATATATATATATATATATATATATATATATATATATATATATATATATAACAGCTTAATTTTGATTTAAAACCTGAATATACTAATATATTGGACATATATGCATCAAATCAACAAAAGTCTTACCCTCCTAAAATGGCTAGGAAAGGACGTTCTGGATTTTCCAGTGCTCTAGCAAAATATGTCAGTTCTTTATTCATGAGAAATCCACAGGCTTTTTGTGGTAGTTGGCAGCCGACCATAGAACTATAAAGCAAAATGACGAAGAAATAGTTGAGTTACGTAAAACCAGGATATGCTATACAAATATCTCAGTATCCAAAGAATGTGAAGCTGTGGCTGAGCGGTTAGGGCCACCGACTTCTGGCCATATAAACAAAGGTGTGAATCTCACCCACTTCGGTTTGGGGAACAAGCTAGTATCATTAGTTATCACAGTGTGGCTCAAAGTAGACGAATCTATACCTGTTAAGTATGGTAGTAACCTAACATCAAAATGAACCTATATTGAGTTATAACGAAAACAGCGGAAAATGTAGAATGATATTGTTTTGAATGGTTTTATTCGGAACCAGAAACTTTATTATGTGCTTGATTTCTAGTCGGAAAGGTGATAGTCGGTCCGTCAGAACCTGTATGCATATACATCGATTCAAGTTGCTATGCCCCATTAACACATCGAGTTGTCAGGCCAAATCCCGGAATAGTAGAGGTAGTAAAATCTTAGTAGTAATAGGAAAGACTAGGCATCAAAGATACAACTCGAAAAGAAATTATAAATTAATGAAATGAAAACAAAATAGTTATGAGGAATTTAGAATTTCAGGATTTGGGGAAGACAAAGAACAGATGCACCTGAGCAATTACAAACGATTTTAAGCCATGTCATTCAAAGTTCATTGGTTACAATAATCACGCGGAACCCAACCAGATAATCTACACATAACAACAAGGCTAAGTACAACCGTCAGCGACTTCGTAGACTGATGATGTTTTGGTTTGGCCTCCGTTGGTGTTCTTCCGAACCTATTCCCACACCAACTGTTATATTATCAGTCAGTCAGTAACAACGTAGAACTTCATGCGTACGTACATCAGTTTGAGTTGCCATACCACATTAGCATAGACATGCAGTTGTCGATTCAAATCTCGTAGTGGTCGAGATAGTAAGAGTATATATATCTATATTCCCCTTATTATAGGCTTCATTTATTTTTACTTTTCATTTATTTAAACACATAAACATTAGTACATTTTGACCTATAGATTAATATTATATAATTTACTGTTCAGTTTATTGACTACAATCTCCCACGTTCACAGACACTCTCTGGCTTGATCTTGTATGAATGTTATTTTCTATTTTATGGTGTGATGCGGTCTGTTTGGCTGATATATAAACCAAGTATATTTAAAATAAATGATTCACATAGTGGAAGCTGTTATTGGCGTCCTGGACTTAACTGGACGGGTTATGTGAACAAAGGACGCCAGGCTGTTTATACCAGTCGAACATCATTGGTTTGGCACAGTGCTAAGATTGTATAAGTCGTATTTCGATTGGAGAGTAAATCACGTGATAACTAGCCGGGTTTAAATCCTCACCTAGTACTCTATCCACAACCCAGTCATGGCGTACTCCGTGGTCTTAAAATGCGCGAGTAATGCTTCCTAGACACTTATGATCGAATACCAGTAACTTATGAATAACCTCTACCCTTGATGGCCATGTTTCATATTTATTAAGTCATAGACTAGGCTGAAATTTTTTTCTACATAATGTATGAAAAATCATATTTGTAAAATATATTACGGTACAATAAAATGAAACAACAAACAATATGGTTTATTGATGTTGTTTTTTTCCATTTGTTTCCAATAATGATCTACTATGTTGATGTGAGGTATAACAAATTAGAGCGATACACAGCGCCACAATTCCTGATTCAATAATTAAGAGCTCCTGATGTGTAGACGATTGATCTTTTCGATACTCAGTGAATACATGGTAGTCGAAGTCGTTTGATATGTACTTAGTGTGATATGGACCGAGTGTTCAAAGCAAAACTGAGTTGGGGAACGGTGATTAGCTATTTCGTAGCCAATCAGTAATAGCGTATATTTGGGGAAGACTAGAATTTTTTAGTGTATAATTGCGAATACGCTGTTTTTCTTATTGTGATTCTTGTTCTCATTCTATCTTGCTATTTGGGATACAAATACGTTCCTCAACAACTGTGTTTTGGTCTGGGGACATGTCGAGTGAAGTGGTGTCAAGAATACTAAGCAATAAGAGTAGTTGGGTCGTAATAAAAGTGCTCATAACACATATCTTCTTGATTCTTATTTATTTTCTTAAGCCAAATGGAATAGCTGTTCTCAAACTGATAAGAAGTGAGTTTATTATACTGAAATTAAGTATTCTTTCTGATTGACTTGTAGGAGGTTGACGATATACAATTCAATTCAATGTTGCGCATTAACTTATACAGTGCTGAACACGTTTAATAGGCTTTTTGGTCGTCTTATTCGTTATATGTTTATAAAATCACTAGCTTCTCAACCCCAACTAGCACTAAAGATAGTAACATTACTAAAAAGATTCATACAAGCCTAACTTACGCATGAGCTCTATGTGCCGTCCCGAAGGCATCATTGACGTAAACGTCACCAAGTTTTGTCAGACTTTCACTGAAAGCCTTGATTTGATCAGCAGTGGCTTTTGTCTGTCAATAAATAGAATATGAAGTTAGTAATAACGAGTAATAACGTTTATGGATTGTACACGAAATCCACTTGCAAGTCTCAAGTTAAGGATCATTAAAGGCAGAAAGCTAATCTACTGAATTATCACTTCACTGCATTACATTCCGTAGATATTAGTTAACGTTGAGAAAATATATGGTGTCCGGAAGTATTACTAATTGGAATTATTCTCAAGTAGATAATACGTCCATATGATCTGCTTAGAAAATTTATGAATCCTCATATATCCATAAAATAACTGAATAATTCGACAGAATAGTATATTGATATTACATGAAATAGGTAACATTAGATTTGCATCTTGTCCAAAAAGTTATCAGACTTAATTCTATCTTTCTACTTTCACAACATATAAGAGATGATATGACATGGAATAACGGTGAGTCTGTAATTTAAGGACGACATCTGGGCGTAGCATAGTTGACCCTGAGAAAATCCACCTACTTACTAAATGATCTATATCTTAGCATGAAGAATTAGAATTTACAACTAGACACTATGACTATAAATAAAAGTAAGGATTCTTATTACAAACTGACATTAGCTATAATGCTGCCTAGCTATAAGAATGGATGAAAATCAAGCCTAAATCCAAGATATGCTAACGGGAATCTGATTGATTTGTTTATAAAGTATAGTTTCGCTGAAATAGTTTTAGAACCAATATATCGTTCTAACCACTGATAGTCCTAGAAAAAAACTTTGATAACAGTACGAAGACAAAGGATGCTCATACGGAACTCTTCGCAATATTCCAAAGAGAATTCAACCAGTTGGGTATTTTTATATTGAATATTTAGGGATTACAAAGATGGGAACATTCCTGGCTGATCAGCCCTAGTTTACAGCGGCGACTCGTAACACTCAATAGTAATCCGTACACTTTATAAAAAAATGAGAGATAGGACTAACTTTTTCGCCGGTTGGTGAGACACCTTTTCCTTCCTCTTCAACGTGAAAGCGTAGATTTTCAAGCAAGAAAACGCTCCCAGGAGCAGGGTTAGCACACGCGTTAACTACATCAGGTCCAACACAATCACTGAGGAAGGTAACTTCTTTGCCTAACAACTTGGACACTTCAGGGCACACAGGCTCTAGAGAATACTTATCGACTTTGTGCCCATCTGGCCGACCTAAATGGGACATTAAGACGACACTCTTAGCCCCCTTATCCAAAGCATATTTAATAGTTGGTATGGCAGCTGCGATTCTAAAATGGTACAAAGTAACTTTAATCTCCGACTATTACCTTTGAGTGTTAGTAACTTTCCCATCTTTCATAGGGACGTTGAAATCAACTCTATAAAGCATTTAACGTTAATCAGCTAAAATCATTCTTACCGAATAAGAACACGCTTCCCTTTAAGGTCAACATCTGAAATACTAAGTTTCGACAAACCCATCACGTAGACAAACTGAATATGTCAACGCGTCCTCCGAAAAATGTGTCCTACAAATGTAAGTAGAAAAACAAAGCCCTCAGTTCTCAAATAAAAACATGCCCACGAACCCGACGTTAGTTCATAGACATAAAATGGTACCGCTAGAAATTCATCAAGTTGATACCTAGTGTCAAACATTTGGACCAAAGTTTTCAGTAATAAGGAAAGTAGGTCTATCGACCTATATTAATTCTTGCAGTTTGTAAAACTATAGAGGTCTGATCTCGTTTTGAGTATATTAACAGAAGACGCTGATATTACGTGATCTGGTAAAGAATCCCAGTAATTCACCACTTGGTGCGAGAAACGAAACTCCAGACGTTGACGACTTGATCTCGGTTTTTGAATTTCCTTCTAATGTCCTCTCAAATTATCAATCGTGGAAAAGATAAGATCTGTTAGTACTGAAGTCATCGTTCAGTGTAGGATAAGAAAAGATAAAATCACCCCGTATTCTACGGTAAGATAACGGAAAAACGTTAAGATGTTTCAGTCTGTCATCATAAGATAGGCCAGATATACTTTATACCAGCTTAGTTCCTCGTCGTTAGACTCGTTCCAACATATCCGCCTCATACTTGAAACAAGGTCTCGCTGCTTAAATCCCATATTTCAAACATGGTCGCGCGAAGAGTCAGGTATAATAATGTACACACTACTTCATCCAAATTCTGGAAAACCTACGAATAGACCATAATACCTCATGGCCTTTTGTAGCAGCAGCCTTACAGTGACTGCTAGTTTTGAGAACATTGATTAGTATGACTCATAAATCTTTATGGTTTCTTACTCTGGGTAACACGAATCCACATATTATGTAGTGATACTGATCATTGTATTTATTTAATTGCATCACCACACTCTTATTAAGATTTACTTTTAATTACACCCTGTCTATTACTGCCATCAATGAGTTTGTAGTGACCTACTTTTGTCAACAGAACGCGATTGGTTCAATGAAAACAATTATTATTATAACCAATTGTACCAGTGACTGTTTTACTGTGCTCGTTCCTTTAACTGTGCTAATGACAGCCATGACACTTACTCTCCCGTTGACTTTGAACTTGTACGAATTCGGTTACGCTCAGTAACCACGCTTGTACTCTTTTGGCACAAACTCGGCATTCTTTCGATACCACGAGATCGCCAACAAATACATCTCGACTACAGCCATCATCTGCCTTCTGATATTGGCCTACGGGGATCTTATTGGTTAATTGGCACGTAGTCTTCTTGTAGCGGTGTTCATAGTCAAGCTCAACTCGACACCACGCTACAAGTTAAAATCATCCTATAATACTATTCCATAAGATATGCTGTGTAATTTCATTTGATCTATCTCGTATTATTTGAATAACAGCAATTACATTCAACAGTTCTAATCAGTTGCCTTATCTGAATATATTAAACAATTAACTGGAGCATTAAAATAACACAAAATTCAGTTGCAAATACATTCTTTCTCTTTGGAATCATCCCTCTATCTTGTTCATTTATCGTCGATTTATGCATGGTGTGACATTTTTGATATATATATCAATAACACACCGTGCGTATTTTGCGAAAAGAAGGTCAGAAATTCTGCAATTAAAGAATATTAAACTGATTAATATCTTGACACATTGTGTTGTGTTAAATATTTGCCAAAATAAATGACAACAATAATTGTGTTAGATTTATCGAACGTCACTAGCTGAATGTGTTCAGTCAGGCATCACTAACTGATAGCATTTTGACGTGTTGTTTAAAGTGAAGAGGCCATAACTATTCAGAGTTTGACAACTCCTTTAAATGTTACACCTTTACATTCGAATTGTGTAAACATAGTCAAATAAGAAGCCAAAAATCAAGCGGTTTGATGATATACATGGAAGGTCATCGATATTTGGAGAGGAGATTTGTCTTAGCTGATTAACAATCGCGAAGGATGCGTAACTGAGAGTCTTCAGCTATGGTCTATCCGGGAGAACCACCGAGGTCAGCATCGATGTCGAATTCTTACATAATTATTTATGGTGTGGTTTTTTGCCTCTACAAACGAATTTCATCCGATCTCCAGGCACCTGACAAGTTATGCGACATGACATCTCTGTTTACGCTTGTAGTGGGATTGGGCCCAAACCACATAATCCTCAAAGCTAAACACGAGACGACTTGGAAAATAGATATTCAACATTTAGTGCGGAGCAGAACGCAACAATGAAGAAGGCGAGAAGAATTAATATGGTAAATCGAATGGCATGTCATAGCCTTGCAGGCATGGTCATTATTGTGTAACTTATCACTTTTATTTGTATTAAATATTTTGTTCCGTCTTCAACCTAAATGCATTCTCCATCAAATAATGGTGGTGATTACGATAACATGAGGCAGTGTAGACAATGATGTGACTTCCATGTAAGATGTTATGATACAGGTAGTCATATCATGACAAATCTACAATTTTAGGATTAGGTCTATTACTAGAACAGTATTAATAACGAAGTAGACCATAGTTCTACACGCTGTAAATATATCTTACCAGTCAGTCATCCTTGACTTTGCTTTTGGTAAACTCTCATACTTTTCCACAGAAGAAAAACAGATTCTACTATTTTGAAAGTTTAATATAACCGAACCGTCTTCATACTGGCTGAAGATATTGTGATTTTTATGACAAAAGGGTCGAACATTTGAAGGGAAAATCGAAGTCGTTCTCGTATTTCTTAAAGAGTTATTGAAGATCATGAGATCTTCCACCTAACTAATTGCTAATGTAAATATAATACAGAAAGATATATATATATATATATATATATATATATATATATAACCGTTCGTTATCCTGCAGAATTATGGCCTAATTTGGTAGTAGCACATTTATCTTCTTTACCATAATAATAGGCTTGGTCCTAAAATTTTAGATTTGTCATGATGTCACTATCTTATCCATTAGATCTTACGTGGAGGTTATATCATTATCTATACTGACTCGTTTTATCGTGAAAATCAGCAGTGTGATGTTCAGTGAGCCTGAAGAAATTATTTGAAACGGAGTTAAATTAATATATTTAATGTGGAAAGATGAGTTACACTGAATGTCAAAGCCTGCAAGGCATTTATGCTATACCGATCAATATTTTTGCGTCCACAATTTTTGACCTCCTCTCCGTGTTAAATGTTTTATGCGAATCCTTTCGGTCATCTTATCTTCAACTTTAAAGATCATGTGGTTAGGAATCTATAGCACTACATTCCTAAAGGAATGCTTTAATTTGACGAAGTTCTTTATGGTCGCAAATTTATTTTCTTAGGCAGTATTTGTTCACATACACATTCTGAAATAGAGCGATAATTGACCACCTCAATGAATAAGCTAGAATTTTGAAATATTGTTCATCTTGTGTTAAAATGAGCAAGAAATGAACTTAAACAAGGAACAATAAAAACCCTCTGAAGACTGAATTATTGACATCATATATTAGTGTAAATCTTAAATGGTTTCCGTGCGTTTTACTTGTATAGAACAAATATGCATAAAAATACCACTGCAGCCGCATAAAATAGTGCCAATAGCCTTTTATGTGCAATCATGCCGGTTATATTGGTTAACACATCGATTGGCTTCAAGTTTGGCTGTCAAGTACACGGAGATGCACCACTCAGGTAAAACTGGAACTATTGACCTGATTATTGCGAACTTGTAAGTACTTCATATGAGTTACCAAAAACACGCAAATCAATAGTCATATACCTAGATTCTATACCATTTTGCCACAAGCGAAGCAAATGCAAATTACGAACTTCCTCCAGGTAGTCGTACACTTAACATTTTACTGAGTACTGGACAAAAGCATCGGTTCATTATTACTGCTACTTAAATATACAACCTGCTGTAGTTTAGAAGATAAATTATACTTCAGGAATTTATCACGTACTCATTGCAGTTCAAATGCTGAACATTACTATACCAATGGGTGGATAAGCCATCTGCAAATCACTGTCAAAATGAAATTTGAAGAGTAAGCTTGGAACTACAGATTACAGAATAAGAAAAACGTATCCGAAACATTCTAAAATTACTAGTAGAAGGGCCCGAAATTTTATCGGCTCCACCAACATCTTCATTGAATAGGAATATGACTGAGGCAATCACAGGGTAGCAGACAATCTGAATGAAAAGTCATCTGGAATTCGCAAGCCATAAAATGACACCACCGGAAGCAGGTTCGTACAAAATATAAGAAAATGCTAAGTTGTGATAATCCATGATAGACCGTATTACATGGTCGGTCAATTGTTAAATCCAAATGCCAACAAACGAAGAATGCTATAAAAGTTCGGTTTTTGTCCGGTAATCGTTTAAAGACTCGCTGTAACAGACATCAAATCTGATCAGAAGGAGCAAAATATATTATTAAGAACTGTTCACTTGCTGAGTCTGCTACACTGAGGGTACCTAAAAATGTTTTTTCATAGATTTATTTGACTATTCTCCAGTAGTGCATTTGCAGAAACCCCTGTTCCATCACAAAACAATCAAACTCGAACAGCTTACATAAATACCTAGGTTCCTACCTGATGATCCACTCCCACTAGATATGGATGCCTGTTAAGTAAACGCTCCTTCTATTCTGTCCACAATCATTTGAATAGATTTTGCTCAAGTGTTTAGAAATAGCTTTCCTCCAAAAACATTTTTACAACTAAGCACATAAGTCCAAATTATAGTACAAAATTGTCAGGTATTTATAGTTTTTAGTAAGAACGAAATCATCATTACAGTCCTCCAATCCACACATAGGGGGTTATAAGCATTTATCCAATCGGGAAGCTACACGTAGGAATTCTAGACTACCCTTCCAAAGGGTGATTGGATGGAATACATTTTCACCCACCTGGAAGCTACGAGTGACCGTACGATACTCATTCGTGGGTTTAGCTGTCTTTCGGTGCGGCAATATACTGTTGAATACTGTCCGAATTTTCCTTCCATACATACACTCGGCTGTTGACTTTCCTTCTGGTACTGCCGGATTAGGGGTAACTCTGCAAGATATTAGGAGCTTACTGACCACGTATGCTGGGATACCCTCACCTCTCCTTTTGACCAGAGCTCTTTTTATCGTATCCATGAATCTTTCTGCTTGGCCATTCGACTGAGGATGGTACGGGGGAGATCGCAGATGTGATATGCCATTATCGCTGCGAAAGCGGATGACAAACTGAGTGCCGTTGTCGACCGCTAAGATCTCTGGATACGCGAAACAAGCAAACAATCCTGGCAATCTTCTTATTGTACTCTCTGATGTCGTTTTCAGCATATCGTATACTTCTGGCCATTTTGTGAAAACATCAACAACAACTAAGTAATCTCTGCCTTGTGTTGGTCCGGCGAAGTCGGCGTGTATTCTCTGCCAAGGCCAGTCCGGTTTTGGCCATGGTTGTGGTTCAGCTTTCGTTGGATTCTTCGCAGCCTCTAGATAGGACCAACAACTGCAACATTTTTGTTCTATATCACGGTCCGTTGACGGCCAGTATGCATAGCTGCGAGCTAGGGATTTCATTTTACTTATCCCCGGGTGCCCGCTGTGAAACTGCTTAATGACTTGGTGTCGCAGATTTCTGGGGATAACGATACGGTGGTCAAACATGATGCACGGATCGACAACTGCTAAGGAGTCACGTCGACGAAAATATTATATAAGTTCTCTACGTAGTCAAGATGATGGCCACTTGTTGAGTATACAGTGGCGAACAATCTTCAATGCATTATCCTTCTTGCTAGCTTCTTTAGTGGATTCGAATGTGACCGTTAGTCCGGAAACTGCGTCTGTTGATACGTTGTGAACCTCAGCTTCGACATCTATGGTAGCTAAAAGCACATCCCCTTCTTGTTTTGCATGCTAACCAATCAATATTGAGAGGGCACCTGCCTGTCCAAAATCGGTTGTCAGTTGATACTTTATCTTGAAATCATAGCCCAGCAGTGTAGTTGTCCATCGCTGTAGATAGTTTGCAGTATATACAGAAATAACTTTTTTAGATCCAAAAACTGTCAGTAGCGGTTTATGGTCTGTAAGGTGAAATGTCTGGCAAACAGCATCTTGTGGAAACTTTTTACAGAGAATATAATGGAGAGAGCTTCTTTCTCTATCTGACTGTAGTTCCTTTCAGTCATAGTCAGCGATCTCGCAGCGTGGGCGATTGCCTTCTCAGACCCGTCAGGGTAGGTATGTGAAATTACTGCTCCGATTCCATAATTTGACGCATCTGCTGCGACTATAATTGGAAGATCTGGGTCATAATGTGTCAGTAGTAGGTTTGATGATAGGAGCTGTTTTAGTTTTAGGAATGCTTCATGGCATTCGGTTGACCAAAACCATTTGGTATCCTTTTTCAGTAAGCAATTACGAGGAGCATTACAGAATCAAACCCCATGCTTATCTTAAATGCCTGGTTATGGCATAACTTATCGTGACCATCAAATGTCACTGAAACTGTTGTCTTAATGGAATTACTTAATAGAAAACGGAGCAAATTTACACAAAATTGCGGAGCAGTCCACGCACTCGGGACTGTCTTTGTAATGCTGCTGTGAGGTTGACTTTATATAAACAAACCATGTGCCAGGTCTAAACACCCAGAAATGTAGAAAACGAAGAATACCTACGGACCACAACTATTGAAGAGTGCCTAGACAATGGGATATTTAGTACGAAATGTGTCTAAGCACTATGATTGAGGGGGCATAATATTTCTTAAGTAAAACTATTAAAATATGTTGGGTTATTAAATTAAGGTAACTGGTTTTTTCATGAACCCAAACATTCTACTTAGTTCGCTGCATAACAACTTATGCTTATATTGGTCACTACTAAGATTATAATACATTTCTGGAAAGCACCTACAGATTAGTAACTACAAGTGATCTTCGACACCCTTGTAATATAGTTCTATACTGCCATAGCTTACAGGTTTTACGTGGCGTTGATGCACCACATTAGCTTGTTGTACTATTCGGAGACGTTTTGAAATATACACAGTTTGATTCCTCAGTGCTGAATGATAACATAATGTTAGCCATTGCATTGATGTATTGCCTCTAAAATATGAATGCTTAATAATTACTAGCTTTTATTTTGATAAGTTCTCCTTAATTAAGAACAGCTCTTAAGGAAGAATGTACTTACATTACAATAACTTTTCGAACAGAAAAGAAAAATATCACAAAACAGAGCATCTTTGGAAAACAATCACATAAAAAATATTAGATGATGCGTAGTCAGTTGAATAAAATGAATAGTCTTACATTAACTAAAAAATATTTTACATCAAGGTGCTTATGATTGAGAGAGAAGTGAACAAACATTTTTATATTCACCACACATAAGGAACCAGCATAGCACGTTTAGATGCCCACTCAGGGAAATTATTTTTATACCAATTATGATTTAGCCATATACAGCATAATTGATTGCATATTGTGAAAAATAATATATGCGAAAAGGGTATCCATTTAGGTGTAATAAATAACTGAAATGATAGGTAAATTGATATTTCAAGTATGTAGTGAGGGCACGATACCCAATAAAACATACTCCCTTCGGGTGGATAATACTTTTTCTCCGATAACTTGTCTAAAAACAACAACAAAATGTTTTTAATTAAACAGAACGTTGGTAAGCTATTTAAAAATATGAAAACAAAAATCTTAATTCTAGTTTTATTTCAATGAGTTAGAAACATGGAGAATATCCAAAGCCGAAAAGTATAATTCTGAAATAATTTATCGTACTTTTTTTCCCAATACGACCGTTATAAAGTCAGGTATTTTGATTTTCATTGACTGGCTCATATCCTAATGGTGTAGTGAACAAGAACAACCAGTGGGGACAACCGAATGTATTTGACCAAATAATTACAGAGCATCTTAATAAAATCTGAGAACGATATATTAAATCGTTAATTTGCAAAATATCAATCCATCATACCAAACTTGACTGTTCCTATTGCAAACATCAATCCATTGTCTTAGATCTCATTGTTCATGCGTTTTCATACAAATTGCATTGTGTTCAAGCTCTTCCTTTCTTGATCTTCCCCCATCTTCTACTGCTGGACATTACGTTCCTAACTCGCGTCATATACTACTTATACCAATATAAGTAACACGCACCACAATGGTAGTTCTAATGCTTACCGATTAGTTTGCTAGATGAACACATAAATACTAAGCATATAAATGGAATAGTTTTGTGAACTGAACAATAAATTTTGTGATATCGTATTCTAATATTCTACCATCTATATCACAAAAAGCTTGTAATTTTGTTACATAAAACGATGCCATTTACACGGATGTGTTCTTAATTATGCAGTTAGTGAAATATAATTCATAATCACATGACTATTGGAGTTAAGTTGAAAGTCTTTAGAAGATTTATTATAAGTTTCAAGATATTTTTGGATGGAATAAATTACCAAACCTCCAAGAACTAGATAAATAAAAAAAATAATAAAGATTGAATTGAGAGAAAAATTCCATATACATTACGGTTTCAATAATTTGTGTGAATTAGCATTTTTCTAATTGAATTGTTGAAGTGTTCACCAATAATCATCAGTAACCATAGTGACCAAGTTTACAGTTGATGATGTCTATTGATGAAACTATTTTGAAAATAAACTGAATTAAAGCAAATGTTACTTTAACAAGAGTTCAGAACAAGTAACACCAGCTGGTTAATTACTATTCATCAATTTTTTCTGATCTTCATCTTAGATCATAAAGTATGAGAGGTAAAATAATCAATTATTCCAAAAAGTTTTTGAAGTAAGATAACTAATTACCAAATACAGTTGTGTATTAGTAAGGATTTTTAATTTCCCTTTGCTAATATTTAGCATTTTAGGTGATCACTCTCTGTTCTGAACTACGCCGGGAGCCCCTCTAGGGCTACTACCGGTTCCAAGCCCGGATAGAGGAGGATTGGGCATGGGGTGAAGAATAACAGCTTTACACACTCTTCAATTTAATTACGATGTGTTGACGAAATGCTGCTATTAATCTAAAATGACATTTACTGCATTTTATAACACACTTAGTTGACTAATAAGTCAGTGAATGTAAAGTAAGAGATCGACGGATTTCAATTACGTGGGAAGTATGTATAAAGGAGCTACGGAGTTAATGGCGAACATTCAATCGCAACTGAAAAGACCGAGCTGACGAGATGGTAAAGATGAGTTGAACACAGTCAAAGTGAAAACTGTGCATTCCGATTCACCACTTCAAAATGAAGAAAACTTCATTACGTTCATGCATAACAATAAATTAATGCATCCTTTAAGACATATATATGATATGATTTGATAAGTTGAGTGAATATTCATCAGACTAACGAAAGCAAATAATGAAAGAAAAACAACTAAGTCTCAGCTTTATCGAGGTTTAATTAATTCACAGAGAATTAATCTTAAATGACAGAATTTGTTTCCATTAGAGAAAACCAGGTGATTTTAAAGTTATTGCATTCTTAAAAATAGGGTGACAATCTACCGTATTAACACAATTACAAGCTGATAAGTGTCTTTAAGTGATAAAACGAATCAATAACAGAGATTCGGCGATAAAAACACCAAGTTTAATAGTTAACAAGAAATACATTTTTAAGAATTTGAACATTCTGAACACTAGAAATATAATACTGCAGTGTAAATACCAAACATTCAGTGTGCTTATTTTTTTAAAGTCTAATTTAATATTATTTATTGTTCGCAGAGTTACTAAACATTAAACTCATGAGTCTCAAAATCTGAACATTGGGCTACCTACTTCAGTTCATGCAACAAGTTGATTTTTATCTTCCATCTCAGAAATATAATGCAAAACGGAGTGAACTAATAGTCTGTAGTTGGTTGTTATATTGTATTAGATGATAAGTTTGGGATGCTATTACCATCGTGTCCATAACTAACCAATGAAATAGTGGTTTAAGCGCCCACCACGTCAATATGGTCTTTAGACTATCCCTATTGCATGTGACTTGCCAATTGAAGTACATTATTGTCCTATTATATTAGTGTGATTCATAATTTTTGTTCATTTTAATGAGACAAGCACTACTGGTCGGTATACTTGTGCGTTCCACTTAATGACTATAATTCGTTTAATTATTGTACTACTTGAATTGTTTTTTATGTTTCGAGACAGATAATGTCTAAAGCCAAGTTGTCCTTATTCTGACTATAACTTTCATATAGACTCGGGGATCGCCAGAATCGCTTTTACAGTTCTAGCATATATCTATAGGACAAATTAAATCCTACACTTAGTGTTCGATAAGTAATAAAGTGCATTTTCAACTGTTAAATGAATGAATACACAATAAATAAAATATTAGTTTTAAACGACAGTAAGTGAACTGAAGTAATTATTTTATGCTGAAATATTGTTACTTATTGCAATAATGTAACAAATCCATTTAAATGATCAGTAAATCTCGATTAGACCACTGATTAATTTATTCATCACAATTAATGGTGAATGCATTTCACCATAAAATTCACACAAAACTCTTCACAAGATTCGGTTTTAATAAAAAATTGAATATATTCAAAGTAATAACTACTGTGTTTTAGTTATTTGCTAATATTCTTAGTGACATCAAATATAGCACAAGAAAATAACACGATCTATCAGAAATGAGTTACTAAGAAGTGAAGGTATAGGAAAAAATCTGGAGTGGAATGAAGTTAATTTAGATTCTGAATACAGTGGTACTCACTGGCTGTCACTCGCACAGATAAAATAACCTTTTTAACAGCGATATATATTTAAGACGAAGAGGAAACAAGACTAGCTTTGAAGCTTAAGTACACTTCTTGTAAATGAGTGATAGACAGAAAACATTTTAGTCTGTAACTGACTGCTGATGAATGAAAGTTTTTGACGCAAGATACTCGGTGTAACAATGTAAAATAATTTAGATTATCGGCTGAAAACCTTTTTCGAAAAGATGTAGCCAGACTGCAGTAGCTAATTAAACCAAAAGCTTCGAAATGGGGAGATGTAGTCAAATTTTCTCAGACTTATCTACACATAAGATTATGCTAAAATGCTAAACAAGCCTACTGATTAGGTGATTGGAAGTAATTGACAGGATATCCTTATAAACCCAAGTGTTTTACTGATTTATACTGGTCGGCAACGTGCACTTGCAATAGACAATCAATGTCAAATGCTCACGAAATCCAATCATCCGGACAGAAATCTAAACATAGTGAGATCACAGGTACATAAATAGTATATTAAATGAATTCTGTATTGAGTGAAAATTACCTGTGTTTTTATTTTTTCCTGAACGTAAGGCAGCTAACTGTCGGAAAACCAAATCCTGTAAATATTGGAGTATTAACATATGTACACTAAATAAGCCAATAATCAAATATGATCGTTCAGCTGAAAGATAAGTTATTGTTAAATTATCAAATTAATGAAGGTACATAAATAAAATGTTATAGTGAATCTACAGATCAAGATTGTACTAGAGCTGAGCGACATTCTTTGTATAGACGCTCTACGTAAAATCTGGTAAACTTTAAAGAAATATGTGGGGGGAACAGAATTTACAACCAAAAACGAGACGGTTAAAATTCGAATATATAAACCATTAATTTTAAACTCCACAAACATGTAAAAACACCTACTCAAGTTTTGGAGACGCTGCAAGAAGATATACTCAACGTGATACGTTGAACTAATTTAACAGACATAGTGGAAGATGCTGATGAGCACACACTATCGATTAAGATTTAACTTAAGTCTGAGAAAACGGAGATATACAACTAGTTGAAAATCTGGCCTTATTTTCTAAGGGAAAAAGACATATATTTAGGAGTGAGGTGAACATGTATTTTCAACCCAGTTACCGAATGAAAGCTTTCTAACTAATTTTGGTTCTTCCACTCAAGTAGTTGGTTTAGGTATCCATATGGAAACAGACTCAGACGATGAAAGATCATGATAGAACGCAAAGTCCAATTTGTGCCATAACCTATATGAAAATGTCACATAGCGACAGGACGATAAATATATTCTAATCTTATAATCTGAACACACATTAATTTATACAGCGTGTCAAATCGCCAAGATTGGACATTAAGTGTCCATGATACTGACATCTTGACCCACTAAAAGATTAGCAACCCTCTATGAAGTTTGAACTTCACCCTACTAAAAAAGAGATGGTGCGACCGGAGCTTTTCAATGTTAAGTTTTACGAACCCGTTCTGGGCAACATGTTTACAGTTAGTTGATTCTTTGTCGAAAACAAGTTTTATACTCTAAAAAATTCTTGTTTCAAGAGGTCATTATGTTGATACGACTATTGCGAAAATTCATGCTCCCTAGGAATAAAAGCTTGCTGAAAGACATTAGAGAGAATCCATTGATTATTTATATTGCAGATTAACTCCACTACTTTTACAATAAATTATATTAAATATACTCATCCTGATATCTGCTGTATGTTGATTTATGTGGTGACTGAACGATGGAGCATCATCTAGTATAAATTAGTTAATCGGTATCCAACTCTCATAGCATAGTTACAAGACTCAAATAATAAAATCTCGCGAATTGAACTTTTGATGAAGCACGTATAACAATATTAAGCAATGAAAACAGTGGTGAATAGGATCGATTTCACTGTTTATAAGAATCTACCATTTAACTAGACAATAATTACAGATAAAAAAAGGATAATCGGTATATCTTTGGAATCAATATAACGTATTAACTTTATTAAATAAGTTGGTGTAGCCCATTAACCAGATTGTGATAAGTACTCGGCTTTCAGTAGCACGTTCTATCTCAAGATTAGTGATATATATTGACAGTCCATATAGAAATAGATGAAACGTGGTTCGAAACTGATCCAATAGTTAAAATTTAATTAGGCTAACCATTATATAGTCTTTATATTTAACGCCTACTAACTACTATCTGGTAACTGCCAAAACCAACTAGATTCTTATAGAATCCGTATCTTATTACACGGTGCTAAATACAGACTATGAATAAGAAAGCAATTATTAAAAACAGAAACTGGTTACAAAGTAGACTGACGTTCAGATAATCAAGTGAGTAAACATTGATGAACACTGGCAGTATATGTTAGATTAATAATAAACCAAACATGCTTGTCACGATCACGTCAGACAGTTCGATGATAGTTCTAAATAACGTGAAATCCGATAGTTTTACGTTACTGTACAACAAACCAGTACAAGCAGAAAGAAAATGAAATATTGCGTACTGGAATTTACTAAACAGTAATAAAGGATAATAAAATGGTTAACTGGAGATAAGAATCAATAATACATAATTAAAAATACAAAGTTTACAAAATGACGAGTTTTAATTACCTGCATTACTTTGAGAAAGTAAAATTGAAATAGGACTGAAAATATAGAATCCAAGACCCATCAAAAAGTGCATAAAACTCATTTGAGAATTACTGAATACGGAAACGTATTCGCACTCATACAGTCGACGTGAAAGATGTACCAAATATATGATTAAAACAGAAATTATGGTTTTGTTAAGTATTGAAGCTAGAAAAAATTTTTTGGAAGTTATATAAATTCAGATAGATTTAAAATAGAAAGTTACCCGAATGAATAATTATGTCCATACTAGTAATCGGATCTGAGAAGAGTTTCTCGAAGTTCAAATAAGGAACTATAACTGGTAGAGTTAAGCAAGTCAAGGGTGAGACAGTAATTTATAGATGGGATTGGCACTATAAATCAAACTGATTGCAGCTGCAACCGTGAGCTTGATTCAGGTTTATTGCTTTAAAGATACGATTTTGAGCGGAGCTGAGAGCGCAAACAAATGAACAGTTATGAAACAGGACGAAACAGATTTCCAATGGATCCTGGTTTTCAACTGTTCCTCAAGTGAAATCAATTTACGACAAAAACGATTTCTAAATTAATCACATTACTCAACAAGCCTGATATATTTGTGATATTGGCGATAAATCGTAGCTACAACAGAACTATTCCCTCCAAGTTACAGCTAAACGAAAGGAAAATTTATAAAGTAGGGAACAAAGAAGATTGAATTACATTCGAGTTTATTCAGTTACCTATCAAACATATTTTGTGGTAATTAGCTACGGAATTTGCTAAACTAAATAGGGACCAAAATTCAAACTGAATTTATTATTACAGTCAGAGTAAACTGAACGAAAACCATATTCAAGTAATCAATATTTTCATTCTCCCGGATTCAATAATTAAAGTACACATATTTAAAATTTTGCCCCCAAATGCCCTGGTACGGCAGAGAGTGAGGAGAGTCCGCTCTCCCTCTCGAAATGCCCTCACGTGGTCACACGTATATAGCCTCTGTCAGGGAAGTCCTACTCACTGCCTTCTCACACCACGGGTGTTGTTTACGAAAATGAGAGGACGAAAAGCGAATGTCCGGCGCTTTAACCGGATCCCAAACCAATGGTGCACATGTGCTCCAATATCCCGAGGGAACAAATGGCGTATGAACCAATCGTTGGTCACCGGCTACCATGGGACTGCATCTCCTTACGATGCTCCACTGCCTTGTGGGTCAGACCTTTGTGTCAAAGGCTCGGGGTGTGGCCCCCTAAGAAGACCACCTGCTTTGGTTTGGGCACCCGGGCAGTATCACAGCCGTCACACATATCAAATGAGCTCTGTGTGGCGCATATGTATTTGGTGCCTCCTGGTACCAATATCTGTGTTAAAATAAATAAATAATAATTTAATATTTTAACGGAACCAATCTTTACCTTTCGTCATTTAAACGTAATGAGACATGAGTAGATTAAAATTGAACAGGATGCATTAACGGAATTATATTTTTACTAATTATAACTAAAACAGTAATATCTATTAATCAATTAAATCTCCTGCTACATAATAATAGAAAAAATTATTGTATGACAAAAAATAAATAGTTAAGTCTACATCAAGTAAACAAATTTCGCAATAATACTTTACTTTAATATTCATTTATTGTACCTAAAATCAGAGTAATCAGTTCAACAATATGAAAAACTTCATTTGGTTGCATGCTTACAAAATAATCATGATCAGAATGAGGTTTGTGAAGACTGTAGTGATTTTAAATGTTGAATTCATAAGTCATGTAAGCTAGAACACCGTTGAAAACTTGGAAGCACTGGACTGCCGTTTCGTCCTAGTATGGGATTCCTCAGCAGTGCGCATCCACGATCCCGCACTTACTACTCGAACCCAGGACCTTCGGTCTCGCGCGTTAAAGTTTAACCACTGAGCCGGCATCCAACGGTGTTAATGACAGGTATCTAGCTCAGAAAATGGATGAATGGTTGTGCAACCATTCATGGGTCGACTGAAGTTGGGCATTAACACTGTTGAATGCCAACTCAGTGGTCTAGTGGTTAAGCGTTCACGTGCAAAAGCGAAGGTCCTGGGTTCCAGTAGTAAGTGCAGGGTTGTGCATGCGCACTGCTGAGGAGTCCCATAATAGGACGAGACGGCAGTCCAGTGATTCCAGGTTTTCAAGTACAAAATAATTGTGGTATGCAATACAAGGGTGGGATAACAAGAATGCTGCAACAGTGACAAAATAAAACGGTATGAGAAACAATGTTAAATCCACTTACATAGCATAAATAAATCAACCAGTAGGATACATGATGTAGAGAATATACCAATAATGTAAAAGTATTTAAACCATCTGTAAGGAAAGATTTGATACAATTACTTATAAATACGCATATAGTTTATTTGTTGACCGGAGAAATTTGAGAAAGAGAAATGATTTTGTGTAAAAATATGAAACAATTTTAGTTTGTTAGTGAATGCCTAATGATTTACTAAATTGAAAAAAACGAAGTGAGAACGATACTAACAGCTGTACGAATGCAAACAATCCAGAAAACGATGCCAGTTTTTGATAAAACATCTTTAAGTAGAATACTTAGTAAAGAGTAAATGGAAATCCATTATTTACATGAATGTGGTTCTGTAATGAATGTCACGAAATTGTGATAAACTATTTAACTTAATAATGAGCGAATATAGATAACGGATAGTAATAATGGTATATCATGAACTGATTAATGTTACGAAATACTGACTAATGAATTTAGAATTAAAGCATGTGAACGAAACGCGACTATACCAAAATATGAAGTTTTCAGTCTGAACATCCAACAGGTCACAAGTTATTACGAAAACGAATTACTTAACAGATTTGTGTGATTTTATCCTACAATGAAACCTATGTTAGAAGTAGCCGTCCTCATAAATACTAAATGGTAAAGAAAGACATTATTATTTATGTATTTTAACACATAGATATTGGTACCAGGAGGCACCAAATACATATGCGCCACACAGCTCATTTGATATGTGTGACGGCTGTGATACTGCCCGGGTGCCCAAACCAAAGCAGGTGGTCTTCTTAGGGGGCCACACCCCGAGCCTTTGACACAAAGGTCTGACCCACAAGGCAGTGGAGCATCGTAAGGAGATGCAGTCCCATGGTAGCCGGTGACCAACGATTGGTTCATACGCCATTTGTTCCCTCGGGATATTGGAGCACATGTGCACCATTGGTTTGGGATCCGGTTAAAGCGCCGGACATTCGCTTTTCGTCCTCTCATTTTCGTAAACAACACCCGTGGTGTGAGAAGGCAGTGAGTAGGACTTCCCTGACAGAGGCTATATACGTGTGACCACGTGAGGGCGTTTCGAGAGGGAGAGCGGACTCTCCTCACTCTCTGCCGTACCAGGGCATTTGGGGGCAAAGAAAGACTAGTGAGATGCTATAGCTCTCTAAAATTGCGAAGTAGGAAAAATGAGTAAAGCCAATTGAAGGTCCAGCTAAGGACTACTCAGTTAAACAACACAAGACCTCAGTCAGTCATTCGTATGCGACATACAACCTGATACATATGTGCATTTGTCCACGCTGCCACACCACCTCAGTACAGCGAGACGCTAGAGTAGTTGGAGTAGCAACGGAAAAGGAACAAAAGATATAATTCAAGAAGTCATTAGGATGAAAAAAGATTGATCACATAACGGCGCGGGAATTCACCAGGAACTTAAATTCCTGAAGCCCCAGAAAACTTAAACTTAGTTCTTTCTGTGGAGGATAGAGAACCTTTGGCTAAGGAACTGACTACGTTGTTAGGAAAGGTTAGGGGATTAGAGTGCTCTAACATCTTGGAACAAGACGACAGTCGTCGGATTCAATTAATGGGGGATAAGACTACTTCCGATAGTGTCTGAAATAATAGCCTCGGCCATACTTCAGAATATCCAAAACCAGACTGATTTTTGTTCTCATCGTGGGTGTATCGATCATATTTTTATCCGCCCCCCACAAAATTTCATAGTACCGCCTTACCTACTGCAGGCGAACCATCGCTGTTTCTTGATATCATGGCTACCTTCGATCCTTTGGACAGGACTGTACTCCAGGATAGTCTGTTGAAAGGTGCACCTGAGTTTGCTATAATCTTGAGGGCTCTCTATTAAAACACCTCAGACAGATTGAGAGAATGCAACAATCTCCATTATAAATAAATTATATATTTGTAATAACCCAATGAGTAGAAAATTAGATTTTCTGTTTCGTGACCTAGTCTAAGCCACTTCTTCAGGGAATAAATAACCGAATCAAAATTAATCCAAGTGTAAATAGTACAACGGAACAACAAGAATATTATGTGATCAATCAAAAACAGGTCTGAATAAATCATTGTCATGTCATTTCGGTCAAGGTGATTCATAAGCAACATGCATGTAAATTTGTGTATATGTAAGTGTGCACTGGTGAGATGACGTCACTTTATGATAAGACCACGTTGCTGTTTTCTCAACTTGATTCGTAATCCAATTACTATTGAAATTACTACTAAGTAGTTGTCTGATTGTATATCCTTATATGCAATCTCTTTTATATATTACCACCATTGTGTTAAGTACTTCTCTAGATTTGGTGTTCATCTTGCTGTGTTAATGATGTGTGGCAACTTGGACCGATACATATATGTGCTTGGTCCTACGTTGTAGCTGACTAACTGTCTGATGTGTACAACACATAACCAAGCCAAGTCAATAAATACCAGTTTAACATGCTAGTCAACCGAGATTTTTATGATAATAAGATACATTTGTAATATTCCAATGAGTAGGAGAATAAATTTCTGATGTCTAATACCATGAACAATACGCCAAGTTTTCAGTTTATTTGAGATTATCAAGTCAAATCTTAGTAATGAACTTTTCTTAAAAAAGTCCGTAGTAAGGGTATTCTCTTTGTCTGTATGTATAGGTTGGCACACTAATCTTATGTTAAAAATAACGACTTAAAGAATTTATCTAATCCTTGACATTGTTTTGTGCATGAAGGTAAAAATTCAAGAAATATTAATTTGTAAAAGTCACAGCTACACGTTTGTATAAAACACTTCACAACGATTAATGGGGGACAACAGTAACTAATTCTGTAGGGTGCCAAACTGAAACAGGACACATTACTTCAGACTTACCTTTTAGGAACTCTTAAATACTCCAAATATTCACAATACTGAGGGTTTGACTTTCCGAACAGAAGAAAATGTTGGATGAACAGCGGAGAATATGAGCCATACAAGTGATAGAAAATTCCGAAGAGTACACCAGCTATCCCAAGACCACTAAATATTCTCGGAATTCGTGATAGAATGTTTACAAATATTGTGTCCTAAAGAATTAAAACATGTATTCTTATAATAACTGATGAACTACATAAATCTTGGATATAATTATATTTTATACACAAGGGGAATCTTTTTTACAATCCCCAATAGTTCACAAGTTTTTGTTGAAAATGCCCTGGTACGGCAGAGAGTGAGGAGAGTCCGCTCTCCCTCTCGAAATGCCCTCACGTGGTCACACGTATATAGCCTCTGTCAGGGAAGTCCTACTCACTGCCTTCTCACACCACGCGTGTTGTTTACGAAAATGAGAGGACGAAAAGCGAATGTCCGGCGCTTTAACCGGATCCCAAACCAATGGTGCACATGTGCTCCAATATCCCGAGGGAACAAATGGCGTATGAACCAATCGTTGGTCACCGGCTACCATGGGACTGCATCTCCTTACGATGCTCCACTGCCTTGTGGGTCAGACCTTTGTGTCAAAGGCTCGGGGTGTGGCCCCCTAAGAAGACCACCTGCTTTGGTTTGGGCACCCGGGCAGTATCACAGCCGTCACACATATCAAATGAGCTGTGTGGCGCGTATGTATTTGGTGCCTCCTGGTACCAATATCTATGTGTTAAAATAAATAAATATTGTTGAAAATAATGTCAGATTTATTCTATCATATTCATGGTCCAAATACTGAAGTGAGGATGTACCTGAAGTACAATTTTTAGAAGAATAAGATTATGTAAGTTGAAGGAATGGCTTGAAATCGTGCTTCGGAATTTAAAGGCTGAATAAATACCTGATCGAATTATGAATTGCAATCATTCAGAGCTAAAAGCAGTAATTACAGTTTAGCTAGCGACCTGCAAATCCAGATTATTCAAAATTGAAGAAAACAGACAGTGTATCCGTTAATGAAGACCTATCTAATAAAGTTGTAAGTTTATGTGAGTTTTGCAGTACCCTATTATTTATTTGTTAAATAACAAAGGTCGATATAACATGCCCTGAAACGTCTCTTGCAGGAGACGAAGGACCTGCAACTTGTACTGATTTATTACATAGGTGTTACCTATTCGTTTGTATTGAACACCCCACAGAGACCACCTCGAACTACCTCCCGGTAGAAAGCTAAATAACATATTAGTGTTGCAAACGTTGGTTTTATAACTTAAACCAGACGATAGGTAGGAACCGAGGAGACAGTTGAGAGTGGATGTTACAGTAAGGAAACCGTTTACCCATGCAAACACTACTTACCATACATCAAATAGTACAAATTACGCTTAGTGAGTAATATGTATTTCAGTTGTAAACTGCATCAGGAGCAGATGCTTCTAATAATCCGATTTGCATATACATATTGTTCATCTTGTAGCCACATATAAGATTTTTAGACACTTATGCTACAGCCATTTCCCCAAAGTTTACTATAGCGGCTTCCCCGAACTGGGTCAATTTTCCCCCAAATTGGAAGCACACAGACCTCTCATTCCGCTATTAACGAAATACGAAAGCAAGGGGCTACAATAACTTCACAAATGTGATTATGACAGTCGGTCTAGTAATTGATTAGAATTCTAATCAATTAGGGAGGATTCAGGTTAACTAGTCGACTTATAAGTGTAACGAGATTCATTTATTTATAAAAACCTCTAATTAATGTATTTTCACCCAATAAACATGGTCTGCCATCGTAAACATCATTTAGAAATGAGTTACATCGTTTAGTGTCACTGGACGATCCATTAAAGCGAACTTCCCCCTTGGTGACCTTGAAAATAACGCGCATATGTTTTCAGCATGTATATATTCTCAAGGGCAAACCTCTCAAGTTTCAAGTATTGCTTACTGGAATTCGAAAAAGAGATGTTCTTCAGGTATTTGATTTCAGTGGCAAAAAAGAGTTGCTGACGATGGAATGGTATAGTTCGTGTTGCTGTTCTCCTAAAACAGAGTGGTGAAATAAGATATTAACAATAAGTTTTCAGTCCTTTGTAATAAGGATAGTAGGTTTGTAAGCCTTTGTTAATCCTCGCAGCTTATTCTCCAGCGGAATTTCGGCTTCTTCTAGAGAACATGTGCTGATAGGGCTGATAAGGCGCTCCACTTTATGACTACTTGATGAGGAAAGTGGAACTCCGCTTTAAGTTTTTGTGATCGCAGCTTTTGAACCTTCTCACTGTGACCTTGGAGATAATTGGTTCTGGGTAGAGCAAAACTGCAAGACATTTTAACGTTCAAATAGTTATTGAGTCCTACAACACTACAAGGGGAAAGTGTCCGGGCGTTTTAGACGCTCGTCGTAAGAAAATTTGAAACAAACATTCACTAAATTTTTTCCACAGGCTAAACACTGCTTGGACGCAGTACTCTGGGTGAGGCTCTCCATAGGTGTGATATAATATCAAGAACGCTTATTCGTCAAAACATCTGAATACTCGGTGAGGTGACCACTTGTAAATCTTTTGTGGCTGCTGAGTCGCAGTGTGCAGTTGTTCTCGTTTTAAGACTTGCTATTTCTCATGGGTCTTTTTGTTGCTCGACGCTTGGAGGTCATGTTTGTTTTATAGTTTGCAGTTAAATTGTAGTGTCCGATGTGCATTGGCATACTCCTATGGCGTCTTACTGGGTCTGATGTTAACAAGCAATTTAAGAACAACTTCCTCAGTCAAATGTATTGGACCTAAAGCTGGTATCTCAGTGATGTAGTTATGACATGTATTGTTAACAGTATTCGCAAGGTAGACTTTGCTGAAATAATATAATAAAGTCTCATCTTTTCCCCGATGTGATTTAGCTAGTCAAAGGCTTCCATCACTAAGTATTGTTCTTCATTTAATGTACAAAAGCAATCATTTTGAGCAGGTACGGATATCATATGTCAACTGTCTTTCTAAGTGGTGTGACATTTAGCTATGGCCTTCTGCATATATTCTAAATTTTCCGGTGTACACACTCAAGTGATTCGTAGCCTGTTGACGAGGTCAAGTTCCAGAAGTGTTTTTACGCCTTACCAGCCTTTAGGTCTCTCTATTGACCTATGGAGAGCAGTGGTAGCTTGTAGTGGCATTGGGCCCTAACCACACAATCATCAAAGCTGAAGACAAGACAATTGAGGAAATAGATGTTCAACATTTAACGCGGAGAAAAACTGAACGATGGGGAAGGCGGGAACAATGAGTTGAATGAATTTGAAATGATCAGATGGTGTGGCTCAGCCTCTCAGACGTGGTCGTTCTGTTCGACTTACTTTTACTCATATTAAATATATTACTGTATCTCCAGCCTGAATGTGTTCTCCATCATATATCGGTAATTGTTACGATACGATGAGTCAATGTAGACTTCCAGTGTGACTTCCACGTAAGATCTTATAGATTAGGCAGTTACATCATGACAAATCTGCAATTTTAGGATTAGGTCTATTATTAGAGCAGTACTAATAACATGGGTAAATGATAATGTCACGAACATGGATGTTACTGCAAACATATTCCATTGCTCTTCGATCGACCTGTACACACAAACTCTGATTGCCATAGTTTCTCGTAATAACATTCTACAAGAACAAACTTTTTCTAACGACGCTAGGGTTAAATACTGTTTTAATTTGGGACTGGCGGAGTATTCTCTGACTCAGGATGTGGTCTAGTATGTGACTAATACTGTTCTAATAATGGACCTAATCCTACAAATGTAGATTTATCATGATGTAACTGTCTAATCTGTAAGGTCTTACGTGGAAGTCACACCACTGTATCGTAACAAACCCCAATATATAATGGAGAACACATTTAAGATGGAGATAGAACAATATATTCAACATGAGAAAAGTGATGAGTTACACAAAAATAACCACGCCTGCAAGGCTGAGAAATGCTATCTAATTGAACTAATGTTCCTGCGTTCACTATTATTGACGTTCCCTTAGTGTTACATGTTGAACGTCTATTTTTCAAGTTGTCTAATGTTCAGCTTTGAGGATTGTGTAGTTAGGATCCAGTGCCATTACAAGTCTATCAAACACATATCAACCGGATGCGCGCGTTTTTTTGGCTATTTTTCTTCCCCTTTTTTGTTTCCACATTATCCTTCATATCCCGCTAGTTGGTACAGTCGCATCGTGATTACTTGGAACGATGACGATTTTATCTATGCATTCAGGCACTACTTCAGAATCGTGACCACAAATATCCAATGACGTTTTACTCTTTGTTTATTTCAAAAGGGAGTTTACTTCTGTATATTTCGCACTCGGGTATTTGGCACGTCTCAAAACGGCCCTTATGTCATTGACGCATTCTTCATTGTCAATACTCATGTTACCAGCTGAGCTGTCATCGACGTATGTGCTGACCAGTGAGAGAAAGCTTATTAGCCTGAAGATGTCACAGGTTTTGGAGTTTGACAACGCTTTAACCAGTAACACCTTTTAATATGAGGCGTACATACCAAGTGAAATCAAAAGGCAGAAGCGAGGAGATAAGCTATCAATATATCGAGGATCGTTTGAACTAATCTGGCTAGCGATTGTGACAAATGTTGAACACGGCGTTCCCACACGTGATCTGGTGCGGATGCTTGACCGAGCGCCTTCAGTTAGATGAGTCTATTAAAACCGTGGTCAGCATCCAATGTCGAAAACTTACAGAGCTATTTATTTTGGAGATTTATTTACCGCTACAAATCACTTTCCCACAGTGGGGTAGTGATGACCCTAAGACGTGGCCAGCCAGAAGTTTAAACCCAACGAGTTTTTCGTTGGTAAAAACCCTTCTCATAGCTTGCTAGATTTAGCAGCGTCTGGTCGTCTTTCCTTACTATAATGGACCATGATGTACAATATAGTAAAAAAAAGTAAAAGGTACAATGAAGATTTCCGTTTCTCGCAAACTTCATTGTTCTTTTTATCGTCTTTTCCAGCCGTCCTTTAAAAGAAAAAATATGTAAATACATGTCGAAATACACTGGTACGCGCGTGAAAACACAAAGCAGGAGAAAACATGGAAAACAAACTCATGCTTACGTAATAGCGTAAAAAAGGATTTTTATAATATGGTTTTTTTGTTTTTTTTTTGAAATAAAAAAAAATAAAAATACATAAGTATATTAAAATTTTTTTCAAAAAAAGAAAAATTATATATAGGTCAATGGAAAATCGAGACGAGATAAAATGTCATCTAGTATCTTACGTACAATAATCGTTCAAATGTTCTGGAAATCTTACTCTTCTTCCAGAACGCGTTGTTTTGAGTTTAATTTCTGATACCGCCGAAGTATCAACGTGTATGTCGACTGTCGATTGAGGTTTTACAAGTGCAGGAATTTTGTCGTGCGATTGTATTCAAGGAAAATCGACGTGAATAGGATTTCCTTCTAAATACGCTGCTTTGAGGCGATCGATGCTGATGCTATCGTTGGTTCCGTTCTTATCGATTATATAGTACTTAGATTCGCGTTGAAGAACTTTGAAAGGTCCTTCTTACGCTGATTTGAGAGGTCGTCGATGCTGGTCTCGACGTATGAAGACGTGTGTACTATATCGTAAGTCAGGTTGGACGAAAACATCAGTTGATTGTGATCGAGTGGAAACAGGTTTTACTGAACGCATTGCGTTTGTAAGCCTGTTCGCGTAGGAGGTTAGATCCATGTTCATCGAGGAGGATGAAGGATCCACGAATTCTCCTGGAAGTCGAAGGGTCGTACCATAAACGAGTTGGGACGCAGTGTATTCAATGTGAGCTTTCACTGCATTGCGAATACCTAGTAAGACGAGTGGAAGAGCGTCAGTCCACTGAGAAATGTTTGAGGCTGATAGAGACACTTTTAGTTGTCGGTGAAAACGTTCTACAAACCCGTTCGTTTGTGGGTGGTAGGCCGTTGTTCAGAAGCGAGTGATTCCTAATTTTGCGGTCAGACAACGGAAAAGTTCAGATTTAAACTGACGACCACGATCTGTAGTGGTGGTTTTGGGCAGCCGAAGTTTGCTACCCATCGTTCGACGAAGGCGTGGGCCACTGTTTCAGCAGTAATGTCTTTGATGGGTACTGCTTCTGGCCATCGAGTAAAACAGTCTACGCATGTTAAAAGATAAGAATATCCATTTGAATCTTGTAAAAATCCTACCAGATTTCAATGAACGTGGTCGAAGCGAGCATCGGGAGTTTTAAACGAGCCTAGGGGACATTTAATGTGTCTAATCACCTTAGATTTCTGGCAGCTTACACAAAAGCGTGCCCACTCCCACATGTTTTTATTCTTACCAGGTCAGCAAAACCGTTTTGCTATAAGCTTGATGGTTGCACGAACACCTGGATGAGAAAGTCTGTGCAACGTATCGAAGACGTTGCGTCGATATTGTTTCGGCACCTGTAGATGTGTCACAGAGTAAGGTTTCCTTACCTGTTCCCATCTGTTTAATGCGTAGTTTAAGTGTTGTTGAGGCCAACTCGTGCTGAAGATCACTGTCTTCTTTTTGAAGTTGGGCGAGTTTTAAAAGGTCGATTCCTTGATAACTGTTCAAGGAATTTATACGAGACAGGGCGTCTGCAACTACATTGTTTGCTCCAGAAATGTGTCGAATATTTGAAGTAAACTGCGAGATGTAGTCAAGTTGTCGAGACTCACGAGGTGAGTACTTGTCTGAAGATGAGTTCAAAGAGAAGGTAAGAGGTTTATGGTCGGTAAAAAAGGTGAATTCGCGACCTTCGATATAGTGCTGAAAATGCCGCACAGCATAATACATAGCTAGGAGTTCCCTACAGTATGTGCTGTACATCGATTCAGTGTCTAGCAGCCATCTAGAGAAAAATGCCAGAGGTTGCCAGGAGTGGTTAACCCATCGTTGTAAGACTCCTCCGATTGCTGAGTTGGATGCGTCTACTGCGATACTAATAGGCGCTTCATGGTCCTGGTGAGCAAGCACGGTCGCTTGAGCGATCAGTTCCTTAACCGTGGAGAATGCTTTTAGGGTAGTGTCATCTAGATTAATGGATTTCGCATTTCCACGAAGTTGGTCGGTAAGAGGTTTCATAAGTAACGCGCATTTCGGTATGAATCGTCTATAAAAACTTACCAGACCGTTAAACGTGCGCAATTGCTTGATGGTGGTCGGTTCTGGGTAATCCAGAATGGCCGCCACTTTTGTTCTAAGGGGTCAGATACCTTGCGCATCGATAGTATGTCCTAAGAAGTCTAAGGAGTCGGTTCCGATTTGGCATTTCTGAATGTTTACAGTGATGCCATGTTTTTGTAGTCGGTCGAAAACAAGGTCCAGATGCTGGAGATGTGATTCTCTGTCCGGGTTTGCTATTAGGCAGTCATCAACATACGCATCTACGAAGTTTAGACCTCGAAAAACGTCGTCTATGAACCTTTGGAAAGTCTGTGCTGCGTTTCTTAGACCGAAAGGCATTCGCGAAAATTCATAGAGTCCGAAGGGAGTTATGATAGTGGTTTTTGGAATGTCGTCAGTGGCCAAAGGAATTCGGATATAGGCTTTAACCAAGTCGATTTTCGAAAAGACAGTTGTACCTTTCAAGGTAGCTTCCAAATCGTGGATGTGGGGCAACGGGTAACGATCGGGAATGCTTTTTGTATTCAATCGCCGATAGTCACCAGTTGGACGCCAGTCGTTGCTGTCCTGTTTAGGGACCATGTGCAACGGAGATGCCCATGGGCTATTTGACGGTCCTATGATTCCTATGTCTATCATATAGTCGAATTCGTTTTTCGCCAACCTTAACTTTTCGGGGGCCCGTCGGCGTGCTTTAGAGAATAAAGGTGGTTCAGTGGTCGTGATGTGATGTGTAACGTTGCTGGTTACGCGCGGCGATTTCGGTTGTGATTGGTAAATGCCAGAATACTTATCGAGTAGTGGTTGGTAGAAGGGGTCTATAGTGTGCTTAATAGTGCCTAGATATAACCTGCAACCAGAAAAAGAAGTAAGGCAAACAGATAAATTAGCATTAAGTTGTGGTGTTGTAGAAGGACCATACCAATGATTGGCATAGAAACATCCGCAACAACAAAGATCCGTTTGCCGCCCATAGATTTAAAACCTACTCGTGAAACCGGTCGTTGGAGTTCGCTGGGAGAACGCTAAATTCTGCGCCAGTATCGACGAAGTAGTGAACTCTCGTTATTACATCAGTGACATATAAAAGACGGCTATGTTCGCCGGCTACGGTTGCCATTAACGCGTGCCGGTTTGGAAGTTTCCCGAAACATTCTTCGCGTCGACCGATTTTACGTTGGGAAAGTTGCAGGGTTTTCTACAATTTCTGGCGGACTTTCCATACTGGTAATGATACCGGCACCAGTCAGGACTATCCGTCTCTCGAGGTCTAGATACAGATCGCCTACGTGATGTGCTTTTTCGAGGAGTGTGTGACCGTTTACGGTCGTTACGAAGTTTGAGATAACGCGTAAGTGCATGACATAACTGTGTTATGTCATTCTGGGTGGTTTGAGGCTTTTCTTTGACTGAAAAAGCCTCGGCGTTAGAAGATCTAGTGATTTCGAGAATGCGGTCACAGATGCAGCCAGCTCGTCTACGGCGTTGTTTTGGAACGAGACCAGCACAGCTTGCACCTGTTGAGGAAGTTTTGATAAAAAAATTTGTTTGAAAAGGCTATCATCGAAGGTTCTCTGGCCAATAACTTCTCTCATTCCTCGCAACATGTCTGTGGCAGAACCGTGTTGCAGGTCGATGTTGTTAAGGGTTTGGTTTAACCTTTGTCGATCGGTTAGATCTCCGCGTTTAAGGATGGAGCTTTTGTGAGTTTCGTATGGTTCAGAAACATCACTAGTAAACATACTAGGTGTTACGTACCTGTTGAATTCGCGCGGTAGTGCCTTGACTACTGCGAGGAATTGTGCACGTGTGTCGTCGGCTTCTGCGTAGCAAAACTAGGCTTCGATGTTGTCTGGCCAGAAGGGCATTAGTTGGAAGGACGGTGAGGACACGGTCTTTAATTTAAATACTTTAGGTGTCTGTCCAGTCATAGTAATATATATCAAGTACGAAAAATGAACGAGTGGGAAATATATATATATATATCCAAAAACACGGGGAAAAAAGTATCACAATAAATAAAAAATTAAAATAAGACAATGATATAAAAAATCACAAAAAGGAACGGACTCACAGTTTGCAATTTGGTATACTAGATCACGTCGGGCTCACCAATGAAAATGCCACAGGTATTAGGAGTTTGACAACGCTTTAACCAGTAACACCTAATATGAAGCGTACCTACCAAGTGAAATCAAAAGGCAGAAGCAAGAAGTTAATAATAATAATAATTTTATATTCTGAAAAAATGATAATTACAGAATTCACGCCAGTTTACAGGCATGATCAATTTGATATAGATAATATCATAATATGTACAGAACAAACATGTGATATGAGTTTTAAGTTAACTAGTTCAGTAATTGTTTAGGTATTACAGCGATCCAATGCATCAGCCGGGAACATGTAATATTTCTTAACTGGACAGCCTGTTGAATTATGAACGGTGTAATTAAGATCATTTCGTGTGCCAGATTGATTTAATGATAAATATCTACAACTAGAGAAATTAAAACGAAAACAGAGAGCAGGGAGCAACAAAGCAGTAATTACCGAAATATGTCAATCAGATCTATCAAAATGAGTATGTCATGTGACACAGTGATATACTGTTGATGATATTCAAGTTAGTTAAACTAGCTGGGGACGGTATTAACATAAAGTGACAGCAAGTAGGTGGTTTTATCCAGAGAATGCACTAGTAAAAATGCCTAAACGTTTAAAGTTCCTATAATAACACTTGTGGAATGATATACACTTGCCGGTGCTAGAGCATTCAATGCATTTTCAGAGGAGCAGTAAGCATCAATGCAACGTACAAATAATGGGAGTGATTTTATCGTACGGATATGTTCTGGTAGGTTATTCCAGAGTCTAGAAAATTTACAGGCAAAGTAATTCATATAAAGAGATGATTTAGAATAAGTTTGTTTCACAAGTGCCAAGGAATTACGGGTTTTATAATGAGGAGTTTCTGCGTATTGAATTACAAGATTGGATGTAAAGGATAGTTTATTAAGTAGTTTGAAGAAAAAAATAAGATTTAGTTTGAGTCTCCTCTTCCATCGAAGATTTTTTTGATAAGCTATCAATATATCGAGGATCGTTTGAACTAATCTGGCTAGCGATTGTGACAAATGTTGAACACGGCGTTCCCACACGTGATCTGGTGCGGATGCTTGACCGAGCGCCTTCAGTTAGATGAGTCTATTAAAACCGTGGTCAGCATCCAATGTCGAAAACTTACAGAGCTATTTATTTTGCAGATTTATTTACCACTACAACCCATTTTATCAACAATGTCTTACTCGAAAAAAACATATAAAGCCAGCGGGGGTTATACTTTGAGAACCTTTTGTATGCCACAAGGTGTGGCCTCGACATAGACTAGGAGACCACACTATTCCCGTTTTTCTTGAGTAGACTCCGCATTCATCCTCAAAGTCAACCTACATTTGTGGTCTATACTTCTTTTCTTCTTTGGGAAGACTCAACACCAAGTGTCATTGCTATTGCTTCCCGCAAGGAGTTCCACCGTCCGCCGATTGTAACTACGAAAACGTAGAAACAGATTTTTGTCCTATAAGGGTACAGACTTAAATATGATTCAGTGCAAAAACTAATAAAAGATAAGGGAGAACGAAGAGGCTCATGAGCAACGTGACGCACGAGATCGTATCCTCCTAATCCCTTTGTGCTACATGAGTTCTAACCGTAGAACTTCCAGGTGCGTAAAGCAAAGATTATTTTTCATCTGTCAGCCAGTCTAGTTTCTCTTCTTTGAACACTTCACATGAAGTCCTTATACTTACTGAGGTAAAGAAGGGCTATGAGAAAGATGTTCTCTAAGTGACCAAGTAAGTAAACACAAAGTTGTGAAGTTACGGAGTAGGAGTGTTTATTGTTTTAAAGTGGAACCCCATGAACATGTGCTTTGTTGGCTGCAGAGCGTCAATATAAGGAGACAACTAGAACATCTCAAAGCTTAAGTCATGTCCTTTTTATTGACAAATATGTGTAGCGTGGTGTCGAGTTGAGCTTGACTATGAACACCGCTACAAGAAGACTACGTGCCAATTAACCAATAAGATCCCCGTAGGCCAATATCAGAAGGCAGATGATGGCTGTAGTCGAGATGTATTTGTTGGAGATCTCGTGGTATCGAAAGAATACCGAGTTCGTGCCAAAAGAGTACAAGCGTGGTTACTGAGCGTAACCGAATTCGTACAAGTTCAAAGTCAACGGGAGAGTAAGTGTAATGGCTGTCATTAGCACAGTCAAAGAAACGAGCACAGTAAAACAGTCACTGGTACAATTGGTTATAATAATAATTGTTTTCATTGAACCAATCGCGTTCTGTTGAAAAATGTAGGTCACTACAGGAGCCTCCCGCTAGAAAGGGTTTACACTTTCGATCGTTAGCGATTTGATTCGTGGGGCTGATCGGCAGAAGTGCGGTTGTGGGACGGAGGAAATTGGCGGAACAGGAAGTGATCGTTGATCCTCGAGTTGCCAACGGAAGTCTTTTGCGCAGAACGGTACCAGGAGAAGTGTGCTGTATTTGTTGGTCGAATTAACATACCACACCAGAGTGGTTTGTATCCAGGATCTGAAGACTGCGTTCGTAGGGATGCGGGCCAGAAAACGCTGCAGACGTAGGACGAAACCACGTTGAGCCAAGAAACCGGACGCGACCATAACGACCAAACGCGAAACCAAGCGTATGCCAGGCGAATTCGAAACCAGATTATCGACTGAGTGCGTTGACAAGAGCGTGGGTGGCCAAACCAGCTTTCGCCAAAGTTGACTGAAGTCGACGTTACCAAACGGACGATGGTCGAAGGCGTGGGCTCAGGATACAAAAAAATCAAAAAAAGAAAACTGTAGCATGCGTGTAGTATAGGAATAGTCCTACACTGTTGACTGTGCGGTTAGTCGCGAAAACGTACGGGTAAGCGTACTTGGCGACCGGAACGTGAGACGGTAGTCTCGTTCGTACTTCATGAGCCTGCGATCTCATCCGAGGTCAAGGGCATCGTGGTCTGCCGATCTGGACGTGAGACGGAAGTTTCGTCCGTAGATGGTGCAGGTGACGTGTGCTGTTGACCGGGACGTGATAACAAGGTCTCTGATGTATCTAGCGTGGGATCCGAGGTAGACGTAGAGATCCCGCTAGAAGGTTTGATAGGTCTAGCATTGAGTCTCAAGTTATCGGGTAGGGCACTGTCATCGACGTGTGCTGGTTTGAGACGATCAATGTTGACGATCTCGACGCGGCCATGTCGATCAACCTTGAAGGTCTTTTCGTGACGAGAGATCACGTGAAAAGGGCCTTCGTAAGGCTGTTGTAGAGGTTTGCGTACCGAATCTACTCGTATGAAAACATGTGAACAGGTAGATAACTCTCGAGGGAGAGCGACCTATCGATGTTGTATTCGAGTTGACACCGGAGTCAGCGTTCGCATGAATGCAGACAGTCGATGAACGTAGTCTGATTTACCGAAATCTTTACTGCTCCGTGGTGTGAAGAATTCCCCAGGCAGACGCAATGTCGTACCGTATACAAGTTCAGCGGCGGAACATTGGATATCTGCCTTCAAACTCGTTCTGATACCTAAGAGAACGAGCGGTAAGGTTTCGTACCAATTGTCGTTTTCGTGTTCTGAAAGGGCACTTTTAAGTTGGCGATAAAACCGTTCAACTAAACCGTTCGATGCTGGATGGTAGGCGGTGGTGCGTATGCGTTCCGTACCAAGCAGCCGGGTCAGTGAGGAGAATAATGCGGACTCAAATTGTTGTCCTTGGTCAGTCGTGACAGTCGAGGGACAACCGTACAATGCTATGCATCGTTCTACGAAGCGGTGAGCAACTGTCTACGCCGTAATAGACGTGATGGGAATAGCTTCGGGCCATCTTGTGAAACGGTCGATGCACGTGAGTATGTGATTATACCCATGCGATGGTGACAATGGTATTACAATGTCTATATGAACGTGATCAAAGCGAGCATCAGGCGTAGCGAACGTGCCAATGGGGGCAGCTACATGCCTGTGCACTTTTGATCGTTGACACTGTAAGCATTGCTTTACCCACATACGAACATCTTTATTCATGGACGGCCAGACGTATCGTGCAGCGATGAGACGTAATGTGGCTGCAATACCTGGATGAAACAATCCATGAAGGGCACCGAAGGCAAGACGGCGATAGGCAGAGGGTACGATGGGTCGAGGAAGACCGGTAGAAATATCACATAGGATGGTACTTGAGCTAGTAGCTAGGGGTACTTCCTGGCTCTGAAGGGACGAATATTGTGGTGCTTCTGTACAGAAAGGATCGTTTGCTTGTGCGGCGGCCATAGCAGGAAGATCGAGCACCGGTGAAGTAACTGCATTCGTCTGGACACGTGATAGAGCATCGGCAACATAGTTCGACTCGCCTTTAATGTGACGAAGGTCTGTTGTGAACTGGGAGATATAGTCCAAATGTCTGCACTCTCGTGGTGAGTAGAGGTCAGAGTTGGTATGCAGGGCATACGTTAAGGGCTTATGGTCGGTGAATAAAATGAATTGGCGTCCTTCTGCTGCGTGCCGGAAATGTTTGATGGCGCTGTAGGCTGCAAGCAGCTCGCGACCAAAAGCGCTATATCTCGTCTCCGTGGGAGTAAGGCGTCGTGAGAAAAATTCAAGCGGTTGCCAACTACCGGAGATATTCTGTTGCGTAACGGCTCCTATAGCAAAATCTGATGCATCAACCGCTATATTAAGCGTGGCTGATGGGTCAGGATGAGCGAAAAGTGTAACTTCAGCGAGAGCCGTTTTGATATCTGAAAATGCAGTACGTGCGGTATCGTTCAGTTCTAATTTGCGTGGATTACCGCGTAGTAAATCGGTTAATGGTCGTAACCATTCTACCGCGTGAGGGATGAAACGTCGGTAGAAGTTAAGCAAACTGAGAAAAGCCTTCAATTCCTTGAGTGAGGACGGCACGTTGTACTCCTTGATTGCTCGAACTTTGTCCTCGCAAGGCAGAATACCCTCTTGTCTGATGATGTGACCCAGAAATATTATTTCTGATTTACCTATTTCATTATCCGAAAGACGTTGGAACAATAGCGTGAGGTGTTGATTATGTTCATCTACGTTGGATGATGCGATTAGCAGGTCATCAATATAGAACAAAATCCAAGTCTCGTACTATGCTATCGATAAACCTTTGGAAAGTTTGAGCAGCATTCCGTAGTCCGAATGGCATTCGTAGGAACTCAAACAGACTGAAAGGAGTCGTGATAGCAGTTCTCTCGATATCTTCAAGAGCGACTGGGATCTGGTGATGTGCTCGTACCAGATCGATCTTAGGAAAGATAATCGTGCCCTTGAGCGATGCCGTGATGTCGTGTATGTGGGGGATGGGGAAGCTATCGAAGCGCGTAACTACGTTTAATGCTCGGCAGTCGCCGCATGGACTTCAACTAACCCCATCTTTTTTGAGCACAATATGAAGAGGAGAGGCCCAGGGACTATGAGAAGGACGAATAATACCGGTAGATAGTAAATTGTCAAACTCACGTTTGGCGAAAGCTAATTTGTCCGGTGCCAGTCGGCGTGGTTTTGCCATGACTGGTGGTCCGCGGGTGACTATGTGGTGTACCACACGATTGGTTACCGATGGAATCTCCTCGAGTGGTTTAGTTATTCTGGTGAATTTCTCGAATAAAGCGTGAAATTTATCGTCACGCGAATCAAAAGTGCCGAGGATTCGGTACGCGTACATCGGAGTCTATTATATTAATACTATTCTTATCGTTATCCGTCATGTCGAGTATAAAATATATTAAAAATTAATATGAAAATATACGACAGACGTGGATAGATAAACAATAGACTCACCGGATTGACTTCTTCGGAAGATTTGACCGAGGTTGAGACGTGTTCCCAGATTTGGCTCACCAATTGTAGCGTAGTGTCGAGTTGAGCTTGACTATGAACACCGCTACAAGAAGACTACGTGCCAATTAACCAATAAGATCCCCGTAGGCCAATATCAGAAGGCAGATGATGGCTGTAGTCGAGATGTATTTGTTGGCGATCTCGTGGTATCGAAAGAATACCGAGTTCGTGCCAAAAGAGTACAAGCGTGGTTACTGAGCGTAACCGAATTCGTACAAGTTCAAAGTCAACGGGAGAGTAAGTGTAATGGCTGTCATTAGCACAGTTAAAGAAACGAGCACAGTAAAACAGTCACTGGTACAATTGGTTATAATAATAATTGTTTTCATTGAACCAATCGCGTTCTGTTGATAAAAGTAGGTCACTACAAATGTAATGATGACATAATCTGGGAAATATTGGGTGTATAGGACGTTATTATTGTCGCTCATTAACACTTTGTTTTCGCCCGTATTGAGATGGGGTTCGTAGAAGTCAGAGGTTAGCGCTCACGTCAACCAATGACTTGTATCTAGAAGAAAAGCAACTTTACGACACCTTAGTTATATACTTCCTTAATTTATGGCGCACTAAATTTTCCATTCTTGTGTATTGAATGGTGGAATGTGTTTCGCATTCGAAATTGACAAAGCTCACAGGATCACCTAATTTCCGTGTTGTGTAATAAACAATAGAAATAATTCTTTACTGTCTTACCTTTACGAGAAAAGGTATTTAATGGTTTAACAAGGTTTCCGCGGGTCTGATAGTGTGTGCTACTCAAGTGCTTGTCAAAAACAAATTTCTGTAGGACTCTAAAATTCCCTCTTAATCTCGAAATCACTGTCTTCAGAGTCTCTAAATAATTTGTATGAGGAGCAGGAGTCGAGAGATTGTGCCTTATCCACACCGATTACCAATATACATTATAATGTCTTAGTTATAATTTTGCATAAATGAAATGAAAGTTTAAACTGGAACCAGAGAAAATGCAAACTCTTACTTGATCAATATTAACTCTTGTTCAAGGGATAAATAATTCATTATTACCTTGCTTATCAAAGTTTTAGTGATTCGATACCGAAATTGGGAGATGCATCATTTACTTACGTTGAGAATATGTTGGAAATAGTTACAGAATAAACGTTTGTACTGCTTGTAACCAGTGAAATAGAAATTTCTAGATCTATCTTAAGCGTGCTCTTGAAGTTTATATATATATATATATATATATATATATATATATATATATACATGCCATTTGAGAGGTTCACTACTTCTATCAGTAATTTGCACCAACAGAAAGTCATGATGTCACCAAACTGCATCTAAGACATGAACTGAATAACGAGTAAGTGATTTATAACGGTCCATTTTATATCACCAGATTTGTTCAAGTGCCAAAGGACTAATTAATCATTCAGCATAACAGCAGAATGCTCATTTTTGTTGGGGACCTTTTAAAATTCGATTGGTCAACTCATTATTTATTGCCAGTTTAAAGAACATCGTTCAAAGATCAGTATCTGGTTGTCCTGCTTTTTTAAGTAACCGAAACTACATTCACTGTATGATTGCTGGTATATTGTTTGTGTTTTATTACCTTAAATTCGGAATTTTCGATTCAGAATCGATAACAATCGTTAAACTGGAAACTTCAACAACAGCACTTTTTAATTATACAACCGAACTTTGGTGTAGATTGGGTTAGGTAGATATAGTAAAAAGACTGAATATTGTTACAACGATCACACGAATATTCAATTTATTCAGTGCAGATTATAAGCGATAAGGAAATGTAATAAATATTTGTTATTAATTAGACAAATGAATAAATTACTAACTAAGGTAATATTATTAAGAATGTTTGACATTGTAAAAACAAACATCTTAATTTCAATACAAACCTATTTTATTATGGTAGTCAGACAACTGAACACTTGAGTAAATGTTACACTATGTTTGTAAATCAAATAAACAATCCAGATTATAATAGGAATTGCTTTTTAGATTACTTCTGGAAAACGATCTTGCAGCAGTCCATTATTTTTTGTGAGATTTCATTGATTAAAAAATAAATCATCCTGTTAACCATTGCCTAGTGATATCAGATAAGTTTTAGTTATGAGATATTGAAGTTAAAAAGCGCAAGACAAAAGTCCCTGATGTTGACTGAGACATGAAAATGTGATATAAATTTACAATAAGTAGCCTGTTTTATTCACTATTCATGGTAACACATTAACAATTTGATGTAAAGCGAAACATGTCCCATAATACATTATTACAAATAAATCAATTTATTTATAACAATCTACTCAATGCTCAATTTGTTCGAAATTATCAAGTCAAACCTTGGTAATAATACCTACAGTCTCATAATACTGTTTTATATTCATGAAGTGTGAAAATATATAGGAGTAAACAAAAGCGAATAATCGCTTATTATGACTTTCGAGTAGTTTCTAGTCAACTTTCCACCGTCCATTATATATGTGGATCAAATGACACTTAATTATTCTGTTGTCTGTTATTGTGATTGTCACATTATTCTCATTCTGATGTCGTACGCTCAAATAAAAAACTTTCCAATTTCATTAGCATGAAAATATTTATCGATTTAAACATCTTATCCCTATGTTAATCAAGGTTATTTGATTTACCTTAAATTACATTATTGAATTGAACAGTAGCAGGAAAATTGACCTTACATTCAATCACTTTTATGGACAAAAAATATTCCACTTTTCATTTGTAAATTAAATTTTAATCTCAGTAGTTTACTAACAACTTACATTTTAACCACATATTATTATTATTAACTAGATTCTGTCGTAAATTTCTGGTTGTTCTAAAACGTTTATAAAATATGATGGTTGATGAAAAAGAATCAACGAGTGTGTCTCATGGGAATCGGTAATTGATTTGCGGTATAGCACTTGTCACATTCGTATATTTCCGACATTATTTTATCAAGTTGAAACTTTAATTAGTTTCCCTGCAATTCAGAAAGTTGTACTGTCCAAAAGATTTGTGGAGCTAGAAAGTATAGTTCAGGTACTGAGTTGTTATTTTGCTAAGAAAGTGTTATCCTTAACCTGTAAGATGACATATTGAAAATCCTAAGGTTGTAAACAGATAAATTTCTTTCCTTGTTACAATTCACTACAGTTTTGCTTTCATTTTATGATTTTTATTAGACGCACTAAGGCGTTTTGTGGCTAACTTAATGGTTAGATCATTTGAAACGCCATCATTAGATTCGCGTATAATAAAACTAAATTGCATTAAGGAGAAACAATATATTTGTAAAACCTCAGCAACTAAATTTTAAGTAAATTCAATGTTTCTCTCTACAATCTAGTTCAAACGTTTCCCAAGGAAATATAATCAAACATCGAAATCATCGAATACAAATAAGTATATCGTTCTCCGGTTAACTGTATACTAACTAGGCCATCCAATCTTGTCAACAATGTTTAAGGTGTTTGATTACATTTGCATGAAAAATCTTAAACCAGACTGTAGGATGAAACGTTGGATTTACTTAAAATTCAATTGCTGAGATTTTACAATTATATTTCTCCTCCTTAATGTTTTACATTAACTCGGCACCCAATTACAAGTTTAGACAAACGTTCCTCTAATGTGTATTGGCTTCATCAAAACTGATACAACAACATATGGAAGAATAAGAATGGTTTCTCACTAAAAATCACTGTTTTACTGAAATACAAAATAACAAACTATTGCAATTTATCTAAAATGCAATGAAGAATTTTACAAATTAAATGATAAACATATAAACATTCTATATCTTTAGTTTCAATACAACTTAGTCCACATACGTAAACTGTATATCATTCCTTCCAATTTTGTTATTTAGTTTTGTAGTATCAATTGTAAGTGCTTTATTGTTCCGATAACAAATGGTTTTACTATGCGTGTTTCGTTGAACAACATAGTTATTTTTACTGGAAAATTTCATTTCAAATGTAAGATGGCCTTTGGTCACATTTGAAATCTACGTTTTAAAACTGGTTATTTTATGAGAAAAACGTTTTATACTGAGTTTTAATGACAAATAATTAGACTGAAGAACTGACTTATATCCAGTCACGAAGCTTCAGAAATACAATTTTCTACTCATTCGTATATCACAAAAATATATTTATGATTAAATGATCGTAAAGTTTACGATACGTTTTAAAAGTATATATATAAATATATATATATATATATATATATATATATATATATATATATATATATGCGTCCTCGTGATCTTGTATTTAATCATGAATAAATTAACAAACATGACCCTGGAATAATTACCATACACTAACATTGTTACTATTTTGTTAGCCATGGATATTACAAACAAAGGATCACCATAGTAGTAACAAAATACTGTTTATGTAATTTATATAGAACACGGTCAAACTGGCGACATACATAGTGAGATAACATTTAGGTTGGATGACGAAAATTAACTCACAAAATCAGCATTTGTTTTACCCTAAAATCTTATGTAGATCATTTAAAAATATATAGTGAGTCGTAAGATCGTATATACCAGTGGAGCTAATCCGTGTTGGGTAAAGATAGGTATCTACATCAGTACAATCGAAGATGATCAAGCAATTTCATGGATTGGTTGAGGTTAGGCATTAACACCGTTGGATGCCGGCTCAGTGGTCTAGAGAATAACCGTTTAAGCGCGAGAGCGAAGGCCCTTGTTTCGAATCCCGCGAGTGAGATCTTGGATGAGCACTGCTGAGGAGTCACACAATCGGACGAAACGGCTATCCAGTGCTTCCAGGTTTTCAATGGTGATCGTGTTATTATGGCTGTTGGACAGACTAGTTAAATTCTTGGGTGAGACTCTAATTTAGGGACGACCTTTGAACGAATTTTAAGTGACCTTGAGAATATTAGCCAATCAGAAGACAGCTAGTATAAAGTAAAAATATATTAGAAGAAACTAATGGATTACAGTGGATATACTTCTTTTACATGATTTAAAAACTTGTCAAGGTTTGTTAAAGGTTCAGATGCTTTGAAATCATATTGCATACGGTATAAAAAGTCATAAATTCCAAGTACCTGTCGAGTATATTTAGGGAAATGCTACTTACCTAATCCTCCTTTATACTACGTCCCCTGTTGTATTTTCGCTTTCTCACTACCGTTTCGTCTATCTGCACGATACATCCTACTCCTCCGAATGATTGGTGTATATGTGTTATTTTAGTTGCACATATGTCACGGCAGTACTCATACCACTGGACTGCTGAAGTTTCAGTAACAACTGCAAACGCCGCAGCCAGTGTTACTGGTGTTTTTATTATCCAATTTGCAATTATTATCAGAATCTGCCTCAGTTTCAGTCGCAACAGAGCGAAGAAAGTCTCCGTTCGAGCAGACTTTCCTCCAACATGAAGAACAACGAAATATAATCTCACCACGGTGGTCTGCACACTTAACTGCGGTCATTTAATAACCACAGTCGCACGTACAAGAACTTTTTAGTAGTCCCATCCAGTGTAGCCTCTCAATAATAAACTCTTCTCTAAAATACGCTGTAAATCGATCGTATGTGAGCATCAGGTGTTAAACTTGGCTCCATGACCTTGAAATTGCTCAAACGCTTCTGATTGGCTCGTCCTTAAATTAGAGTCTCGCCCTTTTCCGCTTCCCATCTTATTGCTATCTGAATAAACGAGTGTATGAAATAAATTCCTCCAACTTAATCCATGTATGACTTCTCATTACCGCCTTCACTCAAACGAGGTTAACCTAGGTGTTATATACGAAATTAGCCGAAAGATTTATATTCATAACACATTCATTCGTTCATTCAAATAGGGAGTCAGATCATGAGCCACCACAGATGTACGCTAAACGTTTACATTTTTATTCTTGATTACTTTCTTATTTCAAATTCACTCGCACAAAAGACATCCTACAAAAAACAAACAAATGTTTTAACGTGTAGAAACATCTATAAATACAACAAATGTTTATGAGTATTTTTGATATTCAACAGAAAACAAAAAGAACTAATCATCGGACGTAATTTTAATAAATAGTTTATGGAATAATAGTCAACTTTCATTTGTATTTCAGTACAAGATTATTTTGAAAACAATAGTTTTAAGCTAGATAGAAATGTCTAAAAGTAAAGTTAGAACAATAAACAAATTATCATAATCAAAATTATTTACCTCTTTACCTTAATTGATATGTTTGTTGCGTGACCTATACACTAATTTAGGCTCAAAATTCTGTTCACAGTTCGGTTCAGCCGACTGAAAATGATTGTTTGAAACTTCATTAGTGGGTAATTTTATTAAATGTTTGCTTGTTGTTTCATTATCACACCAAACGGGGCACCCGTTAGTTACTGGTAATAAGTCATTCACTACTGAATAGAGAGGCCAACATTGAAGTGATGGACAATATTCAAACTGAAATGTCAGTAATCAGAAAAATATTGATATATAGTTAGAAGCAGTAAATCGTTATTGTTTTGCACCAAACGAAATATAACTGCATTGCATGAGTTTAATAATTTCAAGAAAATAGTAAGAATAATCGATAATAACATTTAAATCCTATGTACCAATGACGTTGGATTCCCGACTGAATGTCCACTATTATTAAAATTATTAATGAAAAGCCGTTGCACTTTCTACTGGGTTTCCCTATTTTAATTTGTTAATGAAATTTTGCACTGATTATTTCATCAATCGAAAGTGATAAAAATGAGGGAAGTTTCTTTCCCAATGAAGATTAGTATGCAACTCTGCAAAAATAAATGTTACACACTCTTGCACATATCCATTTATTTTACAATAAGTCAGAATAATGACATGATAAGACAAATGAGTCAATAACTCCACGAACACAGCTGAGTGCACTAATGTGGAAGTCAGAAATTGATTATTTAAACTAATCGTAGTTTGTCTGCTCTGATATATTGTTAGATTGTAAAAAGAAAATACATTTATTCCAACATTTAATAAGCCAGAGTGTATGCAAGGAGAAGTTAACATCTATTTTCCAAACATCTTAAAAGATTTCACCATACATTACAAGAAACTAGGTTAATTCACACAAAAAGATTATTTTAATCTGGTTTCCTTTAATTTCTACATGATTCACATTTTATTGATCTTGTGTATTTTATCATCCCAGTGTTGCCTTATTCTCAATATTCTGTAACTCAACTTAATATTAATAGTGTGAGTCGATTTCAGTTATTGTCATAACTGGAACAAATACTTACTCAAGTAAGGACTCTGATACGAGCGTGATAAAAATGATTAAACATCCCATAATCTTCACTGCTTTTTTTAAAAAATAATGTTAAAAACGTGGTACGTTCCCAAATGGAAATAAAAATCGCAAAATAATTGAGATTCTTAAGCAAAAAGAATAACAGTTATATTCCTTCTCTAAACCGGAAAAAAAACTAGGAATTGGAACAATTTTTATTGTCTTTCGATTTGTAATTTCAAGTAAACACAGTAATCTCGAGTATTGCTTTTCCGTTTAAGGATAGGTAGTAAAATTTCCAGACACATTAACACAAGGATTTACTGAGTCTTCGGGACAAATTTCAAATAATTTCATGACGACTTGCGGATATATCGTAAGTAAGGGTTAAAACCAAAAATTACCTCGAATGATTACTAAATCGATCACAAGTCAGACTATAGTACAAATCTACTTTCAGTACTCAACAATATTCTAAAACATATCAAGATTTGACAGAGATTTTAAAGCATTCTGGTGTTGACTGGGACACAGGGAACACAGACGTAGCGATAGAACTATAAATTTGTTAGACAGATTACTAAGTGATCAGTAGATCTATCTAAATAAACCCACTCTATCACCCGATAGAATAAATGAAAAATAACTAAAAGGTCTGAATTCGAATCGGAGCATAAAATAATTAAGATATATATTAAGTCAGAGGCAATGATACGAGAAAGAACCGAAGAAATTCCATGTTGACCAAATATACTGTTAATCTCTTAGAGGGAAAAGTTCTTATGACTCATTTCTCTTAAAAGTTTGTGTCGACGATTTTATAAATAAATGTGATCAAACCATAACAAATAAACCATCTAGTTAGAAAATGCGGTACATTTTAGGTACTTCCATTTAAGCAACAAATTTTTTCTATCATCCAATTTCAACAGGATTTAACATTTATACATGCTTAATTTTGAAATAAATACAACGGTTTTTACGAAAGGAAAGCATTGTTGATTTTGACTACAAAAGAAATAGTGAATAATACTCTCTTACTTGAACATCCGTTCCATGTCTGAACTGTTGAAAAGTCAACGGTTGAATGTGTAAATCTGATTGAAGGCTATTTTTATATGATTTAAATCTACCAAATCCATCAGCAGGATAACCTGGAGCTGATTGAAATGGATAACTATTTGGAAGAAATGTTTTATTTTTTAACCATTTCCTGCCTTCTGGTGTCATATATTGTTCTAGTACAATTCGTTGATAAGTATTCGGTGAAATCCAAACAGCTTTTTGCTTCGGAACATAAATATGACCAACACGAGTGTTCGAACTAGCTAATTCAACCAAAAGTTTTTGGTCATCTGTGAAGTTTTTAGTTTTAGTTACTTTGGACAAAAAATAAACAAGTGAATATAATGATCAAAACAGTTGCACTTTTAAGAAATCTATTCAAATTAAATAAAAAGTCAGACTCCGACAGAAGTGGATCAATAAAACTGTTAATAAAAATAAACTTTAATTCCTTTAACATGAACATTCTTCCTTGTATGCTGTAATGAAAAACATTAACCTGTTTGGTTTGAATCTAATAAAAATAGCTAATTTTATATCATCTTTCACTGGGAACTTTCTGAAAATTCAAGGGGTTATATTTATGTACTACATGAAATTAATTTCACTAAATCAAATTCATATGTTATGATGTACATGGGATTGTAGTGACCTACTTTTGTCAACAGAACGCGATTAGTTCAATAAAAACAATTGTACCAGTGATGATTTTACTGTGCTCATTTGTTTAACAATGCTAATGACAGCCATTACACTCACTCTCCCGTTGACTTTGAACTTGTACGAATTCGATTACGCTTAGCACTTACGCTTTTACTCCTTTGGCACGATCTTTGTATTCTTTCAATACCATGAGATCGACAGCAAATACATCTCGACTACAGCCACCATCTGCCTTCTGATATTGACCTACAGGGATCTTATTGGTTAACTGGCACGTAGTCTTCTTGTAGCGGTGTTCATAGTCGATCGCGATTCGACACTACGCTATAGGATAAAGCTCGTCTGATCAGATTTCTAAAGCATTGGTTATCAGTTTTTCAAGATGTTAAATTTGATCTGTTTTCCAATGCAATCTAACAACCAATTTATTTCAGTTTCATGTATAGCTTTTGATCAAATACTTACAAAATATTCCTTCGCTTTTTTTCTTAGTACCTCTATGGTGCGTATAGCAACATGTATCAATTACTTGTTCTGTAGAATTTCATTTTCTAGAACTTTTTCAGATCGTGATATTAAGTCAAATGCTAATAAGATCAGTGTCCAACTATCTAGAAATCAGTTAGCAATGATTACGAACATGTACACTTGTTAGTTACGGAAATACTAAGTCGAGAAGTTCTAATCTAAAACTTATTGAATTCTCAATATAAATTTGTCAGAAAATATTTCATTAATCAACATAAATCACACATTTTGTGGTTACAAAATGGATAAATATTTGTCTTTATAAAGCACCTTATTAAAAAAGTGAAAAAGTTTGTTAATGTGCCTAAATCAATATCACCCTGGCAGCAGAAGAGTGCATATTAGTAAGTATTGATTTTTGTACAAATACTAATTACGTTTTATTGATCTAAGTTTCTTGACGAGAACATTTCGATAAGGCTTGTATTAATAGAATTCTAAAGAGTATTCGGTGTAATTAGTTGTTTAGAGTCCTTTTTTGTTATTTGAAAGTGTCGGGATATTTTTTATTTTGTGCAGACTGAAATTTGATAACAGTGATATGAAATAGATAACTTAACCAGTTAGACAATCCTGCTTCATAACTGGGTAGGTGTGTTTAATGATTTATGGTGGTCATGCAACTGAAATGTAACTTCTTGTCCGATTAAGTATTATTATCAAAGTTTAAGACAGTTAATCAGTACTAACATCTACACTGTCTCTCTAAATTCGCATTTTTAGTATTGTATCTATTGTAGAGCTAGTCTTACATAAAGCTGAGTTAACCTAAAAATGTATTTGTGATATAAGATCTGGTCATTACATTATAGCTGACCGAAATGATGAACTGCACTAAAACAAGGAACATTCATAAGATAATTGTACTCCATTTACGTCTAACTTAACAATAAGAATCTGTGTGACATATCAAAATCCTTGGAGAATTTCTGTACTTCACGATGCTCTTCTTTTACCGGTCAAAACATTTAATTATGAATTAACTTGAAAACTTAAAAATATATTTATGTGTTCGCTGAAATATTGCTACAATACAAAATCAGCTTTATTCACAAAAATAGTAAAGTAACACAAATGTGATTTAGTAACAGTTATGAACATTAGATTGAAAATCAGCGTTATAGAACAGAATTTCTTAAGTTTATAAGTGATAGCAGCTCATACTGTTAGTACACCTAATGAGTAATTAGATATCAAAACATCAAAAAGAACCGACAGCGATTAGCTGGTTCTTTTCTAACTCGACTCTGATTCGCAAATGAGTAAAGTAGCTAAGCGGTAACGTCTCTGATCTTGAAGCTGAATGGTACATCAAAGGGAAGCATCAGTTCCTTCGATACTTTAGAAACCCTGTTGTGATAAGTGCTAACTTGCATGAAATCTAGGCCTACGATTTCTTGTCGACCGCCTGTATTCAACTAAGACGTAACAATGAATTTGTTGAGAAACGTTTTTGTAATCCTAATTTAATGTGAGTTGAAAAACGTATGTCAAATGTACAGTGAAGTGGATAAAATCATACTGAATCCCTACATTTCTTTGAAGAAATAAAAATAAAATGGAACTTACACTTGTCAACTCTTTGTTCTTCACCAGAAACTACGATAGCTGCATAGTAACGGAGATTCTCAAAACTAGATGGTTTTTCCGTTTTAAGAATGGGACACTTAGGAAAGGGCCAACTGTAGGGTACAAGAACACAATCACCTGGTTCAATTGAGTGTCTGATAGCGTGCTCTAAGTCAATGATTTCCGTTATATCAAACCATTCGTAATGAAATGTATCCGAATTCGAAGTAGCTGATCTGGATTTTCGCAAATCAAAGCTTGTTAAATTGTGTATAGGACCGAATCGTACAAAAACTTGATCTACAGGTAGATGGGGTTTCTGAAACAATAACACAATGAATCGAATATGTAGAATAACTTATGAGGAAAATTAGTGTGCTAAACTTTATTTTCAATGTTTTTTCATAAATTTTTATACTCTTTAACAGAGTCTAATCGTGGTGACTAGAATCTAAGAACAAATGGTCAAATAGATAGTGAATGAGTGAAAAATAATGTGAACGAAACATCTTTACAAACTCAATGAGTTTGTAGGTATTAATGCCAGGGATGGACTTGATAGATTCAAATAAATTGAGCATTGAGTAGAAAGAAGTGGCTACCATTAAGTCATGAAACGTCAGAAATACAATTTTTCTACTTGTTGGGATACAACAAAAGAATTCTAACCATATTAACAAACTATTTTTTCCGGACAGTCATCAAAATCTAAACTCTGTAGTCAACCTAGGTATCATAATTGAGGTGTGACTTGATAATTTCTGATAAATTGAGCATTAGGTACATTGTTGATAATAAAAGACGTATTCATAAGATTGCAGTGAGCAAACAATTCAGATTTTCTGACATGTCGTGACTAAGTGTAAGGCACGTCTTCAGCGAATATGTATAAATAAATCAAATTAACCCATTTTTAGATAGTACAGAGGAATATTCAGTACAACCAATCAAAAACAGATTTGATCAGGTCAATCTCATATCACTCCGGTCAAGGTTATTTATATAAGGCATGCTTGCGCATTTATGTTTATGTTATTGGGTATGGAAAATGCTACGTTTGTCATGTGAAAAGGTAGAGTTAGTTATGTGTGATGATAGTGTGAGATGTAGATGGAATCCGAAATAGTAGCTCGGATAGATGGTTAAAGTAGGATGGATAGTAAGATGTTCTTTTCGACCGGGGCCAGTACGATATAATAATACATGACAAGCTTCAGCTACTCTCCTTTCCTTGTAATTGGAATGTCTTTTAATATTATTTTGATATTATCACGATGGTTATTGAAGATGGTATCCACTGCTATTGGAGATCTAATTTGGAGTCTTTCAAGTTTTACAGGATTATTAGGTGGTTTTTTGTGTCCCTAAGACCTTTGAGTCGAATCGAGGTTTCACGAAGTGATTTCAATACAGAAGGTATCACAGTCGACACATCCTAATTTGTAGACGAAATTCTATGTTTACATAAAGATGATTTTATCTTTTATATAAACTAGAGCATTTTGTTATGTCTTTTACCCCGTCAAATATAACGTGACTAAATCGCCAATTAGAAAATCGACTTATATGACTTTGGGACTATGTCAAACCGATGACGCGTTAACAAGCACGATTAGCCTAGGGTCAACTCTGAGTTCTTATTGAATCTTCTTGCCTTGCTCTACCTGTTGAGTCCAGAACACAATCTTATCTTCCACTGTATGAGTCATGTATTTCAAACATGCGCAGTTTATGTACAAGCAAACCAAACCTCATCGCACCACAAAATAAAAAATAACAGGTATACGGGATCAAGTCAAAAGTGATTGAGAGTGTGAGTGGCTGTAACTAATAGATTGAGAATAACTTAAGAGTAGTAAATCATATAACAATAGTCATTAGATCAAATAAAAGCTTAAGATGAAAGGAATACGAATATACATATAATCTAGCTAATTAATAGTAATCCCATAGGAAGATATGTAATAACATTCCATAAATAACTTCTAGCAGTTACCATTCATTTATTCTTCGTTGAGATGTGACAATTTTAAAGGGTGTTATTTGTTTCGTAGTACGCTTTAATTTTATATTATTTTAAGACCCTGGAGTTCTTCCGTTGTACTATGGAGGCATGGTTAAACTATGGTGCCAATCTATAATATTTCATTCAAACTACTACTACATTTTCAATAATATTCATAGGAGAACTATTAAATTCTAAGATGCTAATAGTGATATTCTTTTTGTTTTGTCTATTCTCTTCGTGGATAATAATCTTATTTGATCTTCTAAAACGGTTTAATCAACCCTTCCAAATACGAGGATTTTTGTGCCCAGTTATTTCCATTTACATTCAGTCTTAATCTTTTCCCTCTTCAGGATTTACAGATAAGTGTATCTTATGTACAAGTAAACTCTACTTACGACCAAAGTATTTGCAAAAGTGACATGAATAACAGTACAGAAATTATTACAGTCATTGGCACCAAGAGAAAAGTTATCGAAAGTATGCTGAGTATCAAATCAGTCAGTTCTCTCTCCACATAATAGTGAGGTTGGCATATAACTTTCAAGGAAAAGTACTTCCATATTCATGAGAGGTTACTTTCAGAGCAGGAACATTGGAACGTTGACCCACAGATAACAGAATAACACAAGATAGTCTTCTCTAAATTCGGGGTTCGAAATACCAAATTTAATCATCAAAACTCTAACACATATAATGCCTTACAATCATACACTAACTTTATAGTACTTAGCGTATCGACATAAGTAGTAAGGACCCTGACATTGTACTTTGCAAAGATCGAATCATCAGTGACATAGAATATATAAATTTTCCGAATGATCCCAATTTAGTCTTATTTTAGTAACTCTAGTTATTTTCAATAAATAAATACTGGAAATTTTTGAACTTCTTAGGTTATCATATGTAAAATGAATCCCTCAACTTTTATATGCATTAATTGAAAATATCTTTGACTAGGTTTCACCGGATGTTTACTGAAATCAGTGAAATAGAAAGCAAAGAATAAAAAAGTAATCTTAGTAAGGAATAAATGGGATGTCGCTAGTGGTTGAATTCAGGACATGCATTCTGTTCTATTTTGGACTAATCAGCTGGATGTACTAATATTTATCAAATCTCAGTCAAAAATATAAACAAAGAGATAAGTCTATCCACTTCAGATTAAAAAAACTCTGGTTTTGGCTTAATCCTAATAACTCCTTATTCTGATCAAGTTCATTGGTCAAATGGCGGATGTGAATGTAATCTAAATAAATTTCTCAAAATATTCGTCAAATAAAAAACATCACAGTTGGCTGCGTTGCATTAACTCAATGGAATACGAAAAGTGGTAGTAAGAACAAAAACTTCTGATTTAAAAATTACTTACGACAGTTTGAACTGACCCCAGGTAGTAATGACCATCTGATAATCTCCTCGCTAGCACCTTTTTGTTGTCAAGGAGACTTGATATTTGATCGTAATCATCAGTAAACCACTTAAATAAACATTTTCTTGAGTTCGCTTCATCTTTAGCTGACTCACAAATTCTACGATTTAAATCCTTTACTAGTTTTTCATTCACAGATACACGTGACCACAGGTGAGGATGAATACAACAATCGAAAGTGCTGAAAGAATTGGGGCACGTTTGTGGTCTAAAATCTTTAAAAGGAGCCAACAATATCAACTGTGTTTGAAAACTTTATTTGATGCTGAAGTTTACTACTGAATAGATTTCAGAAAAAAATGAGACAAAATAGTCCTCATATAACATTCTAAGGCTTTCTATAGTATTCAGAGGTCCGATATTAAGCATATATTTAACCAGACATTTTAGCAAATAGAAAAAAATTAAACAGTAGGTATTTCGTTTTTATGAAATTCGAAATTCATAACCATTATATAAATATTATTTAACCATAAGAACCATTTTGACGTTTCGGACTGATTGAGTTTATATCTAAAAATATACAGACTCATGGTAATGTAACTGTGTAATAAAAAACTTAGAATTTTATATTTGGTACTGACCTTGAGTTTAGATAAAATAAAGCGCATATACATGTATGCATAATTTTTCCTGTTTTTAACTTTCATCAGGCGCATCTATTGTGAAATTGGTAAAAGGTACGCAGTGTTTATAAGTATTGTGGAGGAAATATTCTGACCCACTAATACATTTGAGATGATCGATTCTCCTTCGATTCAAACAAGTACGTTAATGGAGAAAGCAAGGATTTATTAACCTAATCCTAAAACGTTTTGGATAGTAGTCCCCATTTTATTTGACCAAAATCCTAAGTTTTTTACAACTTAGAAGAGGGATAGATCCAAAATCTTCGGAGTTCATACTCTACAAATATGACAATTTAATTAGACACCTTTACTTCTGACTTTAACTTTCTCGTTTGGTAGATTAATCTGGTTTCATACTGTTATCTTTTGATTAACTCTCAGACGTCTTATAACATTATTTCAAAGTAACTGTATTAGTGTAAGCTGTGAGATTTCAGAAATTTAATTTAATACCAATCTAGATATGGGAAATGTTATTATACTTATTACTGTTATTTATTTGAAATTATAAAATCATTATACGATAGTGATACATTTAGTGTGGGACAACTTGGCCTCATACTAAAAATGTTTGCCGATAAAGGTAGATAAGTCTGATCTAACAAAAATAGTTTTGAGTAAACCACAGACTCTCGACAAATACTCGAAGGTAATTTTTACTTTATTCGCTACAGTAGTGCTCATTGTTTTAGAAAAGCTCTGCAACTACATGAATTACGGTGTGAGTATAGAACATGGCAGCCTTATCTACATATATATTTAAAACAGTTAAAACATCGCTAAAATTTGTATTTGTTCTTCCTAAGTAAACGTACTATGTAGATTAAAAGCGGTCAACACAAATTACCGATTTTTGCTTTTGATTTATTGTGGTAACGTGGTCCAAATAACGATTTTGAGGTGAAAATAGTTAAATGACCTTTGATCATCTAAATGAAATCTACAGAGCCAAAAATCTACCCAAATATCAAAAATTATATAATTATTTATCAGCTAAAGTACCAAACAAAAACAATCTTTCTTTTGACCACGAAAAAGTTTTCCTAACAGATTTGGTCTGCATTGACAACCTTTTATACATTGGTTTGTTAGATAGAAACTATTTCTGTTTACACATATTAACTATTACTTACATCTATCAGTAAATTCAGAAGAGGCTGACAGTGTTGGCTTCATTAACACAGACTCATGCTCTTTAGAATCACTCACAACGTAAACTTTTCCGCAAGGTAATTTAATGGACTGTGAATGGTTAATAAATGACGACATATGAATTTGTATTTCCTCGGATCGTTTTGATGCTTTCAAATGATTAGAACCGCGTTCGTGTTTGCCCACTAACCACGTGGTGCAACCATTTGAGCATGTTTTGACAAATGAACATAATCGAACGATAGCAAATGTTCCAGATGCTAACTGAGAAATACTTTTAAGAATTTTAATCCCAGAGGCATCAGTTTCAGAAAATGGTACATGTTCGTTAACCACAGTCTGTGAAAGTAAGATAAATTGAAGTGATATTAAGTACAGTGGTAATTAGAGTTCTTTGTGATTAGAATAACAGAAATCGTGCCATTAAAACACGTTAAAAGAATTATGGGGGTGAATTTATGCCCACAAAACTCAGACGTTTTGGACTGAAGGCTTTATAGTTGCGTGAAAAATACCACAACATAAAACAATTATGTGAAAGCCTGAAGGTATATTTGTGTCACTTTTCGTGAGATGACTTCAGCGTGAAAAATTAGCTGTAGAACAAAATTTGGGACAAAACGACGTCTTTTATTTCTGTGTTGTTTTCCAATTTGGCTTTCGACAATTTCAAATTGTGTGTGAAAGTTGAGGCAACAGAGGATGGGGTCCCCACATAATAAAAGACAGCATAGTGCAATGTATTTTGATGAATTGGAAAAAGTCGAGTCTATTAGCCGTTTATACGACTGAAAAAATAATTTTATCAGAGACGTTGTCTCTTTAAAATTAGTGAAGTGATTTTGTTGCACAAAAACGCCTTTGTTTAGACTGAAAGTCCGAAGTAACAGACAGAACTTTCAAAAGTAGATTCTAGTGTAACTGAAAAACATGGATTCAAGAAAAAAGGCCTTGTGTCATTTATGGAGCAAACACGTCTGAATATGTTGAAAGAGCATGACGTAGAGTGCAAGGAAATGTTCAAAATGTTTTAAAAAGAAAAATATCAAACCCCTCTGAGACTTTCTATTGTCCTATTGTAGTCTGAAAAGTGGGTTCATAAGAATAACATCGATTGTATGTAGGACAATCACCGTGATTTACTTTATATAATCTAACTTTACAATTCGAATATGATATGTGAGGATAATACACATGAAATTTAACAAGAATTAAGGTTTGATCATATGAACATCTGCCGCAGTTTTAAAACTTGCCTGTTTGTTTAACAGACAGTCAATTATTTATTCACAAACTTCCAAATGCGAACGATACTGTAGCGGTAAATAAATCCCCAAAATAAATAGCTCTGTAGGTTTGTGACATTGGATGCTGACCACATTGGTTTTAATGGACTCATCTAGCTGAAGGCGCTCGGTCATGCATCCGCACCAGATAACGTGTGGGAACGCCGTGCTCAACATCCCCTGCAATCGCTAGCCAGATTAGATCAGACGATCCTCGATATATTGACAGCCTATGAAATATATCTTCGAACCTGTCTTTTGATTTCAATTGATGGGTACGATTCGTATTAAAAGGTGTAACTGGTTAAAGCGTTGTCAAACTCCAAATATCTGTGGCATCTTCAATACAATCACTTGTATTGAATTAAATATTGTTGAATGTTGTTAAAAATGGAAGAAAATAGAGTCACTTACTTTTTCGGAAACTATAAGTCTGATATGAACAGATGCCTTGGTGCTAAGATGCGTTATTTTATCCAGCAAACAACTGTCGTCCGCAAATTTGTAGAGAAGTGTTGTTGGAACAAATAAATAAATTTCAAAAGGTTTATCTGAAGTGAACTGATTAAAATCAAAGTTCAAAGCCGTTTCAAGTTTTTCCAAATGTTGGAATGCTTTGACCCACCTAAGGGAAGCACATATGTTTATTTCATCACATATAATGAATTCTTCGCAAAACCTTGTTGGATTCTGAAAATTGAATTAGCAATTGGATTACGAAAACGAGAAGACATACTGAGACTGATAGGGCAATATTAAAACGATACTTTTTGTTGTGAGTAAGCTTAAGTAGTGATAATTTCAACAAATTCAGCAAACAGTAATTGTGTATCAATTCGTCGACTATCCAAATCATTATATTGTAACCAGAAATAGGCCATAGTACGCTCTCCTTGTAGCAACCCATAAGAACTTCGATGTTTACACAAAATAGATTCTGAGTTTTAACGTCTATTCAGATGTCAAAAGCAATTTGGACTTCTTGCATTACTAACATTTCGCGATCACCAAACCTACGTTTATTATTACAGGACTCTGAACATCGAACAAATGTAATATCAACGTCAAAGACACTTAGTCAATTTTCTTAATTTTCGGAAAGAGGTTTATGATTTTGAAAACCGATAACTAAAAGTTTAATTATCCGAAATGCATAAGAGACATATATCTGCAATAACAAGTAAACAAATTCAAATAATCTATGTGGCAGACAATTGAGATAAACAACAGAAATTGCGTATAACTGATTCTAAAATCCGAAAGTTTAAAAAGATGAATAATGGAGCACCAAATTATTTGTGCTTATGTGAGATATGTTTTCGTTTTGATATTGAATAAATCTGACGAAACGGACTATTCAGTAGATTTACAAAAGTAGCCGTGCTCTTAGGAAAGTGATTCTGTGGCTTACATCCATGTAGTTGTGTACACATCAGTTAAATTAACGGCTTTGTGTGATCGCAACACCCAACCATGTTACTTGCAATTAGCTCTACTACCTGAAGGTCCTCTGTATGTTGGAGGTAAGCCTACCCAACCATCATATGAAACCTCCTCTCCTGTGGGTTGTTAATTAATTTATTTTTCGTCGATCTGCCTCTGCTTCCATTTAAATATAATACTCCCTCAACCATTACTTACTTGGAGCTTGATGTTTTCTGATCTACTGTTCTCAGACAGTCTTAATGTAATCATCTGATCCTTTGATTTTTAGACATTCTTTGCCACAGCAGTGTTTATGTATCTTTTCGTATGCCCTCCAAATTGACAGCTTATCTGGTGTTTTACGTCACTGGGGGTGTATTACTGATCTATTGAGGTGAAAATTATGCTAAATATGGCAATGGACTAAATACAACAGAACCGGGTATTGCTAGTGAATTAATGACTTGCAAATGTTGGACCTATAGATGAACAAAAAGAAGACAACTATGGTTAGATGTAGAGGTGTGTTTGATTGTATGCGGGGAAAGAGGAACGTGACGCTCGATAGATAGCCACCTAGAATATGAAGAATCTGTAGCCCCGAAGTCGTGCATGAATAATTGGGCCTTTTAAAAGAGATACTTATCAAAAACGGGTATTCTCCGATATTCATTGATAAGAAAATGAGGCCGAGAACACCAAAAACGCCAATAATTACAGTAGAAAAGAAAACTTTATACATGGACATCGACTTCAAATGTGATGGAGCCATATATATATTTTAAAGAGGAGAATTTCAGATCCCTTAAAAAGGACATTCTTTGCAGCAACATTGCCAATATTATTCTCCAACCGGTCATTGTTCACCAATAATCTGAAAGATAAAGTATCGCATCTGACCAACTCAATGTGCATTTATCAATTTACCCGCTCTTATGGAGCTAGATATATAGGTCGTTTGATGAGTACTTTATCCAAAAGAATTCAAGAACATTGTCCGGCGTGGCTAAGAAGAGGAGGCAGTGGCTCAATAACAAGTTGTACAATTGAACACCTTGTGAACACAGGTCACTCAACCAAGTCATGTACAAGGTAATTAGAAGTCTTCCTAAGGCAATTAGACTGTGTCTTCTTTGCATTGCGGAAGCAATAACCATACATCTGGAAAAACCAGAATTGTGTATGCAAAAGAGACTGGTACAACCTCTTCTTCTACCATGGTCTTAATGTATTAAAATTTTTCTCTTGTTCCTATACAACCATCTGCTTCACCTTTCACCTTCCCCTTAAATCTTCTACCCCCAACTGGTTTGTTTTTTTTTCCATGATCATTCCGATTACATTTCATCTCAATTTCAACATTTTGTCTTATCATGCTGAGCCATCCTTTTCCAATGATAATTTCCCTATCTATCTTTTGATGAATACTTAAGCCATTAACAATCACATGATTATTAAACTTTCCTTGTTTTAAAATTTTTTTAAATATCTTTGTTTATTTAAACTCACTGTCACCATGTATAACAAGTTTATTATCAGTACTATTGTCATCCTGTAAAAATAAGTATGTATATTTGCTTTGAAAATGAATTCGCCGATAAGAGAACTCTTCGCTGAACTAATCTTTCTTATTTATTATCAATTACCGTCTACCGTTTTTCTATTACTTTCATTTTTTTCTATCTAATGGCAGCCGCTAGGATATAATGTGAATGTCTAATTTAGCATGCCATTGGTCATCTTAGTACAGTAGCGAATTCAACATAAATTTAAGAACTTTAGTCTGAGTGACGAGCGTAGCAGAAAGACCTCAGTATTACTGATTAACTTCCTCGTCCTTAGTCACGAAGAGCCTGGAACAAACAAAATTTTCTGCTTACAAACGGGAGTGGATTGAAGTCATCTCCCTCATTATCAATGCGTTGTGATCATTTACGTCACCCTCCCCCTATTATGACTCAGTAACAGTTCGCTCATACAGTGGTACACAAGTCACGAGCATAGCAATGAATCTGGGATTGTAGCGCCTACAAGTGGAGCTGTGTAGGTAAGAAACTAAAATAAAGGTGAAATAAGTGTTTCAGAGTATCACAGATATAGGTATGGCAAGTGATTTACACACATTTGTAGTGGTGTTGAGCCTTTACCACACGATACTAAATGCTGAACATGAGACACTTGGGAAAATAGATGTTCAACATTTAACGCGTAGAAAAACCCAACAATGGGTAGGGCGGGAACAATGAATTGAATTAATTCGAGTTGATTGGATGGCACGGCTTGGCCTTGCAGGCGTGGTCCCTGTTGAATGTTACCTTATATCTTTTACTCATATTAAATATATTACTGTATCTCCAGCCTGAATGTATTCTCCATCATATATTGGTAATTGTTACGATACAATGAGTCAGTGTAGACTTATAGATTAGGCAGTTACATCATGACAAATCTACCATTTTAGGATTAGGTTTATTATAAGAGCAGTACTAATATAGTATTGGATCATACTTCTACACATTTGTCTTGATGATACTGATCAAGTACCATTCTGGAAGTATTTTATCAACCTGGATCACTTTAATAATACTGGAGATACTGTTACTTCAAGACGATACTCGTCTCTCCAATTATCTTACTAATCATGGTGAGCTACACAAAACGAGTTTTTAGCATCCGGTATTATTTCGAATTGTAAACAGACCAATTAAGCCAGCTTTTTTGTGTCATCCATCATGTACATAAACATTTGAGTTATGATTTGAACTACTTGTGTATTAGGGTGTTTTCGTGCTTTATTATCACTTGTGCCATTTGTCACACATCTTTAAATTTTATATATGACTACAAATATTGGGTAGCGCTTAATAAGATCAAGAATGCTGAGTGAAGATGCCACAGATATTTGGAGTTTGACAACGCTTTAACCAGTTACACCTTTTAATACGAATCGTACCCATCAATTGAAATCAAAAGACAGGTTCGAAGATATATTTCATAGGCTGTCAATATATCGAGGATCGTCTGATCTAATCTGGCTAGCGATTGCAGGGGATGTTGAGCACGGCGTTCCCACACGTTATCTGGTGCGGATGCATGACCGAGCGCCTTCAGCTAGATGAGTCCATTAAAACCAATGTGGTCAGCATCCAATGTCACAAACCTACAGAGGTATTTATTTTGAGGATCTATTTACAGCTTCACGAGAAGTTTCCTCTTTTGTTGCAGTTCTTGCAGTCTGTTTGAGTAAATTAATATCTGAAGTAAACTCTCCTAACTCGATTCGTATATGACACACATTACCAACGTCACTTAATGGAGTTAGATAATGTACAACGCAAGAAATTAGACAGAAAAGTTATACTGCATGGTCCATTCACCTTCTTTCATAATGCAGTTAATGGTTTCAAGGCATGATCAGAAATATCGCTGAAGTAGTTACACTAACTTATGTCACAGCAGTGGTTAGTGGAATTGGTTATATTTGAATGCTCGTGATATCGAAACAAGAGTAACCAGAAATTATATTAGAATCGTAATTGCATTAGTATTTTAATGATTACGAAATTGTCACAAACTTTCACGGTGTGGCAACGCTTTTGCCTGAGACGCGTTTGTACTTGAAGGATAACAACACAGTTAAATCAGGGATACGTAGTTCTGTGATCTGGTGCGGATGCGTGATGAAGTCGGCATCAAATTTGCAGACTCAAAGAACTACTTACTTTGGTGATTTGCTTACGGCTACAATCAGTATTTTACTAGAATTAGTTTAGTCCGGAATTTTATTGTCACAAATAAACTCGTAATAATTTTTATGTAAATCTGAAGTAAGCTGTTCTAAAATAGTGTTGTGCGCCAAAATCTGTCCAGTATTTTATGTACTCGGAATATTTTTAGCCCATATGAATAATAGAGTAAGATGAGTAGGTAGACATGCATCGGTATGTTATAAGTTATACGAGTTATGATTCAGGGTTATTCTAACACCTATGCTCACGATAACCGATAGGATTGTGTTATTAGACTTGGAGGTCACGTGCTCTGTTTATAATTGCGTAGCGAAAATGATTATGTAGTCTCATGGATTCCCTTAAATCCATACAGTTGTTGATTTACTTTCGCGACTGGTTCAAACCATGCTTGACGAGCAAATGTATGGTACGATTCCTGATTATACCACACGTTAGCCTTTTGGTACGGAGAATTCAATTTTTGCTTGCTAATTCTTTATCATTAACATGTATATACACTTTTTTGTTTGAATACAACTACAAATGTCGGTGAAGTAGTTTTCATGTTGAAAGCTACCATACTTATCGCACGAGATCTGCTTTTCGAAAATCATGTTTCGCGGTTGGAAGGTTAAACTTAGATATTACACAGAGGTAAAATTAATAATGTTGTATTATGTAGTTTCAGTCTAGCTAAAACTTTCGTGTTTGACATTTCTGTCGTAGGGGATAATAAACCATGAAGTAAAACATAGAGCACGAATAACATAATGCACTATAGAATACACAAGCTAGAAAAAAGAGTTACTTCATTGTACAGCGTAACGAAAATTGTATCGATCAATAAAATTACTTACTTGCTTAAGCCATTTACCCTTCATAGACCATAAGAGGATAAGCATGATACTCCAACCTACATTGTATTGGTGTTTCCTCTACTCTTGCTCCCAGTAGCTATTCATCCTTTCGATGTCTGCTTCCAATCCCGATACAGTGCATAATTTAGCCTTCCACTTTCTCTTTTCCCTTCAGGATTGAAAGTTAGAGCA